AACTAGTGTCTGAACACAAGCAGCTAAGAGGCATTTTGATGGCTAAGTTTTGGTCAAAACTTAGCAAATACTGAACATTTGTTCCAAGTTAGGCCTGGATGAGGGAAGCCTGGAGACAGGGAAGGCTGGGTGACAAACTCTAACAGGAACAGGATGGTATGACAGGTAGACACAGGGCAGGGTAGAGCTAAAGCGCCTGGGTCCAAATCCTGGTTCTGTCCCTGTCCAGTCACATGACGCTGGGCAGGAACCAGAGTCCAAGAGCCATAGAGGGACCAGCATCTGCCTCACAGACTCCAGATGAGACAGTCACTGCCTGCCATGCCCAGGGAGGAACTTTCACCACCACCCCCAGACAGAACAGCAGCAAAGCTTCCTAGAGGAGGCAAGGGAGAGAGGCTGGAATGCTTTGGTCCTGAGGAACAACAAAGGTTTTGAGCCTCACACCCTGGGCACTGGAGACCAGAATGGGCAGCTTTCTGGGTGGGCCAGTTAACTGGAAGTCCTCTCTATGGAGGACAGTGAAGGCTACCCAAACCTACTGCATCCTGGGCCTGAAGCACTGTGCCTCAGAGCAGAGAGCTAAGCCTCCCCTGGCAGGATGGCTGGTTGGGAGAGGGAGGTGTGGAGTTCAATCAGGCTTTCTGGGCCTCAAGGACCCAGCAGCTTCAGCAGCTCTAGCTCCCCCAGGCACTGCAGGTGTAAAGCCCAGGAGGGCATTTCAGTTTTTCCCTGAATCAGTCAAGACCAAACCAGTTACTGTCCTTGGAGAGAAGCAAAGGGTAGTTCCTGAGTACTGGGAATGTATAGTAAGGAGCCCATAAGAACCACTATCTTGGCTGGGCATGGTGGCTCACACCTGTAATCCCAATTACTCAGGAGGCACAGATAGAAAAATCTCAGTCTAAGGCCAGCCACTGCAAACTCTTGAGACCCTATCTGAAAAATTAACTAAAAGCAAAAAGACTATGGGTCATAGCTCAAGAGGTAAAGCATTTTCCTAGCAAGCCAAGGTCCCAAATTCAAACCCCAGTACCACAAAAACAACCAAACAAGACCAGTACTCTCTAAGGTAGGTACTATGATTGTTTTACAGGTGGTGACTTGGTGTTTAGGGTCCAGAAAACTTCTCTGAGGAAGTAGAAACTCAGACATCAACCCTTGAATAAAAATTATAAGTGGCCACTGTTTTGGGTTAGGTTTGTAACAGACAGGACAAAAAATCAAAATGGAGTCACTCATGCTAAAGTTCCTTGTTTCCAAACCAAAACTAAATTGTTATCTGACCTTCAGAAAAATGAGGAGTGCTAGTCAAGTTTCCCAAGTGGCCTGTTTTGATCAGTATATTAACGAAGTTCCCTCTGCTTTAACCCTTACCAAGCCTTTGTCTGTCTATAAAACCAACCTCCTCTTCTGCCCAAACTCACTAAAACACTTATTTGTTTTATGGAATAAAGTACTGGCCTATCCTACAATCACAAATAAAGTCAAGATTTTTAAACTACGAGCCAGGTATAGCAGCACATGTCTATAATTGCAGCTACTCTGGAGGTGGAGGCAGTGGATGGAGGCTTGGGCAATATTAGTGAGACCTATCTCAGAAACAAAATTCAAACAAAAGGGCTGGGAGAAATATGACTAGAGATAGAGTACTTACTATATGCAAGGACTTGGGTTCCCCAGCACTGACAAAAATTTTTTAAATCTTTAAAGTAGGGCTGGGGATGTTGCTCAGTAGTATTTTCTTAGCATACACAAGATCATTAGTTCAATCCCCAGCACTGAAAAAAAAAAAAAAAAAAGATGGCCAGTGGGACTGAAATGTAGAGAGGGAAGGGCACACTGCGGCTAGAGGCCAGCTTTCCTCAAAGTAACTTCTACCCAGACTCAACGGCCAGGTCAGGCAGCGTGGTTAGAGGCTGGCAGCGTACATCAGGACTAGACTAAGCGAATATTACAAGACCAGAACCTAAGCATCATCCCTCCTTCTGGCAATTCGGTACCATGGAAAGAAATTGGATTTTGGAGTCCAAAGCCCCCATTCAGAGTTTACATCTCTGAGCCTCAGTTTCCCTATCTCTCATAGGAAGGTACTGCTACTACAGACCTTGCTTTCAGTGTGGCTGTTTTAAAATATAATAATGAATGTAAGTTGGCATTGTGAATCACATAATGCTTTGTGATGTGAAAAAAGAAACCAGATTTCTACAGACATCAGCAGAGAGGGAAATGGTCTCCTACACTCAGGAGATCAGGAATGGCCACCTCCATTCCCACACTACCCACTGGGCGCCTACCACCTGGAGATCGGTCACACACAGGGTACTGGAGCCTTGGGACAGGCCATCCCACAGCTGGGCGGGAGAACTGACGTGATTAATAAAGAGAACAGATCGAGCTCTCACTGCTGCTTGACTTCCAGCAGGGTAGGACTCTATTCACACCACAAGCTGGGGTCAAAGAAGTGAATGGTTTGACCAGACCCAGCTCTGGGGCGGTACCTGCAAAACTGATTCATGACTCCCTTACAATCTGAATTTCCTTTCTCTTCTTCTCCCTGAGCATGAAAAACATCTGTTATGACAGCAGGGCAAAGAAGGGAGATATAAACGCCTCCAGGGTCGCAGGGGTATTCAGAGAAAGGGGTATGGTGAAAGGAGAAGAAGGCAGGGACAAGAAAAAGGCAGCCACATTCCGCCTCCCAAACCACCTGCCCCAGTAATCCAATCAAATCCACCGTAACAGTACAACCTTCCCACTTTCTGCTAAGATACTAGCTCTTCATCTCCACCTGGATAAAGCTGCACCCTCCAAGAAGGCAGTTTAAGCTTATGCTGTTTAAACTTAAACTCATTCAAACCCCAGTACTGCCAAAATATATAAATAAATAAATTCATTAAAATTGAGTAATATTAAAACTTCAGGCCAGGTGCCAGCTGCTCATGTCTGTAATCCTAGTTACTCAGAAGGCAGAGATCAGGAAGATGGCAGTTCAAAACAAGCCTGGGGCAAATACTTCATGAGACCCTACCTTGAAAAAAAACCCAACACAAAAAAAGGACTGGCGGAGTGGCTCAAGTGGTAGAGCACCTACCTAGCAAACGTGAGGCCCTGAGTTTAAAAAAACATCAGTTGCACTAACCACATTTAAGTGTTCAGTAGGCTGGGTGTAGTAGTGCACGTCTGTAATTGCAGCACTCAGGAGGATCTCTAGTCCCAGGTCAGTATGGGATACACAGAGAGGAGCCTATCTCAAAAAAAAAAAAAAGAAGAAGAAGAAGAAAAGAAAAAAGTAAACAACAGGCTAGTGGAGTAGCAAAATGCTTTCCTCGAATGTGCCACGTTCTGGGTTCAATCCCCAATACCACAAAATAAACAAACAAAAAAACTTCAGTCCTCAATTGTGAGAGGGAAAAGGAGAAGGGAGAAGGGAGGAGGGAGGGGGGAGGGAGGAGGGGGGAAAGGGAGAAACAGCCTACAAGCAGGAAACTGCCCTGTACTGCTCCTGTAACCCTTCCACATTTACCTGGCTCCAAAGACTCTCTTCTTAGGTAGCCACTCCTTACTCTGGCCCATCCACTCCATCTCCTCCCATTTCTTCTACCCAGAACCTCTTCCTTCACATTCCATCTTCCCTCCCTTATGAACTGGGGAGAGGGTCAGACACAACCTCACAAGATCCTGAGATGCTTCTTCAGAGCATTGCTGACACAGTCCCCCCACCAAGATCACCTCTTTCCCTCTCCAATTTCCAGTGTCAGCTTCTGTCCCTTCCTTCCACCTTCTCTAAGAAGTTGCCAACCTTCTTATCGCTCTTACCATGTACTAGGTCCAGTTCTTAATGCTTTATATATTTCCACAACAACGCTATGAGGTGGCCACTATCAGTATTTTATGGAGAGGAAAATTAGATCCAGAGAGGTGCAAGGTGCAGTCCCTTGCCCAAAGCTACAGAACTGGAAAGTGGCTGAGGGCTAGTGGAGTGGCTCAAGCAGTACAGTGTCTGACACCAAAAAAAAAAAAAAAAAAGAGGCCAGGATACGAACTCATGTGGTCTAGTTCCAGAATCCAACTGTTACCACATCTGCTGTAGTCTACTGCCTCTCCTTCCCTGATCAGGGACTTCCAACTAGATTTATTTTCTTATTTTCTTTCCTTCCTTCCCTCCTTCTCTCTCTCATTTTTTTTTTTTTTGCAGCCTTATCTTGCACTTAGAAGCACGTATCAAAAGGAATTTGGAGCCTTTTGGTAAGAAACAAAGCTTTTTCAACTGTTTTTAAGAGATACGGGCAAAGGGCCCTATCTAGACCTCTCTTCCGTCATAAATTCAACAAATACATATTGATCAGTTTGCACAACACACAAAGTCCCGATTTCAACTCTCGATCAGAGGGCAGGAGGATCATACAAATTTCTTGTGCAACTCATTTTAAAATTAGAATTAGGGTAAAGATGCAAAGAAATGCAAAGCCCTATAAAAGTCCACGACAGGGATCTGATTTTTTTTTTTTTCTTTCTCCTCTTTCAAGAATGCTCTCTACCCAAAAAACAGTCCCCTTGGCCAGGTGCTGGTGGCGCATGCCAGTAATCCCAGCAGGAATTATCACGAGGCAAGGAAAATCGAGAGTTCGAGGCCCGCCTGGACTAAGGCTCGGGAAGGGGGGGTAAAAAAAGAGATGGGAAGAAAAAAAAGAGTGTTTCCTTTTTACTAACTCAGTTTCATTCTCCAAACCTTGGGGGAAAAGGTGTTCTCTCCTGTCTCTCCAGGAAGGCAACGAATGGGGACCCACATCTCACTCTCCAAGTTGTCTCCCTCCCTCAGGCCTCACAAGGCGGCTGCCTCGGCTCTTCTCCAAGGAGTTAGAGGTTCCTCCCTTGAGTGTCCTAAGTGGTCTCCCAGTCCTATTCCCTTTGATGAGCGCCTTTCCTGCCACACTTTAAAAAATCTTTAAATCCCCATTCGCTCTCAGAGAAACCCCCTGGGAGGTTTCGGTACTCACAAATCTAGCCAACCCTCGCGCCCCAGGCCGCCGCAGTAGCAAGAGGGCAACCTGACACAGCCCTCGGCTTGGCCCCCAGACCCTCGCCGCAGAAACCGCTGCCGCCATCTTGGCTAACAAGCGCTGGGTGATCCGCCCCTCTCTTAGCTAGACCGAGGGCTGCCCCCTCATAAGCCTGATTCAAATGGCAGCACAACCCTGCCAACGAAACGCCTGTTTCCTATCATACGGCATCCAGGAAGTACATATTGGTAGAAAATACAATGTATACTCCTCCAAATTACTCGAATAGTTTAATTATAGTTACTCCTATAACAGGCAACAAGAAGGCAACCTGATCAAAGCCTCAAGGGTTTAGGGCCCAGGGGCCTTAAGTAGGATGAGCTCATGCTAAGACCCGGCCCCTCTTCGCTATTGTCCAATGGCTTTGCCGAATTAGGAGGCGGGAATGGGCGGAGCCAGATTGTTGGTAAACGCTGAACCACGTGCGGGCACTAATTCAGACTGCGCCCCCCTCCCCTGGATCGGCGCCTGCGCATTACGTACGCAGCCTCTACGCAAGCGTGCGCGCGCAATTGGGCGGAAGCGGCAGCGGCGGCCGCACGTGGGATCTGCGGCAATGGATGCTGATACTGGATCAGACTCCAGTCCTCGGGGTCCGGGCTGCAGCCTCCGGCACTTTGCTTGTGAACAAAACCTGCTGTCCCGGCCGGACGGCTCTGCTTCTTTTCTGCAAGGTAAGAACTTAACTCAAGTAAATTCTGCTCGAGTCACGTTTGCCTAGACTGTGTCTGTTTTGAAGAGCATGTACCGTGCAAAAGAGTGCGAAACTACCTGGTAAACTAGCTGCACTTAATGCCGGGCTTGTCTGGGTGGATACTTCTAGATACTGGGGGATACACACGAGTTCCCTCCCACTCAAAAAGAAATGATATCTTCACCGTGGTAGTAACTCCCAGGATGAAAGAGGGACAGACCACTCTCATAAGAATAAATATTCAGAATGAGGGAAATATCCCCTTGACTGGATTCCTTCCTTTGCTTCCCACACAACCCCTTGGTGTCCGTACATCACCCGAACGAGGCCAAACTGGTCATTTGCATAAATACCCACGTACACAGGCAGTCACCGCCCTAGGGTTAATTACAATTACTGCCTAGGCTGTATCAGGGGTTTTTTTTTTTTTTTTTTTTTTTCTTTTTTGGTGGTGCTGGGATTTGAACTCAGGGCCTTGTGCATGCCAGGCAGGCACTGTACCACTGAGCTACATCTCCAGCCCTAGGCTGTATCAGATCTTCTACTTAAGTAAATATTGTTCAGATTGAAAGTGATGTCCACACCCTGTATTGACAAATATCTCTCCCGCTCTCACCTCACCATTTGAGGCACACATTTCGCTCTATGAATGAATGTAGATAGAAAAGAGGTCCCAGGACTGAGCCCTCCAACTCTGAGGGCTCGTGGAGGTCTAAGGAGGTAGCAGAGACCACCATGGAGGTGAAGGACAACCAGGAGAGGTTAGCGACGTAGAGCCAAGAGAAAAAGGGGTTTGAGATGTAAGTGCTGATCAGCTGTTTCGTTCAGAGAGACTGGGTCAAATGAAGGTTAATTTGGAGGTTATTGGAGACGCTGTCAAGCTGCTGCAGTGGAGCAGTGGGGTTAGGTAAAGAAAGAAGAAACAGCAAGTGGAGACAGCGCTTCACAGTTTTGCTGTGAGAGGATCAGGTAAATGGGAAGGTTGAAGACAGATGTGAGGTTGCAACAGGAGAAAATGACTGGAGCCATGTCCTGGAAAAGATGAAAGGAGAGAGAGGGCCTCACTTGCTCAGGTGAAGCATAGTTCATTTAGAAAAATGCAAATGAAGATCCTGGTGAGGATCTGAGTCTACTTGGGTCGCTTTTGCCTTCCAGGCAGATAGATGGACCTGGAGCTAAGAGCATCTGCCATGTGAGGGTGAATTGAGTTTCCTGAGAGGGGAATTCCTCAGTTATAAGCAGCTCTTCTCCCAGGCACTCCTGCAACTTAGTTCTCTTGCTGAAACCAAATCTCTGACATTTAGAATCTAAGAAATAAGGGCTGGTGAAGTGGCTCATGTGGTAGAGTGCTTGTCTAGCAAGTGTGAGGCTCTGAGTTCAAACCCCAGTACTGCCCTCCCCCAAAAAACCCATAAAAATCTAAGAAATAAAATGAAAGGCTGCCCTTTCTGTGTTCTAAAACCCCAAACCCACAGAGCATGTGGGAGGCCTCTACGACCCTCAAAAGGTATGTTCTATCCTGGCACCAGTGGCTCACACCTGTAATCCTAGTACTCAGGAGGCAGAGGTTAGGAGGACTGCAGTTTGAGGCCAACCCAGGCAAATAGTTCACGAGAGCCTATCTTGAGAATACTCAACACGAGAGAGGGCTTGGAGACTGGAGGTGTGGCTCAAGCTATAGAGTGCCTGCTTTGCAATTGTGAAGCCCTAACTTCAAACCCCTGTCCCACCAAAAAAAAAAAAAAGAGAGAGAGATCAGGGGGATTGTGGTCCGAAGCCAGCCTGGGCAAACAGTTTGCAAAACCCTATTTCCAAAAAAAAAAAAAAATCACAAAAAAGGGATTGTGGGGTGGCTCAAGGTGTAGGCCATGAGTTTAAACCCCACTACCTCCTCCCACAAAAAAAAAAAAAAAAAAAAAGAGTACTTGATGGAGTGACTCAAGTGGTAGAGCACCTGCCTAACAGGCATGAAGCCCAGAGTTCCACCCCAACACCACCCAAAAAAAAGTGTGTTCCAATTACTTTTGGCTTCAGAACCCACCCCGCATCTATTAAGGCTGGCCCACTTCTTTTTAAATTAGTCCTGTGGTGGCTCTGCTTGCGGGCTAATGTCTAGAAGCTGAGCTAGAGCTTCATGATGTTTTTGTTGTGTTGTGTTTTTGTTCATGGTGCTGGAGATCAAACTCGGGCTTACGCAAGATAGACAAGTATTTCACCACTGAGCTATGCTTATCCAGCCTTGTAGGGTTCCATGTTTCCTCTCTACAGATTGCAGGCCCAAATGAATGATAGAATTAGCTGGGGAGCTTTGAGGCTTCCATTGCCTGTGCCTCTGAGCACTTGGAATCTTCTGAGGCTCCCCAGTGACTCTAGCATACGGCTAGGGTGAGAACCACTATGTTAATGGAACGCAACCGTGTTCTTAAGTGGAATAAAGTAGAAAATATCAGTGCATCAAAGCAGTAGTGGGTAGAATTGTTTTGTACGGCCTTCAGTCCCATTTGCACACATAGATTTGTGTGAGTTTTGGGTCAAATATATCTGTTATTGGGAGTTATGGTCAGAGATATTTGGAAGCCACCATTGGTGTCCAATTTCTTCATTTTGCAGAAATGAAGAAACTGAGGCCCAGAGAGGATAGAAAAGAGATCCAGAAGGAAACAGAAGGCACTAGAAGCCAGACTTTTGTTTTGTTTTGTTTTTGGTTTTTTGTGGTGCAGGAGTTTGAACTCAGGCAGGGCCTCCACCTTGCAGCACTCCACCAGCTCTATTTTTGTGATGGGTTTTTTGAGATAGGGTCTTGAGAACTATTCGCCCAGGCTGGCTTCAAACCATGATCCTCCTGATCTGTGCCTCCTGAGTAGCAGTGATTACAGGTGTGAGTCACCAGCACCCAGCTAAGCCAGGCTTTTTTATTTCCCATGCCTTGCCTCTCCTTACTTATTCATGTCCCCTTTAGGAAAATCGTAGGAGTCAGGATCCCCACTTCCCTCCCAGATCTCAGGTGTTTGGACTGCTGCAGAATTTGTGGAAGAGAGCTGAGCTAGGAGAAGCTTTGGAAAGAGAAGAACATTGAGAATAGCTGCAGTAAGAGGGAGGAAAGTTAGCTCTCAAGAAGAATTTCCTGTCAACATTACTAATATCAGCTAAAGTCTGTTGTACGCTCCACATGTACCAGACAGTGTTCTAAGTGTTTTAAATGAATTGTGTCCATTTTGTGCATGTGTATGTGTATGTGTGTTTGTGTGTGTGGTGCTGGGGGTGGAAGCCAGGGCCTCAAGCTTGCTAGGCAAGTACTCTGCCACTGAGCCACACCCCCCACCCTGAACTGTGTCATTTGATCCTCATAAGAACGCATGAGTGAGGTGCCATGGTTATCCCTTATTTTACAGATGAGGAAGTGGAGGCAGAGAAGTGAAGTGGGTACTGGAAAGATCACTGCCACCAAATGAGGGGGAGCCCCAACCATCAGGGCCCCTATTGTTATGTGCCACACATTGGGCCCCAGAAGCAGGGATGGTGTGGCTGAGGACTCCCCCACTGTCTCCCCAGGAGATACCTCAGTCCTGGCAGGTGTGTATGGGCCAGCGGAGGTGAAGGTCAACAAGGAGATCTTCAATAAGGCCACACTCGAAGTGATCCTGAGGCCGAAGATTGGGCTGCCTGGTAACTGGGCCAAGCAGAACCTCTGAAGGTCCAGTCTGTCAGGACCTCACTCAGCTCCTCCTTGCCTGCTGCGCCCAGTGTTCACCGCCCCCCTTGTCTCTCTTCTTCAACTCTCTGCCTCTGTTTTTCAGTTTGTCTCCTCTTCTCTGCCTCCATCTCCCTTTCCACTAACCTCTTTTTCTGCCCCTTTCACCTTGTCTCCCTCGTTTGCCATGGGTTGGGTCCACTGGGTGGGGGAGGGCATGGGCAGTAGCACAAGACATTCCTGGGTATTCCTCCCCTAGGTGGCTGGTGGCCCCTTGGCATAGGCTGGTCATAGTGGGGTGGGGCAGAGGACAGTCAGTCCCTATTTCCTTCCTGTGGGGCACCCACACCATCCCAGGCTGAGTCTACAGGCCCCTTTTAGAGGGTAGCGCCAATGGAGGAGAGGAGAGCGGGTGGAAGGGAAAAGCCTGACAGCCTGCCCTCGATTTCCCCAGGCATGGCTGAGAAGAGCCGGGAGCGGATGATCAGGAACACGTGTGAGGCTGTGGTGCTGGGAGCCCTCCACCCCCGCACCTCCATCACTGTGGTGCTACAGGTCGTCAGTGATGCTGGCTCTGTATCCTTTCCCTGGCTGCCTCCTCCAGGAAGTGCTCAGGAACCTCCACGATGGCTTCCCTTCTGGTGGCCCTTAACCCACTCCCTGCTAGTCAGGAACCTCTAGATATTTGCCAGGCAGCAACTCATGGACAAGAATAGCAAGCCCATGCCGGGTGCCAGTGGCTCACTCCTGTCATCCCAGCTACTCAGGAGGCAAGATCAGGAGGAGCGCAGTTCAAAGCCAGCCCTGGCAAATAGTTCAAGAGACCCTATCTTGAAAAACCCTTCACAAAAAACAAATAAAGCTGGATGGAGTGGCTTAAGCTGAAGGCCCTGTGTTCAAGCCCCAGTACTGTGCAAAGAAAGAAAGAATAGCAAACCCAGCTAGAGAGCTTACCAGGTGCTAGGCACTGTTCTGAGCACCTTGCACATATAACTCATTTAATCCTCATAGCAGGGAAATCAGTGCTGTTACAATCCCCATGTAAGTGCCACACCTAATGAACCTAATGGCAAAGGAGTCTGACCAATGACGAGTGCCAGCCTCTGTGGTTCAGAGCATAGAAGGGAGAGTGGCAGGGAGAGAGGACCAGGTTATTGACCGCACTGTGGCTCCCCTGTGGGCCGGGAATACCGTGGTCAGAATAAGAGACAAGGAGAGAGCATGGGGAAGGGGTACAGACAAACTGCAGTTGATACGTGACACCTGGCTGTGAGATTTGCACCCAGCCCATCTGATTTTAGAGCCCAAGGCCGCAGGCAGATGAGTGTTTTTACACTCCCATATTTCAGGTGAGGGAACTGAGGCCCAGAGAGGGGAATTAGCTTGCCCAAGCGCACATAGCTGGAAGGCAGCACGCACAGGACTTGAACCCAGGCTGTCTTCGAAAGTTGTGCCAGTGACCTTCACCCTGTGCGTCAGCAATATTTTTCAGGCTCTCAGCCCTGGGGGAGTCCCCAGCAGGCAGAGCAGCTGGGACAGAACTTCAGCCTAGAAAGATCTCTGTGGTTTCGGTGAGTGAGATTGAGGGCAAGGACCAGAAATGGGTGTATCTAGAGGGTGTCACTGGTGGGTGGGCCTGTGTTGTGAATAGCACTTTAGATGGATGAAGACCTATTGTGACCTGTCGTAGAGATAAAGAAACTGAAGCCTAGAGGAAGTGACAAGAGGGTCAGCAGCAGAACTGGAGTGCTTATCCTCTGCTAGGCTTGGAGAAGGAAGATTAGGAAACGGGCAGAGCAGCTGACTGATACTAGGCCCCTGAGCCTGCTGAGGGCAGCAGCAGTAATGGCTCCTCCCTTCATTACCAGGCCAGCTCCATCACCTGCTGTCGTGGCTGCTGCCCACTTAGATCCCCAAGTGCTGGGCCTGGCTTTGCCAGTACCTCCCCATGTGACCTTGGAAGGTTCTGTCCCCTGTCTGACCTTGTTTCGCTGAAGGTGTTTGGTACATAACTTCAGTAGTTGGGCATTATGATCACGTGTAACAGATGAGATTGAGACTCAAAGTCACTTGGCTCAAGGTCACACATCTGAGAGATGACAGATACAGCAGAGCAGTTACTTGATACCAGAGCTAGTATACCCACCTTGCCATGCTGCCTTCTTGGTTTTTTGTTTTTTTTTTTTTTTTTTGTCTTTTTTGTTTTGCTTTTTTTTTCTATTTTTTCCTTTTTTTTTTTTTTTCGGTGCTGGGGACCGAACTCAGGGCCTTACACTGGCCAGGCAAGCGCTCTTCCACTGAGCTAAATCCCCAACCCCACCATGCTGCCTTCTATAATGGATTAGTGGTGCCTGGCACAGGCATCAGCAGGTGAAGGGAAGTATGGATGCATCTGCCAGTCAGTCCCACAGTAGACATTCTTCTTAACCTCTCCTTGTGGTGCTCAGCTTCTGGCCTGTTGCCTGAATGCTGCCTGCATGGCACTTGTGGATGCAGGTGTGCCCATGCAAGCTCTCTTCTGCGGGGTCACCTGTGCCCTGGACTCTGATGGGACCCTCATGCTAGACCCCACAGCCAAGCAGGAAAAGGTAGGTGTGAAGACCAGGGTGACTGAAGGTCTGTGGCCAGGTGGCAGTCTTTCTCTAGGCCTTGCTTCTCTGCACATCCCTTGGCTCATGTACCTCACCCCAGTTGGCAGGCTTTTCTCTGTTCATCAGGGTGCATTCATCTTCAAGTGCGAAAAACCCAACTCAAAAACCTACACAAGCCAGACATGGAATGTATTGGCTTTTGTTACTAAACTCTGAAAGAACAGAGGTCTGATTAGAAACAGGACTCCATCAGGATTTCCTTGCTTTCTTTCTGGTCCCTCCATTTTTCTGAACATTGCCTTCATTCTCTCTGGCTTACATCTTTCCTAAGATTGGGACTGGCTCTGTTGGCTCCATCCTTTCTTTTTGTTTTGGAAGGGAGGGAGGGAGAGGGTGGTGGTGTGGGTACTGATGGTCCAACAAAGGGATACTCAAATTTGGAATGACCTAGGGCTCTGTGACATTTTCTGCCTGGTACCATCATGGTCATAACCAGTGAGGGAAAAAGACACACCGCTTGGGGTACTTCAGATAGAGGAGATTTAATACTGAGGGTTGATAGCAACAGTGTTGGAAGAACTGGAGAAGCAAAAAAGGAAAAGGTGGGACCCAGAGACTAGAAGTCTCTACCAGCCCCCAGGTTGATCTTGCAAGCCTGCTCCTGCTCAGTGCTGTTGGATGTGGTGTTGGAGACATTGTCACACTTGGTTTTGGATGCACAGAAGATGACCTGCCTCTGTCCTCGTCACTGAATTCCAGAACCCACCTCACATCCATGGCTTTCTTAGCAACTACTGCTATGAAAATGAGGACCAGGATACTTCTCAGGTCCTCCCAGGCTCCTGCCAGATTACTGGTAGAACCTAATGGCAAGGGAGTCTGGGGAATACAGTTTACTGGCTTCCAGCCCCTGCAGTACAGAGCATGGAAGGAAGGTGGGAGGTGGAGAGGTAAATAACCTGCACTGTGGATCCCTTTATGGGATGAGAATACTGAAGTTGGAATAAGGGGCATGGAGGGAGGGAGGGAGGGAGGGATTCTACAAAGAAGAGGTAGAGAGCTGACTGCAGTTGAGTGTGAGCACTTCTTCTGGGGAGGCCAAGACTCTGGAGTCCCCAGCTTGAGACAGGCTGAGATTCCATCTATGAACAGGGTTCCTGGTCCCCCACTACCTTCTACCTCTGCTTCTTAGGAGGCCCGGGCAGTACTGACCTTTGCTCTTGAGAGCGTGGAGCAGAAGCTACTGATGTCCACCACCAAGGGACTCTACTCCGACACTGAGGTACCAGCTGAGGTTGGGGGTGAAATCCAGAACCTTCTCTCTACCCTGACGTGAAATCTTGGCTCAACTCTGCCTGCAGTCTGAGAAGTTTAAGGAATTAATTGGTATTTTGTTTTGCTTTCTTGCATTCTTGCCTACAAGAGAAAAAAAAAGATGGAGTTTTCAAACTTTGTAACCATGGAAGTCTTTGTGGAAATTTTGGAGTAAAGCACCATTTATGAGATAGTAAAAAGAGGAGGGGCACAGTTTGAAATCAGGAGACAGGATCTGAAGGCTACCAGCTGGAAGCCCGGGTTTGTGAACCACTTAAAATTCTGGGATTCTGCCAGGGGCCGTTGATTCATGCCTGTAATCTTAGCTACTCAGGAGGCAGAGATCAGGAGGATTGTGATTTGAAGCCAGCCCAGGCAAATAGTTCACAAGACCCTATCTCAAAAAACCCTTCACGAAAATAGTACTGGTGGAGTGGCTCAAGGTGAAGGTCCTGAGTTCAAGTTCCAGTACCACCAAAAAAAAAATTCTGGGACTCCACAGAACAAAGTTTGTAAATTGTTGGACCTAATGGGCTCCAAGAGCATCTCCAACCTGACCCTCCTGTGAATCTAGGAATACACATAGTCAAGAGCTGGGATCTCTGATTCATGGCTCTTAAGATTTTATGGAGTCAAAGGACTCATGGGTCTGAATCCCTAGAACTGTCCAATTCTGTGAGCCCCAAGGCTTTGTGGCTCCACAAGGTTGAGGTCACGTCCAAAATGTCAGAATTCTGGTCCCTTTGGTTCAGAAGTTGCTTTGGGAATTCCTCACCCTTTTTCTCCTGCTACCACTAAGAAAAAGCTTAGAAACTAGGGGGAAAAGAAGCCAGGTGTGGTGACTCACACCTGTAATCCCAGCTACTTGGGAGGCTGGGATTGGAAGGGTCATGATTTGAGGCCAGCCCCAGCAAAGTTCTGAAGACCCCCTCTCTAAAATAAACAGAGCAAAACGAACTGGAGGTGTGACTCAAGCTGTAGAGCACCTGCCTTGCAAGTGCAAAGCCCTGAGTTCTCACCCCAGACCCACTAAAAATAATGATAATGATGATGAAAGTAGAAGATGAATGAACCAAATTGAAAAAAAGGAAATGCACTCAAAATAATCCCCTCACCACCTTGCCTGGCATGGCAAGGAGTGATAGGAGGGGAAAGGGCTCTTGGAGTCACGGGGGTTGAGGAGCCCCTCAGGCCAGGCGGGCCAAAGCTGGGTGTGGGGTAGGACACTGACTGGCCTCTCCCCTCCCAGCTCCAGCAGTGCTTGGCCGCGGCCCAGGCTGCCTCCCAACACGTCTTCCGCTTCTACCGGGAATCGCTGCAGAGGCGCTACTCCAAGAGCTGATCTGAGGCAAGCCGGGGCAGGGCGCCTCTCCTGCTGCCACCACCCACCGCCTCCAGCCCAAAGCCAGCCAGTGCCCAGTCTTACCTCTATCCATATGCCCCTGTGGCTGCAGGGGCTCCTGTGTCAGACTGGGGAGAAGGGACTCGGGGACAGAGCCTTTGTGCCTGACAGCCCTGGGCCTGGGGGAACAGATCTTCCCCCTCCCTCAAGGGTAACATTAAAGGGATCTCATCTGAGTCAAGTGAATGAGTCAGTGTCCACTCATTCTAACTACTGTTGAGCACCCACTTCTCTGGACTTGCTGGGTGCTGAGAATCTAGCAGTGAGCAGGAGACCCAGGTGCTGTGTTCTAAGAGCAGTGAGGTGGTGGACAAAGGAAATTGGTGTTTGTTAGATGGTAGTAAATGCTGTGGCAAAAATAAGAACTAAGAGTCAGGTGTGGTGGGGCATGCCTATAATCCCAGCACTCAGGAGGCAGAGGCAGAAGGATCTGGAGTTCCAGGCCAGCCTGGGCTACATAGCAAGGCCCTGTCTCAAAGACAAAAGAATAAGTAGGAATTGGGGAACAAGAGTTTTGGAAAGCCAGGTGTCAATGTTCACAGCTGTAATCCTAGCTATTCAAGGGGCAGAGATCAGGAGGTTCACAGTTTGAAACTAGCCTGGGTGGATAGTTTGCAAGACCCTATCTGGAAAAATACCCAACACAAAAACAGGGCTGGTGGGGTATCTCAAGTGATAGAGTGCCTGCCTAGCATGCATGAGGCCCTGAGTTTAAATCCCTGTGCCAAAAAAAAGTTTGGGGCTGGGGACATGGCTCAAGTGGTAGAGTGCCTGCTAGCAAACAGAAGTGAGTTCAAACCCCAATACCACTCCAAAAAAAAAAGTTTGGGAGAGTCTGGGTAGGGTAAACTGTATTAGTGAGGGGTGCTGCCACAGGCATGGGGGAGCCCTGGGATAATGACTTGGGGGAGAGCTCCCAGGGCTCAGGACCAGCCAGGCAGCTGCAGCTGGATTGGTATGAGCAAGGAAAAGGAAACTGCACAGTACGAACATGGGGCCCCTGGAGTCACAGAAGCCATCTGGGTACTCTTCTGAGGTGGGCCATTACAGTCCGGGCTTGAAGATGAGGATGCAAGCTCAGGAGCCAGTTAGCTGCCTGAGGTCACCAGCTCATCTGCAGAGGTACAGGGGTGTCACTTCAGTCCCAAAGCCCTGAAACCCAGGGAGATGCCAGCACCCTGGGGGCTTGCCATCTATAATCAAGAGCTAAGGCTCACTGTGCTCAGTCAGGGGTGGTGGGAATACGGGAGGCATATTTAATTGATGCTGGACCACTCACCAACCCCTAGGGTATTTATGGGCAGAAACCAAGCACCTGTGAGCTTCTACAAAGAGCAACTGTACCACTGCTGAGCCAGATGAGGGAGGAGGATTGGGGGTGGGAGGTCCTGTGTCACATGCTTGCAGAATCCCCACAATCAGTCGCCCCACTGGGCAGATGTGTTCATCCCCAGAACCCAAGAAGGAAACTCATCATTCACTTTAGCTTGAAATTTGTTGTTAGATGCTCAGGGGAATGCTGAGTGGAAAAAGGGGTTTTCTTCTAGCAAGATCCAGCACGATGGCATTGAGCAGTAAGACTAAACTGCCTAGCTCTGTGACCTGATGATGTCAGGCACTTATCCTGCCTCTGCTAAAGCACCTTGCAGACGTCTGTTTTGGCTACATGGTGCCAGCACTTCCGTGTTTCCTTCAAGACCCAAATCATGCAGTTTGATTTGTATGGAGCTGAGGAGTGTCACCTGGGAAAGACAGGTTGTCTTAAGGACTTGAGCTGCTAGGGCTGTTTTTCTCCACAAGAAATGGTGTGTGGGGGTGGGGGGTGTTGCACAGAAATGAAGCCAATAGGAACAGAGGTCACTGATGCAGAGGAGCAGAAGGTTAACCTCGTTTGGGCCCAAGTCCAGTTCACCAAGCTCCTTTCTGTTGCTTAAGGCCAACTGACCTGACTTTCTACCATCTGCTGTCAGAAGAGCTTGAGAGAAACAGCAGGTGTCCACATATACGCAGGGTGCACTTGAACCTCAGCCCAGTTCAGGGTGCAGAGAACATCAGCCCACTTTGCAAATGAGACCAAGTAAAGGCTTGGAAAGATGTCACTTGGGCTGAGGTCACACCGCTACCAGGTGGAGAAATGAGGCCTTGGAATCTGGCTCTTTCTAATTCTCTGCTCACCACTGTTGTAAAGAGAATTCTGCAGTGCCCACTCATTCCCCCACCTCCAGTTCTGAGGTCTGATGCCAACCATAGTCTGTCATGCTGGCTGGTCTCTTCCTGCCCTCAGGCACTGCACCCTTTCTCCCACCCCACCCCACCCTATCATACACACACAGACACAGGTTTGGCTGCAAGGTGTCTCCTTTAATTTCTCACGTTGCTGCCACCAGGTGAGCAGTGGCCAGGAAGGGGGAGGGGTCCTCCAGCTTGTCCCCATTTCTGGATGAGGCCACCATCACTGCCATTCATGCGCCAGGATTCTCCACTCTGCCCAGGGATGCGCCAGGCTGCCAGCTTCTGGGTTCACAGTGGGGGCCGGAGGGGCAACTAGGGTGGGTCTCGGGAGGCAAGGTAGGCAGCCAGGGTCACCAGGGCAGCCGCGTATGTGCACAGGCCCAGCCCGACAGCGAGGACCCCCAGCACGAAGGCGCGGCGGGAGGCGGCCCCTGCCCCCTGGACGTCCCCCTTGGCCCAAGCCTTGTTGGTCTGTAGAGGCAGTGGGCAGGGGTGACCAAGGCGTTCCCTCATCCCACACTGCTTTCTGTGGCCCCAGATCCTTCTCCCAACCTCTCCCCCACCCAGTATACCATTCATTCATATATTCCAAAACCATGGGGCACCTACTAGGCTGGGTGACAAATAAATGTGGTTATATGTCACTTTTTTAAATATAGCACTATTGTAACCCACTTGATTTTCATAATACTGGGGTAGGGATTATTCCAATTTTACAGAGAAGGAAAATGAGGTATATGGAAGTTAAGTGGTTTCCTCAAAATTTTACAAAGGATGGTGGACTTGGGATTTGCATTCAGGTTAGTCTTTGTGGTAGTACTGGGTTTTGAACTCAGAGTCTCAAGCTTGCTAGGCAAGCACTCTAACTTGAGCTACAACTCCCCCTAGCCCTTTTTCTGCTTTACCTATTTTTCAGATAGAGTCATGTGTTTTTGGGGTTTTTTTCCCTTGAACTAGCCTCAGACCATGATCCTCTTACACACCTCCTGCACAGGTGGGATTGCAGTTGTGAGCCACCATACCTGGCTAGTTTGTTGAGATGGAATCTCCCTAACTTTTTGCCTGAGGTGGCCTCAAACCCCCATCCCCCTCCCCACCCCATCTGTGCCTCCTAAGTAGCTCGGGTTACAGGGGTACATCACACCACCAGCCCTGGCCCCACATTCAGGTTCTTTGATCATCACTCTGGGTTCTTTGAAACATGCCTCAGTTTATCTGCATGTTGCTATTAGAGCCTTCTCTCCATTCCCCTCCACATGCCCTCAGGCATGGCTCCTCTTGATTTTTGGTGGGGGGAGGCGGAGGACTGTGCATTTCTCTTTTATACTCAGTACCCTCCCAGTCCCACACACATACTGACCTTCTGGGCCAGACAAAATGCAGCGATGCCCACAGGCCAAAAACAACACAGCATGGAGAAGACTGCCAGGCCAAGGTGGTCGTGGGGCAGAAGTGGGGAGAGGCGGTCACCCCATCCCAGTCCGAGTCACTATCACTGGATGACATGCCCTACAGACAGGAAAGGGCCTGGGTGGGCATCTCCAGCCACCTCCCCTGCCCACTGCTCTGCTCCCCATCACCCCCAAAGACCAATCCTTCCAGCCTCCCCTGAGACTCAAAAATGTTGAGAGAGGTGGCTTTGAACTTTCCTATATCTTGAATACTTGCAGGGGAAGCTGAGGACACTCCAGAAAGAGACCCACCCACACCCAGAGTTTTTTAGGGGTTCACAGGCCCAATCATGGATTATAAACAGTAACAACTGCTTATAATCTCGGAGTTAAACGTTACTGAAGGACGGATGGGGTGGAGCTCAGTGGTAGAGTGCTTGCTTAGCATGCAGAAGGCCAAGCTGCGCTCAGTGGCTCACACCTGTGATACTAGCTGCTCAGGAGGCAGAATTCAGAAGGATCAAGGTTCAATTCCAGCCCTGGCAAATAGTTCTTGAGACCCTATCTTGAAAAAAAACCATCACAAAACAGGGTTGTTGTTGTTGCTCAAGTGGTAAGAGCACCTGTTCAGCAAGTGTGAGACCCTCAGTTCAAACCCCAGTACCACCAAAAAAATACAAATTTAAAAAAACCACGAAAACTCCAGTAGAGATAAAACTACATCACAAATGGGAACCTGCAACAACAACAACAAAAAAAATGGGGATTATAAAATGTCCCAGTGTCCTAAATTACTAGGGCAAACCTGCCTGCTGAAAACCAGAAATTCTAGAGGAAAAGTATAAAAAGGCTTACAAGCAGATAACTCACTAGATTTTAAGGAATTACGGCATGGACAAAACGAGTGAAAACTGAGATCGAGATTACTTCAACAGGTTCAGCAAACTCAGGACACTTCTACCCTCAAGATACCTGCCAGTCTCAGAAAATTCAAACTCATTTAAACTTCAGAGTAGTTACAAATGATTTTTCAGTGGTAGTGTCTTCAGGGAGGTGATAGAAGCAAAGCAGATCCTCTCTGGAAGATGGTACCTTCGTTCTAAGCCTTAAAATAATTTTTTCTAAAAATGATTTTTCAAAGCTGGGTGTGGAGGCTGGGGACATGCCTCAAGTAGTAGAGCATCTACCTAGCAAGCATGAGGCCCTGAGTTCAAACCCCAGTTCCACCAAAAAAGTTTATCAGACGCCAGTGGCTCACGCTTGTAATCCTAGCTACTCAGGAGGCAGAGGAGGATCGCAGTTAGAAGCCAACCCAGGCAAATAGTTTGGGAGACCCTATCTGGAAAAAAACCCATCACAAAAAAGGGCTGGTGGAGTGGTTCAAGGTGAAGGTCCTGAGTTCAGACTCCAGTACCACAAAAAAAAAAAAAAAAAAACCGGGTGTGGCGGCATACACTTAAAATCCTCCCAGCACTCAGACGCTGAGGTAGGAGGATTGCAAGTTCAAGATAGTCCAGGGTACATAGCAAGAACCTGTTCCAAAAAAATAATGAAGTAGTAAAAAAGATTTTTTTTTTTTTTTGCAGCACTGGAGTTTGAACTCAGAGTCTCACATTTGTTAGGCAGGTGCTCTTACCACTTGAGCCACTCCACCAGCCCATAAAAAAAGATTTTTCAAAGACAATGACCAGCACGCAGGTGAAGATAACCAGGCACATGCACACACACACACACACACACACACACACACACACACACACACACACGGAACTGTGAATGCAAACTAGCAGAGATAAGGCTCTCCAAGTCTTCTGCTTTGGTGTCAAAATGATGCTTTAGTATGTAAGGCAGACTGTGTTTTCCAAAATGGGTCACAACAATTGGCCTCAAACTCCCAATCCTCCTGTTTCAGCCTCCCATTGGGATTACAGGTGTGCACCAACACACCTGATTCCACATGCTTTCCTTACAGTGTGATTTTGAAGCTCCTTCCATCCACAAATGTGTTCTATCTCTCATCCCCTTAAATCTAGGCAGGTTTGTGACTCACTTGTAATTAACACAAGTAGTAGAAGTAGTGCTACATAACTTCCTAAGCTAAGTCAGAAAAGGTGAGACGGATGGGGGGTGCAGTTCAGTGGTAGCTTGCACAGGGTCCTGAGTTTGATCCACCAAAAAGAAAAAAGCTGGTGCCAGTGGCTCATGCCTGTAATCCCAGCTACTCAGGAGGCAGAGATCAGGAAGATCGTGGTTCGAAGCCAGCCCAGGCAAATAGTTCACCAAACCCACCACAAAAAAGGGGGGGGTGGGCTGGTGAAGTGGCTCAGGGTGTAGTCCCTGATTTCAAGCTCCAGTACTGAAAAAAAAGAAAAGGTGATGGCCTGCCAAAAGAGAGAGGAAAGGAGGGAGGGTGGGGAGGGGAGAGAAGGGGAAGGGAGAAATGGGGAGGAGGGGAAAGAGAGAAAAAAGGTGGGGCAGCTTCTGTTTTGCTTAAACACTCCTGATGGGGTCTGAAGACACATACATTGTCTGACTCCATACTGTGAGAAGCCCAGTTATCCCACACAGACCACACAAGAGAAAGGCCCTGAGATAGCTTAAAGAGGCAGAAATACCCAGCCAGCCCCTGACCATTCTAGCTCTAGTCAGTGGCTGCAACCTTATGAAAGACCCCAAGGCATAGCTGGGTGTGGTGAGGAATGCCTGCTATCCCAGCACTGGGGAGACTGAGGCAGAAGGATCTCCAGAAGTCAAGGCCAGCTAGGATTACACTGGTTCTCAAGAAGTAAAAAGAAATAAAGGGCCTGGGCTAGCCTCAAACCTTGATCCTCCCCTTCTCACACTCCCAAGTAGCTAGGATTACTGGTGCTGGCTTTAGCTACTATGTTTTAGGTACTGTCTCCCTCTCCACCACCAACCCCTCCTCTCTCTCTCACATACACACAAAGGAAATAAAAGACAAGTATAACAATATGAACAAGGAATTAAGACATTATAAAAAGCGTTGTTAACTTGAAAAAATGGACCGGCAAGAGGCCAGATGTGTGGCCTCTGGAGACGGAGACAGAGCAGGCAGCTGGGTGCTTGTGGCTTATGCCTGTAATCCTAGTTACTTAGAAGGTTGTGATCAGGAGGATCTGAGTTTGAGGCCATCCCAGACAAATAGAGACTCCATTTCCAAAATAACCAGAACAAAATGGGCTGGAGGTGTGGCTCAAGTGGTAGAGCATCAGTTTTCCAAGTGTGAAGCCCTGAGTTCAAACCCCAGTCCTGCCCCACCTCCCACAAAAAAAGGAAGAAATTTAAACTTTCTCTGAAGAAGGAAGACAAGAGCCAAAGACTAGGGAACAAAGATGAGAGACAGGTCTGGAGAGAAAACTGACATAGAAACCAGGGGAGAGAAACAACAAAAAGAACAGTAACTGTGGAGTCCTGAAGGCCACATAGACACGAAGTGAGACTCCAGCCTAAAACAGATACCTCTAGCTACCAAGCCTTCCAGATGTTGGCAGGAGCTGGGTTCACCTCCCAACCCCTCTCCCTTGGTTTCCACCAAGGCATGCTGCTCCTACCTCAAGGTCAGGGGGTCCTGGTTCCCCCAGTCCAGCACTCACAGAGGGAAGAGGTGGTGGTAGGAACTGCCAACCCTTCAGGGACTCTGCAAAGGCTGTCTCTCTTAAGGAGGGCCCCAGCTCAGGTTTGCCAGGCTTCCGGACAGGGGTGTCACAGGCTGTATTCCCCAGCAGAGGCTGCTGAAGCTCTTGAAGACTAGGACTGTCCATGCTGGGGGCAGACTGTGGCAGAGAAGGTTCCTAGGGGCAGAAGGAAGACAAATACAAGTTGTAAAAGAGCCTCACTTATCCATCCCCTTGCCCATCTTTGGAGAGACTCAGGCAGAGATGAATTTAATAGCCCTTGGATCCATTTTACAGATAGGAAAACAAGCCAGAGGGTAAGAGGTGGTTCCAACTTATGAAGACAACTCAAGGGTCTGTACATTTGATTCTGGGCTTCTCTCTCAGGCAAAACATATACCTGTTGCATACTTACTCTAAACCAAGCCTTGCACACTTTCCCATGAACTCTTCCCCTCCACACACACACATACACCCATCCCAGACTCACGTTTCTCACCACCCATCCAAGCCCATACACCTCTCTTAGGCACCCTCCCAACCCCAATTCCAGTGACCCTGGAACTTCCCCTTAAGTCCTCACTCCCCTCCTGCACAACCCAGGCCTGCACCCTCTGAGTTCCCAAGGCTCCTGCCACACAGCCCTATCCAGACAAGCCCACCCTCACCCCTACACATTCATCTCCCAGAGGGCTCTTTATTCAGTAGTCTCAAAAATCAACTCCCAGAAAACATCCTTGAGGCTGGAAACCTTTTTACACACTTATTCCAAGAGACTCCTTGCACAATCCTAATAGTCACAGCATCAGAAACGACACACATCCCCCCACACGCACAGGCTTCCCATATCCGCACCCCCACACTTCCATCCTCCCATCGTTTTCCTTTACACTTATTGGGGTCCAACATCCTCCCCAACTACACCTGACCCCAAACAAATCCCCACACACCCTTCAATTCAGGTTTACCCCAACCCTGTTTTTGCACACCTTGCCCTACAGTCCTCCCCGAAGCACACACGTACGTGTTCACACTCAGCACAACCAGAAAAGAGATGTTTCTCGGCCTACGATCCCCCTGGGAGGCCCGAACCTCCTGACCCCCTGCTCACTCCAAACCTCCACTGAGCCGATTTGTCGCCAAAGGTTCGCAACGCCAGGACCCTGAGAAAGGAGCGGTACCCCTACCTCCTCCCCACACTCTTCGCCCCTGACCAGACCTGGACCACCGGGCCCCGCACAGCGCTGCTGCCCCGGTGAGGGATAAACTCAGCGATCCCTCGTCCTGGGGCCGGGAGGGAGGGGCTGCGGGCTCTGCGCGCTCGGCTTCGTTCGGGTCTTTGCGCCCCGGGCCCGCAGCGCGCGGGGGAGGGGGCGGGACGACGGCGCCAGGCCCCGCCCCTCCTCCGCGGAGGCCCGGGTGGGGTCTTGAAGGCCACTGTCAGCCACCCCCTGATGCGAGGTGCAGGTGGGGATCCCAGAAACAGCAGCCCCTTTCACCCAAGGCCAGGCCCAGGCGCGCTGGATGGAGGATGGGGAGCCTGGGGTTCTCCAGGGCCTTCTGGCTTGGCCCCGCTCCCATACCATCCCTGTCGCCCAATAATAACCAATAATAATAGTAACGGCTACTACAGCTATGTGCCCTGTTCTAAGTGCTTTACACGTACACTTTCACATTTATTCCTAAGAGGCAGTATCACTTACTGTCTTGTTTCACAAGGGCAGGAAAGAGGTACAGAGAGGTTAAATAACTGGCCTAAGAGCACACCGCTAGTTCACTGAGTGCAGTGAACCCAGGCCCTGGGTTCAAATGCTTTACATTCATCATTGCATTCATCCTCTCAGTTGCTCTGGTTTTCTCCCTATTTTGCAGATGAAGAAACTGAGGTTGAGAAATGTGCTCACTTCTCAAGCAAAAAACAATTGTGCCAGGACCAGCATAGTAAGTAACCTAAGTAACCTAAGGCTGGGTTCCTTGCTGACTCAAGGTGAGGAAGCAGAGACAGAAAACCGACTGAGAGCTTTCAGGGAAAGGAGGCTGAGGCATAAGTTCCAGGGTGGGGTGGTGTGCTGGTCCCCAGGTACACCAGCTACACAGATCGTTTTCTTGACTCAGGGTTTGAATCCATACAGACCTAGCTCCTTTCCAGGCTTTTCAAGACACTTGCTGTGTGACCTCTGGACAATGGTTCCATCTCTCTGAACCCCAATTTCTCCATCTGAAAAATAGGCAAACAAAGCTGGCATGGTAGTGTGCCCCTGTCATCCAGCTATGTGGGGGAGTCGAGGTCCACACCAGCCTGGGCATAAACTCAAGACCATATTGGAAAAATTCCTAAAAGCTGGCAGTGTGGCTCAAGTAGTTAAGTGCCTGCCAGCAAGCACAAGGCTGTTCAAACCCGGTACCACAAAAATACACAGACTAGGTGTGTGGCTCAAGTAATAGAGCACTTACCCAGCAAACATAAGGCCCTGAGTTCAATCCCCATTACAGCCAAAAAAAAAAAAAAAGAAAAATGAAAAATGGTGGTGAAATGTTTAGAATAGGTGCAATAACAAGTGTCCAACATTTACCCAAAACCTGGCAAATTAACCACTTGGAACATGTGACAGTTTTGTTAATATTATTTACCTCCATCTCCATCGCTGTGACTGGAGGACACACCGTTTACTCAACGGGCAAACCTCCACTCCTTCAGGGAGTCCACCCAGTTTGCCCTGCTTCCCTTCCCAGAAGCCAGACAGAAGGATTCCCCAGCCCGATGTGGGACCGGCTGGAGTTCCCTCCATCCAGGGCTCTGGGGCACTGTGCCAAGAGTCCAGACGCTTGAGCTGGCACGGGCCCCACTCCTGGGGAGAACAGATGGTGTCTGCAAGTGCACTTGGCTCAGCCAGAGTTTCTGGCAGATGACAGGCAAGGAGACCCACAGGAGGGGTGACAAGAGGGGAACAGGGCAGAATTGTTTGCCCAGGAGGGTACCCGTTATTCTCCAGCTCCTTGCCCTTATTCTACTTGGGATATATGTTCATATCATAATTCATTTATTACATGTTTCTTTTGTTGTGTGTTTCTTCTCAATCCTCCCATCAGTGTCAGCTCCACCAGGCTGCGATTTGATCTCTTTTGTTTACTGCAGTGCCTCAGGGCCTAAAACAATGCCTTCCACAAAGTGGGCCTTCTTTTCATATTTGTGGGATGAGGACATAAATTCTACCAGCCTCAGTTTTTCGTCAGATCAATGAGCTCTGTGGTATCCCTATCCTCCTTGGCCACCTTAGAGATGAATTTGGGTCCAGCTAGAACTCTGGTCACCATCAACCCTTGTAGTCTTCCCAACCCACCCCTTTCAGAAAGTCAGGAGAGGCCTGGAATGTTAAGCAGCAGATTTCAGTGAAGATTCTCTATGGGGGCCCATGCCATCCAGTCCAAGAAGGATAGTATATAGTCTCAAAATGTAATCGAATGGGTGACTTATGTGTCACAAAGCAAAAAAACAGTGCTGTGGGCCCAGTACCAGTGACTCATGCCTGTTACACTAGCTACTTGGGAGGCTGAGATCAGGAGGATCAGTTTGAGGCTAGCCTCTAGTAAACAGTTCCTGAGATTCTATCCCCCTTTTCCAAAATGACAATAGCAAAGAGGACTTGGAGAAGTGTTGCTTAAGTGGTAGAGCGCCTGCCTAGCAATGTGAGATCCTGAATTCAAACCCCAAACCACCAGAAAATGGGAAAGGGAGGAAGATTTCACAAACAAGTCTGGCCCTAGTGGCTCGTGCCTGTAATCTTAGCTATTTGGGAGGCTGAAATCAGGAGGATCAAGGTTTGAGGCCAGTCTAGGCATACTTCTTGAGACCCCCATGTCCAAAATAACTAAAGAAAAAATGGACTGGAGGTGTGGCTCAAACAGTAGAGTGCCTGCTTTACAAGCATGAAACTGTGCATTCAAACCCCAGTCCCACCAGAAAAAAATTCACAAACCAAAACTCCGAGCAAAAGACAACAGTCTCAAGAGAACACATATTGTGATGTCATTTATATAAAGTACAAAATCAGGCAAAACCATGTTCTTGACAGTGTAATCAGTAGTTATCCTGGAGGCCTCCAGAAAGAGGCTCGAAGGACATCCTGGGGAACTGGTCATGTTCTTTTCTTGAGCTGAGTCCTAGTTGCCAGGTGTGTTCAGTTTATGAGATTTAATCAAGCTGTTCGTTTATTACTTGTGCACTTTTCTGTGCATGTATCATACCTCAAAACAGTTATTTTTGAGAAGCGTGAGGTAGATCTTTATATACTAAGATGAATACTAGCACTTGTTTCCAAGATGTATCACTGAGTGGAAAAAGCAAGGCAAAGCAGCATGTACAGCTACTACAGAAAACAGTACAGGAGAACTTTAAAAAGTTAAAAATAGAATTGCCATATGATCTAGTGTATACCCCCAAAGAACTGAAACTCAGGGTCTCTCGTGAAGATGAGTCAAGATGGCCAGGGCGAAAGTCATCAGAAGACTTGAACTGAGCTGGAAGATCTGTGAGTCACTCACATGGCGGGACTCCTGTGTCTCTCCACTGGCTGCTTCACTGTCCTCACAACACTGTGACTGATCTGCTTCAGAGAAAGGAATCTAGAGTCAAGAGGAAGCCTCAGTGCCTTTTATGACCTAGCCCCAAAAGTCACAAAGCAGCACATGTATTTTATGCCACTGGTTAGAAGCAAGTTACTAAGTCCAGTCACATTAAGGGGGTGAATTATGCTCTACCCACTTAAAGGAGCCATGCCCAAGAATCTGTGGAAGTTTAAAATAGCCTCGTGCACTAACCCATTAAATATGGACAATAGATCCTACAAGGTGGTTCTATCATTCACCCACATGTTAACAGATAAGGAAACTGAGGCACACAGAGGCTAGTGGTCACACAACAGAGACAGAACCAAGGCTTAAACCCAGGCAGTTGATTTATTTCCATTTTCTTTTTTTGTGGGGGATGGGGATAGGACTAGGTTTTGAATTCAGGGCTTCATGCTTGAGCCACATCTCCAGTCCATTTTGCTCTGGTTATTTTTTTGGAGATGGGAATTTGAGAACTATTTGCTTGGGCTGGCCTTGAAACTCCCAAGTAGCTTGGATTACAGATGTGAGCCACTGGTGGCAGGCTCCTGTGACCATTTTCTTAATCACTCATCAACTGGTGGGGAAGAAACCAACTGAAGAAAAACATTTAAGGAGCACTGATGACAGGACTTGATGAGTGGTAGGTTGTGGAAAATGACGTCTATGATGACACCAAGGCACAAATGTCCATAGTTCTTTAATACTGGGGGAATGTGTGTCCAAAAAAGGAAGATTGGCAAAAAGGGTAGGCATAAAAGGTTTAGGAACAAAGTTGGACGAACCTATGATTAATTTGGCTTAACACACATGGTTTTACCTTAATTTTTTCACCTTAAATAAAAAGGTAATACTATTACTCATGATGTCTGTGACAGTTCAGGGATATATGCATGTAATAGTGACTAGCTTTTATAGTGAGTTTTATGATAGAGGAAGCACTCAACAAAATATACCTTTTAAATTTGTCCATTAGTGAAATATTGAACTATTTTGCTTAAATAATGTTGCCCTGTTCAAATGCTGCCCCTTTCCTATAATTTGGAGTTGGTGATACATCCCCCCCCTTCCTTTGGTGGTACTGAGGATTGAACTCATGGCCTCCAGCTTGCTAGGCAGATATTCCTACCACTTAAGTCACTCTGCCAGCTGTGATGATAGTCCTTGTTTTCTTACTAAACAGGAGGGAATAAGTTCTCTGGACTAAGGAGCAAGGTTCAAGCGGATTGGAAGGACAGAAAAGGCATTGCTCAGGAATTCAGACTGAATACTTCTGTGCATGCCCAGTTCCTAAAGGAAATTGTTATCTGCAAACTGTGTTTCCAGAAGATCTTGGTCCTTGCATTCTGGGTGGAAAAAAACCAAGCAGAACACTGGATGGGGAGAGGTAGAATAGCTTTATTGAATGGGAGTCACCCATTCTGCCAGGTGAGAGAAGAGAAGAAGGGCTGTGGTCTTTTGATAGGTAGGTTTTATACCACCTTGAACTTGGAGGTGGTATACGTCATCACCTGGCTCCTCTCACCTGTGGGCTAGGGGGAGGAGCTCTTGAGTCAAGAGGGGGAGCAGTCCCAGACTATCCCTAACCTAGCCTGCCTCAAAATGACTGACCTAAAGCTGGGTAGGGCTAGGGGACAAATTACTGGCAGAGTCCAGTCATGAAAGACAGGACTTTCAGGACTGGGGATGTAGCTCAGTGGTGGAGCATTTGCCTAGTATGCATGAGGCCCTGGATTGGATTCCCAGCACTGCAAAAATACAAAACAAACAAAAAAAGCCAGATGTGGTGGCATCTCTACAATCCTGGCACTGGGGTGGCTAAAGTAGGATTGCCAGTTTGAGACCAGCCTGAGCTACAAAGTGAGACCCTGCCTCAAAACAAAAACAAGAACAACCCCCCCGCCAAAAAATTTACTGCTAAGGGGCTTCATCCTCATCTTATCCTCACTCCGCCCCATTGCTCAGAATCAGCGCTTAACAGAGAACTTGGCAGTCGTTCTGAGAAGGAAGTTCAACTTATCAGTCCTTGAGAATACTGAGCGAACTCTGAACATAGAAGGGGAACCCACTCCCCAATTTCTGCAGTATCTGAATGATGAGATCTTTTTTTTTTTTTCCCCAGTTGTAAGGCAAGGAGATACATGCATTGACTTGGACAGAATTCCCCTTTGGTCCTGACACAATTCTCTGATTTGTGGTCCTGGGTGAGAGTTTTCTTTGGGGGGGGTGGCATTGGGATCATCGACAGATTTGCTTATTGTGTGAAGATGGTAACCTGGAAGAAACGGCGCTCAAACTTCCTCCGTCAAAATCAAGATGGAGCTGCCCAGCTACGCCCCCCAATGACAGAACCCTGGGCTGGAGCTAGAGAGATGTTTTCTCAAAATGGAATGCGAGAGAGAAAAATGTCCATCACACCATCGCCCCGCCTCTCGAGGGCAACTAGCACCAATCATCAGCGTGCAGGGCGGACGCAAGGCCAGGGGCGGAGCCTGCTGTTGCCCCAGCAACAACCCGGGCACCCGAGGCGAGCGCGGCCGCGGAGGAATCGTGCTTCAGATCTCTCTCCAGGAACGTCCTGAGGGAGAGGCGCGAACCAAGTCTGGTCGGCGTCCGCAAAGGGAGGACAGATCAGGCCCATGAACTACAATCCCCGCAACCGCTTTCGCTTCTAACCGTTAAGAGCGCTGAGGTAGGAAGGACGCATGCGTTGCACTTAGGGGCGGGTTAAAGTGGCCCTGCATCCACGACGCATGCGGCTCTTGGAGCTTGGGGCCCAACATGACGCGAGGGGTGGGACTTTGCGGCTGGGGGCGGAGCCATAGGCCCATGGGGCGGAGTTTTCTATGGGACTGAGCCTTTGGAAGTTTATTTTAGGCGGGGCAGAGGTAGGCGCCGGCTCCCTAGCCGCGAGTTCCCTCCCCGTTTTTCCTGGGCTTTCCTGGGGAGATGGTTAGGATCTGTGGTTAAGACTACAGCATCAGTGGGCTGACGAAACTAGCTTGGAATTCTAGTACTGCTCTTTACTTGATGGGCCTCAGTTCCCCTATCTGCCCGATGGAAATAATATTCTCACCTCACAGGGTTGAGATTGTATTTTTCCCTCTCCCAGGGCCATGGCTGAGGTGCACGTGATCGGGCAGATCATGGGAGCCACCGGTTTCTCTGAAAATAGCCTCTTCTGCAAGTGGGGCATCCATACAGGTATTCCCCCAGTCCTGGTTAATCTCCCAGCCAAGACACTGACCCCCAATTTATGGCTCCACGCTCCTTCCTTGACTCCCTGATCCTCATTTTCCATTGTCTGTCATGACTCCTGACCCTCTCCTGACGCTTTCCTTCTCCTCTCTCTGGGGTCTCTGTGATTCCTACTCTCTGAACAGAGTAGGAGAGTCCCTAAGTTTATGGGACTATAGGCTAGACCTACTCCCCCCACAACTTCCCTCCCACACACACACTCTTCCAGTTCTCAAAACAGTATACAAGCTGGGCACCGTAATGCACACTTGTAATCCCAGCACTCCAGAGGTGGAGGCAGGAGGATCGAGAGTTTGAGGCCAATCTGGGCTACATAGTGAGGCCCTGTCTCAAATAAAACATGCAAACAAACAGAAACCCCAAAACAAATTGGGCAAGGTGACACATGCCTGTATTCCTAGCACTATGGAAGCCATGGAAAGTGGACTAAGAGTTCAAGGCCAGGCTGGGCTACATAGGAGACCTAGTCTTAACAAACAAACAAAAGCATAAAACAGTAGACAGCCCCAACTCTCCTGTTTGGGTTCCACTCACAATCTTAAGGGTGCCCTGGGTCCCTCTGTCATCTCAGTAATTCTTTGATTAATAGCCTCCATTTATTGAGTTCTTACTGCAGAGTAGAAGCTTGCATCTCTGATTTACAGCGAAGAGAGCACTTTGGTATTCAAAATTCTCTGTGTACCCTATTCTTGCAGCCATCCAAATCCAAGGGGTACCTGGCAGCCCCTTTCCCATACTCCCCATCTACGTCCCTGTACGTAGTGGTATGGTATAATGGTTGGGGACATAGATGCCATATCCGGGTTCAAATACTAACTCCCTTTGGACTTGACCTCTCTGAGTTTCATTTCCTTGTCTGAAAATGAAGCTAATAGCAGCGAAGAGGCAGCACAACATTGAGGTTAAGAGCACAGAATTTCTGTGTTCTTATTTATGTGATCTTGGGCACTTCTCTTTGCCTGGATTTCCCCATGTGAACAATGCGAATACTCACAGTACTTGCCCGCTGTGGTTGTTAGGACTAAATGATTATCAATAGCACTTAGAGTAGGGCCTGGACTAGTGAGTGCTCCATGTTTCATTTCCACTCTGGACCCCACTATTCACCTGCTTTGTGACCCTGGGCAGATGCTGACCCCTCTTGGAGCTCATAGTAGGGGATAGAAAGTAAGCAAATAAAGAAACACAATGATTACAGATCATTTTAGGTGCTAAGAAGAAAAGAAAAGTGATGTGATAGGGATTAGTTTTGGATAGCAGTGCCAGAGAGTGCATCTGTGGAAGTGCCACTTGAACAGAGCCCTGGGGGAAAAAAAAAAAAAGCCAGGAATGGGGACATCCAGGAGCTTTGTAGTCAGTGCAAAAGCCCTGAGGTGGGGGAATGGAGATGGACAGTGAGGCTACAGGATGATGAGGGAGGAGAAGAGTGACAAGAGAGGAGTTTAGGGAGGTGGGCGCAAGTCTGGCCATGCAGGGCCTCATGGTCAGTCTGTAAACTGGGGGAGGGGAAAATTAAGAGCCCTAGAGGGCAGATTTAATGAATGCATCGTTTAAAGTGTTTAGCGTAGCATCTGTCATTTAGTAAGCACTTTGCATAGTCCCCCATTTCCATTACCCTTGGTAGAGTTGTTTTTAAAATGTGTTTTTCACTATGTGTTCCTGTTTTAGTCCTCAAAGAAGGCCTCAAAATGTAGGGTGAGCATAGTAATAAAATGATATTGGGGGAGGCTGGTGGAGTGGCTCAAGTGTGAGGCCCTGAGTTCAAACCCCAGTACCAAAAAAAAAAGGTATTGGGGTGAGATATAGCTCAACAGAAAGCCCACGCTTGCTTAGTTTGCATGAGTCCCTGGGTTCAATAGCACCAAAAAAAAAAAAAAAAAAAAAAAAAGGAGGAATGGGGAAAGAGAAAGAGAGAAAGAAAGAAAAAGGCCAAGCATGGTGGTATACTGTAACCCCAGCTATTTGGGAAGTGGAGGTAGGAAGATCAAGGTCCAAGAGCAGCCTAGGCAAAGTTAGCATGATACCCTATCTGAACTAAAGGCAAAAGGCTGGGTGCATGGCTTGGCTCCAGTGCTAGCCCACTATCCCAGCCCCCAGGAGCACGCACATGCTCACACACACACATAGTGCGTTATTTACTCACTTTATAGATAGGGATTCCCAGGCAGACAAGGTTGCACAAGCAGATTTGAACCCAGACACTTGGCCGTAGAGGTCACACTGTCACCTTCATCTCTAAATGCCATGGACACACATGCCTATAGCCATGGTGGCATCCCTTTCCTTAAGGCTGCCTTCCAGCCCCTGTACTATGTCCTGGCTCTCATTACAGGGGCTGCATGGAAGCTCCTGTCTGGTGTACGGGAAGGCCAAACCCAAGTGGACACTCCCCAGATAGGGGACATGGCCTACTGGTCCCACCCCATTGACCTGCACTTCGCCACCAAAGGTCTCCAAGGTGGGTACCAGACCTGGGACCTGTAGCATCCAAAGCAGCTTTGGCCAGGAACACCATCTTGTCCCTACTCCCCATACGTCCAGCAAGCCTGCCCTAAAGCTAAGCTGAGGCCTCCCCAGGCCTGAGTCATGGGAGGTCCCAAGCACATGGAGGGGCTGAGGCTGGGGTGGAGGAGAGATGGGAAGGTGAGCGTCAGGATGGAGAGGAGGTGGCTTCCAGGTAAAAGGACAGTCCCTTCAATGAGGAGGCTGAGGAGGGTTTATGAGAGTTAGAGAGGGGAAGGGAGGGAGGGAGAGAGGGGCAAGGAGTGACTGCCATTCCCCCTTCCTCACTGCTCAAGGGAAAAGTGAGTATTGGAGGGAAGAGGACAGCAGTAAACCTTTTCTCGTAGAAAGTGCAGCAGATTCCTGGAAATAGGTTATTTCCACAATATCAGTAAGTGCCTGCCATGTCCACCCTGGGTTGGGTGATGCTGGGGAGACATCTGTGATCAAGACCCTTCTTCCCACCCCTGCCCTCAGGGGCTCCATCCTGTGGGACACAGACCTGTCTCCAGGCAGGGCCAGGCTGGGATTGGGGATGGTAGAGGCCATGGGAGCCCAGAAGAGGTGAGCTTGCCAGGTAGGCCAGAGAGGGCCTCCTTGGGGAGGACTTTGAGCTTTGCTATGAAGGGAGTTAACAAGGCTGAAGAGTGAGGGATGGGAGAGGGTTTTCAACAGAGAGCCACATGTGGGAGGCTGAAAGGGAAGAGTGAACCAGAACATTTGAGGACCATGAAGAGCAGGACTGTTGGGGTCGGGGCAGGGCTGAGGCCATCTCCTGAAGGCACTGGGGAGCCAGAACAGTCTTCCTGACTGCTGTGTGCTTGATGCATTGAAGGGTGAGGCAGAGAACTCTGCTTTCAGCTCTTCAGGCCCCCAGCCCTCAGTCTGGCATCACCCTTGCTTCTCTTTTCCCAGCCCCCAATTCTGTCCACTAAGAAATCCTGTTAGCTCTAAAACTCTGTTTGAAATACATCCTAATTTCCACTTTCACCCCCTTTCTCCTGCACCTGATGTGTCCATCTGCATCTTTCACCTGGACTATTTTGTAGCATCTTTACTGTGCTCCCACCCTCAACCTTTAGGGTGTGCGCCCCACACAGCCAGCAGGGCTTGGGGACCACGTAAATCGAGTCATGTTTCCTCCTCTGAGTAGAACCTTCCAGTGGTCCCTGTCTCACTCAGAGTCTTACATCACATGGCCCTGCATGATCTGGCTGTCACCTGTTCCCTTTCTCTGCCTCCAATCTAGCCCTACTGGCCCCACCACACCCTCTCCCACCTCAGGACCTTTGCAGCGACTGTCCCCTCTAGCTAGGATCTCTCTTCCTCTAAATGTCCACATGGCCCAGTGCCTTCCCTCCTTCAAGCATATGCACAAATGTCACCTTCCTGGTGAAACTATCTCCTTCCCCAAACTGCATCCCCACCCCCACCCTCCCCTGCCTTATTTTCCTCCAGAGCAGTTATCACCATCTGACATACCCTGTAATTTGCTTATTTACTGTGTTCGTTGTCTCAGATGTCAGCTTCACAGAGCAGGATTTTTGTCTGCTGTGTTCACCTCTGTGTCCCCAGCTCCTAGAACAGGGTCTAGCACAGAGGAGAGCTCAGAATGGAGAGAGATCTGGGTCTCCAAACACTTTGACTACCTGGTTGAGAAGCTGAACTGTGTTCTGAGGACATGGCAAACCTGAGAAGGGGAAAGAGATGCCTTCAGCTGCTGAGTGGCAGTAGACTAGGAGGCGAAGAAAGAAAGCCTTGGGTCCAGGGGAAGGACAAGGCAGGTCCATGAGAAGGGGAGGCAGAAGGCATCCGGGACAAGACTCAAGATACTTACCTGGGGACTGGAAGAGCTGTGGGCTGTCCTGATGGGTGGTATTAAAGAGGCCACAGACACACACCAGCAGAGGCCATATCTGAAGGGCCTTGAATATTGAAGAGGTTGGACTTTATACTAAGGGCACTGGGAAGCCATGGAAGGTTCTGAGAATATGCATGTAGATCTCTTTGGTGCTGTTTGGGAATGGGGTCAGGAAATGGGGCCCCAGAGAGGAAGCTCTGGAGCAGTAACCAAAGGCCAAAAGGAACAGGCCTAAGTCTCCAGTGGGTATTAGGGGAGGGGGGGACCCATAAGCAGGAAGCTGGCCCCCCCATTCCTCTTCTCTCCATCCTGTCCTGCAGGCTGGCCCCGGCTCCATCTCCAGGTGTGGTCCCAGGACAGCTTTGGCCGCTGCCAGCTCGCAGGCTATGGCTTTTGCCACGTGCCCAGCAGCCCAGGCACCCATCAGCTGGACTGCCCCACATGGCGGCCCTTGGGAAGCTGGCGGGAACAGCTGGCAAGAGCCTTTGTGGGTGGTGGACCACAGTTGCTACATGCGGATACCATCTACAGTGGGGCTGACCGCTACCGCCTGCACACCACCGCTGGTGGCACTGTGCACCTTGAGCTGGGCCTACTGCTGCGGCACTTCGACCGCTATGGCGTTGAATACTGAGGGATCCCATGGCTAACAGTTGGTGTCATCTACAGTAGTGGATACCCTTGGGCACAGAATGGCACAGTGGTCATGATCATGGGCTCTGGAGACTGTCAGACCTGACCGCAGGCAAGGCATGGCCCTGCTTCTGTCCCTGTTGGGAACTCATGCCCTGTAACTCCCCTGGAGGCAAGTCTCCTTGTGTGAACCACGGGGCAGGAAGCCTGTGGGCCACAGGGTTGCAGGAAACAAGGCTGCATAGCACATGGTCAATAAAGGCGTGCGTTTCTCAGAGGTTCGGTGCCTTCCTGACCCCCCCACCGCCCCCCCCACGTCAGCTGTCAAGAGTCCCCATGCCCCCTGATGCTATTCTCAGGCCCCCATCTTCCTACAGACCCTCTGCCCCAGTTTCTCACTCTCTTCCCTTTCTGGGTGCTCTTCCTCTGGTCCTCCCTCCTCTGTGTCCCCATTCTCTGATGACACCCTCCCTACCAGGTCATTTTTCCCGTTGACCCTACACCAACCCCCAAAGTCACGGCGCACCTCGGTCTCGGGCTTTGGTAGTGCTCGGCCGCCAGGAGGCAGCACCCTGTTGGTGGGGCGGAGCCGGGTGCCCGCCCCCTCCCCGCAGGGCTGAAGGGACCCCCCTCGGAGCCCGCCCACGCGAGATGAGGACGGTGGCCCCCCCATGCCCTCCCCCTGGGACTGCCCCCGCCCCGCGCGCTTCCTGGGTGGGGCCGGGGCGGCTTCAAAACCCCCGCCGCCCCCAGCCGGTCCCCGCCGCCGCCGCCCTTCGCGCCCCGGACCGTCCCCCTCCTCCTCCCGCCGCGGATCCGCCAGACAGCGAGGCCCCCGGCCGGGGCAGGGGGGACGCCCCTCCGGGGCACCCCCGGCTCTGAGCCGCCCGCGGGGCCAGCCTCCGCCCGAAGCCGGGGAAGGAGCCGCCGAGGAGCAGCCCGAGGCCCCAGAGGCTGAGACGAGCCGCAGCCGCCGCCACTGCGGGGAGGAGGGGGAGGAGGAGCGGGAGGAGGGACGGGCTGGTTGGGAGAAGAGGAAAAAAAGTTTTGAGACTTTTCCGCTGCCGCTGGGAGCCGGAGACGCGGGGACGGCTGGGCGAAGCGCTGCCCCGCGAGGAGGCAGGACCTGGGGACTCCAGACCGCCCCGCTCACCGCCGCGGACGCTGGCTCCGTCCCTGCCCCCTACACAGCGTTCCCCGGGCACCCCCATTCCGGACCAGCCCCAGGAGCCGCAAACCCCGCCTCCCGCGAAGACTTCACCCCAGACCTGGGGCGCACCCCCTGCACGCCCGTCTCCCGAGCCCCCCGCATCCCAGGACCCTCTCTCCTCTGGGAGTCCGATCTGTCTCAGACCTGCCACCGCTCCCCCATTCAAGACCACCCACCTTTTGGTACCAGATCTCGCCCATCTCGATTTCCACCCCCCCACCCCCGTACCGTGGGATACTGAGACACCCTGTGTCAGAGCCTCCTCGCAACCCCTGCTTTTTTCTCCCTGAGGACCTCAGTTTTCTCCTGGGACCCTTCTACCTTTCCCCCGGGAGATTCTCAACTCCTGCAGGGGCGGGGCCTCCCCATCCCACCTCTGTCGGGTTCGCGATCTCGGCAGTGCCGGGGGGCGCCGCCTCCCCCATGCCGCCCTCGGGGCTGCGGCTCCTGCCGCTGCTGCTACCGCTGCTGTGGCTACTAGTGTTGACGCCTGGCCGGCCAGCTGCGGGACTGTCCACCTGCAAGACCATCGATATGGAACTGGTGAAGCGGAAGCGCATCGAGGCCATCCGCGGCCAGATCCTGTCCAAACTAAGGCTCGCCAGCCCTCCGAGCCAGGTGGACGTGCCTACCGGCCCTCTGCCCGACGCCGTGCTCGCTTTGTACAACAGCACCCGCGACCGGGTGGCGGGGGAGAGCGCCGACCCGGAGCCTGAGCCCGAGGCGGACTACTACGCCAAGGAGGTCACCCGCGTGCTAATGGTGGAAACCAACAACCGTGAGTTAGGAGGGGCCGGGGAGCCCCGAGGGGCCCCCAGGGGGCGCCGGAGTGCAGGGGTCACAGAGAGGAAATTACTGGCAGAGGAAACTGGCTGCAGGACCCACAGGGGCGCCGGATCGAGTGTGTAGGTGTGGGTGTCCTAAAGAGGATGGTGCTAAGTCCCTAGCCCCCTGGTGTCGGGTCTTGGAGAGGAAATAGCGAAGGGGACCACTTTTATAGGGCGACAAGAGCGTGCAGGATCGTGGGGAGAGCCACCTATTAGGAGAGAAGCAGTTGGGGTAGGTGGGTAAAAAGGACTCCCTCCTACAGGGTGCGCTAGAATGCGGGGTTCCCTTGGCAGAGAGGATGGGGAGAAGCGAAGACTCCAGCATTTGGGAAAGGAGAGGCAGTGAGGATAGCTCCGGGAGTCGTGAGATGGAAAAATCGAAGGACTGGAAAAGTCTAGAACGGACTCAGTTGCAGAGGGAACCAGGAACACGCGGGATGGCAGAGGTCGTGGAGAGATCGACCTTGGGCTTGGGTGTGACAAATGTGGAGGGAAAGAGGGGTGAGGTAGGTGGGAGAAAGAGGTTCGCGGAGACCCCAGGAGGATGCGGAGGATGCACGGGGAAGTGTCGCGGATAGGAACGTGAGAGACAAGCAAGCGAGTCTGCAGGAAATCTAGAATACTGGGTCAGAAGGGGGTTCCAGAGAGGGGAGGTACACATGGGAAAGGTGGACCCGCGAGGCGGGCTCAGCAGCCCCCCGCCTCTCGCCCCAGCGTGGAAGGGAGTGGCTGAGTGACGATTCGAGCCTTAGGGAAAGGCTTAGGGGTGCGGGGCGACTTTACAAGACCGATGTGAGAAAACCCAGTTAGTAGGGGTGAGAAAACCCCACGTGGGTGCCACGCGCGAGGGGAGGAGCCTGCGTATCCAGAAGGGGCTAAGAAGTCCCCGCAGAGCTGAACGCCAGTAGTCTGAACCCCAAAGCTCCAGTTCCTTTTCGGGGAGGCTGGGGAAACCCCAGCGTCCGGCCGCCTCGCCCTCCTCCCTTCCCTTTCCTTCCCGTGCCCCGGGGGGGCGGGGATCGCGCGCGGAGCCTGGGGCGAGACGAGGCAGGTCCCGTCCCCGCCCTCACGGCTGCGCCTCCAGCCCTCCTCACCCCAACCACGGGCGGGGCGCCTCCCGGGTCCGCCCCGTCGGCGCCCACGCGGGACCCAGGAGTCCCTCTTGGCCTGGAGCCTTGGGGAACGTCCCGTTTCACGTTCCCTTTTTGGGCGGGAGCTTTCGGGTGTCCGCACATTCGTGCACCCAGTTTGTGGCTCCAGCCAAAGGACGCCCCCTCCTCACTTGTGGCTTTTTTTTCCCCTTGTAGAAATTCAACAGTAACACCTATTCTTCTTTCTCCCTGAGACTTTTATTTCTCGAGTGTGTCTCCCCATCTCCGTCCTTTTAAATTCTCTCCTGCATCCTCCATTCATTTCTCAGTCCTTGTATAGTCTCCCAGTGTCAGTCTCTCCATCTCTGCGCTCGCTCTCCCTCTTCCCTCTTCCTTCCCTCTCTCCCTCTCTCTCCCCCTCCCTCCCTCTTTCTCTCCCCCCTCCTTTCTCTTCCTCTCCCCTCCCTCTCTCTCTTCATTCCTCTCTCTCTCTCTCTCTCTTCCCCTGTCCCCCTCTTCCTCCTCCCTGCCTGGCCCAGACTCTGCCATCTCTTCCTCAGTGCTGCACCCCCAATCCTTCCTGCCCTCCTGTCTCTTCTCTATCTGTAACCCTCAGCCAAGGCTCTTCCCTTCCTTGGGGTTTTACTGAGTAACCGCTGTACCAAGAATAGGGCTGGGAGGGTGGAGGAACACAAGGAGGAGTAAAGGAAGGGGGCCACAGGAAGGTAAGTGTCCTCTATCTTTCCTCCTGGATTCTCTCTGCCTCTTCGCACCCCCACTGCAGGAGGCCATAGGCACTTGTCCCTGATCTTCTTCCCCCATCCCTTCAGTCATTAGAAGGAACTTCACCTGCTCTAACCAGCTAGGGAACAGAGCGAAGGAAGGAAGCAATCAATAATAATAATAATAAAATTGACAGGGAGAAGCAGCCTGCTTTAGAGGTTAAGATCATAGTCTCTGGAACAGGCTGTCTAAGCTAAATCCCATTCTACCACTTCCTAGTTATGTGACCTTGGGGCAAGTTACACTTGCATCTGTTAAATGGATAGAAGAGCAACTTCTTCGTGGCATTGCTTTGAGGTCTCTGTGTCTCCAGCCTTTTATGTAAAGTACTTTGAACAGCATCTGACAAAGAGCACTTTTTTTTTGTTTTTTTTTTGAGACAGTCTCCCTATATAGTTCAGGTTGGCCTGGAACTCCAGATCGTCCTGCCTCAGCTTTCCAAGTGCTGGGATACAAGAATGTACCATTAGGCTCTGTGCAAGTAGCGCTCTTACCATACATGTTATTAAGTGACGTGTGCAGACTGCATGTCACATTGTGTTCTTGCATAATATATCCAACTTGCTTCCCTCCCATAATCCTAGTGGTCTAGAAAATCAAGAGACTCAGAGAGAGGAATTAGGAATTCACTTGCCACAGGTCACACAGTGCTTGAGTTAGGAGAGCCTGGGTTGGAAGTCAGGGAGCTTGACAGTATTGCTGTTTTTCAAAGAAAACTGGTTTAGAAACGGGTATGAACTGCCCAATGTCACACAGCTGAGAGGCAGCAGAAGCACTCTCTGATCCCAATGCCCAAGCCCTCGCCCTTAATTTAATCTGCATCTGCATCTGAGGCTGTAAACCCTGGGGAGGTCTAAGCAAGCAGGGGGCGGGGCAGCTCTTGACAAATGATGCTTTTAGGGAGAGAAGGGTGGGTGCGCTGGTCCTAGGAGAAGAAGCAAACCCAGAGAGGAGAAGCCCCTCCTCCAAGGTCAGACTCCAACCTGGAGCCGTGAGCTCCAGAATCCATGTGCCTAGGCTAGGGGTGTACCTACCCCCCCAACCCTGCCAAACCTTGATATCCTCTCTCTCTTCCTCCCACCTAGCAATCTATGAAAAAACTAAGAACATCGCACATAGCATATATATGTTCTTCAACACATCAGAACTGCGGGAAGCGGTGCCTGACCCCTTGTTGCTGTCCCGGGCAGAGCTGCGTCTGCAGAGGCTGAAGTCACATGTGGAGCAATATGTGGAACTGTACCAGGTGAGGCCAAGAGCCTGAGAGGTGGGGGGCCACAGGGCTGAGGTGTGGCCAGGTGGGTTGGTCCGAAGGCTGTAGGATCTCCATAAATGGATCATGAAGGGGGAGCACAGAATGCCGAATCCTAGGGCTGATTAAAACTTGGAGACTGCATCCTAGGCTGTTGAAAGCTGAATGTCAGGACCTGCAGTGTGTCTGTGATTCACACCTGTAATCCTAGCTATTCAGGAGGCAGAGATCAGGATTGTGGTTCAAAGCCAGCCCCTGCCCCCTGGCAAATAGTTCATGAGACCCTATCTTGAAAATACCCAATGCACACACAACACACAAAAGGCTGGGGGGCATGGCTCAAGTGGTAGAGTGCCTGCCTAGCAAGCATAAAGATGCAGACCTGAGTTCAAACTCCAATACTGAAAAACAACAACAACAAAAAAACCCACAGGAACTGCTGAGAATGTAGCTCAGTGCTAGAGCACTTACCTAGCATGAATGAGATGAGTGACTCCCTAGGTTCCATTCTTAGCAAAAAAAAAAAAAAAAAAAAAGAGAGAGAGAGAGAGAGAGAATAAAAAAACCCACGGATTTTGCAGGTTGGAATCTCTGGAAAGGTTGTGCGTATTTCTTGGTTAAAATTTAAATTGAGCCAGGCATGGTGATGCACTCCTGTAGTCCCAGTTACTCAGGAGACTGAGGCAGAAAAGATCCCTTAAACCCAGGAATTCAAGGCCGACCTGGGCAACCTAGCAAGATTCCATCTCCACTCAGGCACTGGTGTCTCACAGCTGTAATCCCAGCTACTCAGGATTTAGAGATCAGGAGGATTGAGGTTTGAAGCCATTGTAAGCAAATAGTTTGCAAGACCCTATCTCGAAAATACACAACACAAAACAGAGCTAATAGAGGGGCTCAAGTGGTAGAGCACCTGCCTAGCAAGCGTGAGGCCCTGAGTTCAAATTCCAGTACTGCCAAGGTTTTCAAATGCTCTGTAGTTCATGGTTAGCAGCTGCTTTTTTAGACACTACAGATAAAGACCATGTTCAGAAAGTTCTTTTGGAAGACTGCACTGTTTTGGAAGATGGAGTTTCCAGATGGATTGAGGCTTCTAGGGGGGCTGGAGTCTCTAGAAGGTTCTATGATCTAGAACCCATGTTATATGAAACCTTAGACTTGGAGGTGGTAGATATTAACGTCTTGCAATGAGAGAACCTTGTCTACATCAGCTTCTTGGCGTCTAGAGAATTCACTGTGTGTTGTAGCCCCTGAAGTGTTACACAGCACCAGAGATCATTTTACACAAATGTGCTGTCTGAACATTTAGGGGTACAGCCTGGGTACTCTTGGGTTTGTAGAATGTTCCTGTTTCTAGAACTGCCCATTTTCATTTCATGTGTGATTTTTTTTTTTTTGGCAGTACTGAGGTTTGAACTCAGTGCCTCATGCTTGCTAAGCAGACATTCTACCACTTGAACCCTTGCCCAGACCACATGTATGATTCTTCAGATGCCGTGGAACGATGGAGTTAGGAATGACTAAGTTAAGTCGGAATGACTTCTGACATAAGGCCTTAGAAAGCTAGCAACCCTCAGAATGCAGGGTATCAAGTTTTGTTTTGTTTTTGGTACTGGGATTTGAGCTCAGGGCTTCACACTTGCTCAGCAGGTGCTCTACTGGTTGAGAGCCACTCCACCAGCCCTTTTTTGTGTTGTGTATTTTCTCTTTTTTTGTGGTACTGGGGCTTGGACTCAGGGCTTATACCTTGAGCCACTCCACCAGTCCTTTTTTGTGATGAGTTTTTTTCAAGACAGGGTCTCTTGAACTGTTTGTCTGTGCTGGTTTCAAACCCTGATCCTCCTGATCTGTGCCTCCTGAGTAGCTAGGATTACAGGTGCAAGACACTGGTGCCCGGCTCAGGGTGTCAAGTTTGCTGAACCATATGCTCAGCAAGCCCTAGAATTTTCTCAACAGCAGCTTTGCTGTGTGGGCTTTCCAAGCTACAAGGGGCCCAGGGAGGAAATTTGAGACCTAGGGAAGGATAGAGGTGCTGAGGCTGAGATGCCCCTTTCTCTGCCCCTCCACTTGGGTGCTGTGGGCAAGGAGGGAGCCTGCAGGGCCCATGTGTGATGCCTGGGAGGCTGGTGTCTAGGGACTGTGTGGCAGCCCATTTGGGGGAACAGGTAGGGTGGGGAAGTAGTTGTTGTATGTGGGGCATGATGGCATCTCCCCATGGTTCTTTCTCCCTGTTCACCATCCTTCAGAAATACAGCAACAATTCCTGGCGCTACCTCAGCAACCGGAAGCTGACCGCCATTAGTTCGCCTGAGTGGTTGTCCTTTGATGTCACTACCGTTGTGCGGCAGTGGCTGAGCCAAGGAGGTGAGATTGCTTGTGTTATCCACCCCTGTTAGGTAGTGGGGTTAGCCCTATTCATTCTGGGATCATCTTGCCTAGTGTCCTCACCACTCAAAAGCTTGGCCCTCCTCCCTGACATTGACACCTGAGTGACTAATTGATAGATCCATTACAGTTAGTCCATTTCCAGAGCTGTGCTCTCTGCCCTGAGTGAGATGTTGTCACTGGGGACACAGCAGTGACCAGAACAGCTCTGTCCTTTCCCTCATGTTGCTCATGGTCCCTTGGGAGGGTGGATGAGGAAGAGACTGGTAGCCAGGCAGTGACGACTCAAGAGTGGGCAGGGCTGGGATGGAGCCCACAGGAGGAACTGGCTCAGCTTGGACTCAAAGAGGGCTTCCTGAAGGAGGAAACATCTGAGGTGATATTTGAAAGATGAGTAGAGCCTGTCAGAAGAAAAGAGACAAGAGAATCCTATACAAAGATCCTGAAGCCAGATACATTTTATCTGTCCAGAAGAGAACTGTGTTTGTCCTGTTCCTGGCTGAGTCCACAGTGCCTGTATCTCCCTTTTCACTTTCATTCATACATTCATTCAGGAAACGCCAGTTTCTGCTCTGTGTCCACCCCTAGGTAATATGGGGGACACATTGGTAACCAAGACAGCTCTGGGTCCAGCACTCACAGGGCCCAGTTCCTTCTTGACACCTAGAAAGTCTTGCCAAAGCCCTAGCAGGCAGTAACGACCTAGAAGAATCATGACCAAAAGGGGAGGCATAGGTAGAGGGATTAGGACTGCTTAGCCCCAAAGTAGTGTGGAGCCCAGAGGAGGTTCCACCCCCCAGGCTGGGGTCCAGGAGGGTTATCCCAGGTGAGGGTGATTGTACTGAGACTCATGGGATACATAGAGTTTGACCATATGGAAAGACAGGGATGGGAGAGCAGGTAGGCTCCAGGCGTGTTCTGATGGACAAAGACCTGGATGGAGCTCATCTGTCTTGGTCTGTGTTGAGTCTGGCACACAGTAGAAACTTAGCAAACATCATTTAGACGTTCTCACATCTGCACTGTGGGAAAGCTCCTGGGCTTAGACTTGCACTGTCTTTTGCCTGTGTGACCTTGGGTACATCACTTCCTGTTCTGTACATTAGTCAGATGTCTTGTTTGGTTTTTTGTTGTTGTGTTGTTGTTTTTGGTAGGACTGAGGTTTGAGCTCAGGGCTTTGTACTTGCAAAGCAGGCACTCTGTACCTTGAACCACTCCTCCAGTTCTAACAAATAGGACATTTTTTTTTTCCTGGTACTGGGGCTTGAACTCAGGGCCTTCACTTTGAGCCACTCCACCTGCCCTATTTTTGTGAAGGGTTTTTTGAGATAGGGTCTCACGAACTATTTGTCCAAGCTGGCTTTGAACCGAGATTCTCCTGATCTCTGTCTCCTGAGTAGCTAGGATTACAGGCGTGAGCCACCAGCACCTGAACCAGACGTCTTATTCTGGGCACATCAGATTCCTATTCTGTAAAATAGAGCTTGGATGAGAATTAAAGGCACTTAAAGTTTAGAACAGGGCCTGGAACCTGTATTGCAGTAATGTTTTTGCAAGTGTGGGCTACACCTGGTGGGATACAAGAAAAGCAAGGGTTCCGGCCATGGTGCACACTGCTTTCTACTAAGAGCATTTATTAAGCATAAATGTCAGAGTGAGTGTGTACTATGGAATAAGTCAAAGGATGTGATAGTAGGTGAAAGGTGTACATCCTTTCTGAGGAGGTGACATTTGAGCTGAGCCCTGAATGAAGGAGGAGAAGCAGCAACTTCAAGAATTGGAGCAAGAGGGTGGTGTGGGGCCTAGTATGACCTGTAATCCCAGCTACTCGGGAGGCAGAAATAGCCTGAGCAAAAGCATGAGACCTACCTGAGCTGGTGGAGTGGTTCAAGGGATGGAGTGCCTGACTGGATTCAAACCTGAGTACCATAACAAAAGAATGGCGGGGGTAGGGGCAGTGAGCCAGACGGGAGCCCCAGAGGTTTGCTCTTTTTTTCCTCCTCCCTTGGGCTGGATGAGCTGTACCCTCAGACTGGCTTCTCTCTCCCACAGAGGTAATTGAGGGCTTTCGCTTCAGCGCCCACTGCTCTTGTGACAATAAAGATAACATACTCCAAGTGGAAATCAACGGTGAGGCCACCTTCCCTGGCCCAGCCCCGTGCCCAGCAGTGTCTGTGTGTGTGTGTGAGATCAGTTTGCCCCCTGCTCACTGATCCCTCCCTCTGAGAGTGTGTATGTGTGTCCTTCATCCCCAATCCCTGAACCCAAGCAGGGATCACTCCCAAACGCCGGGGTGACCTGGGCACCATTCATGACATGAACCGGCCGTTCCTGCTCCTCATGGCTACCCCGCTGGAGAGGGCCCAACATCTGCATAGCTCCCGGCACCGCCGAGCCCTGGACACCAACTACTGCTTCAGGTGAACTTCAACGCCTTCAACCAAGGCATTGCAGGCGGCGGTGGGGGGGGGCGCAGTGTTGACTGTATCTGCTGACCCGGTGATCCGGGATGGGCACCTGCTCTAGCTGGGCTTGCATTAAACATGTCTGTTAGCCCGGAGGGCTCAGGGACAAGTTTCTATTTCTAGAATGCTGGGATGCTGGAACTGGGTGTCTACAATGTGAAGATCAAGTTGCTTTCTTGCTGGAATGCTGAAATCAGACTGTTAGACTATTGGAAGGTTGTCTTGTTGGACGCTTACATTGTTGGCAGTTGGGATTCTAGAATGTTGGGAGTCTAGCAAGCAAGAATTTAGTGTTGCTGGGCATGGGGCTTATGCCTGTCATCCCAGCAAGGCCCAAGATGTAAATAGGAGGGTCATGATAGGAGGATCCTTGCCTAGGCCGGCCTAGCATAAAAGCAAGTGGCTCAAGTCTGTAATCCTGGCAACTGCGGAGGCAGAAATCAGGAGGATCAAGGTTCGAAGCCAGCCCAGGCAAATACTTCACAAGACCCTATCTCAGAAATATTCAACATAGGGTAGGGCTGGCATAGTTGTTCAAGCCGTAAGAGCAACTGCCTAGCAAGCATGAGGCCCGAATGAGTTCAAACTCCAGTGCTATCAATAAAATAAAAAAAGAAAAGAAAAATAACAAAAGCAAAAAGGGTGGGGGTGTGGCTCAAATGGTAGAGTGCTTGTGTGGCAAGTATGAGGTCCTGAGTTCAATTCCCATTACTGCCAAAAAAAAGAAAGGAAAAAGAAAAAAAAAGAATTCAGTGTTGACAACTGAATTGAGAGTGTTGGAGTCAAGAAAAGCTGGACTGTTGGGATCCTGGGATTTGGGATTTCAGAACTGGAAGCCTGCCTGCATTGGATTCCTATAGTATTACTGGCAGACTGCAGTCTCCAGTGTTGGCAGACGGGAGTCCTGAATATTGATTGGGCTCAGATGGTGGAATCCCATGTTGAAATGTCAGCATGCACAGATGTTGGCGATGGAGACTGGTGGTGTGGCTCAAGTGGTAGAGCACCTACCTAATAAGCAAGAGGCCTTGAGTTCAATCCCCAGTACCTCCAAAAACCCCACAGATGGTGGAGGTGAAGAAAGCCAGAATCTGGGGTCTCTCAGAGTGCTGAAGCTTACTGTTGCAATGTTTGGATCTTGGTGTGCAGATATCTTAGAAAGTTGGCAGGGCTGACCTCCTGAGGGATAGGCTCAGAACTGTGGAGTGCTAGATATTGAAATAATGGAAATTAAAGAATGCCAAGATCCCCAAGAGTTGGAACCTAGTGAGCTGAAAATGTTGTCAGCATGGTGAAAAATTAAACTGGAAGAGAGCCTAAGAAAGTTGAAAATTGAATTCCTAGAAATTCGAAATTCAGAGTTAAGGTTGGGGAATTAGAGTGATAATCTGACTTTGCCCCTCCCCCCCAAAGTATCTTGGAGGGGCGTTACATGCTGTTCCCACAGTAGGCAGGCAGCCCTTGTCCCTGGCTCCTCTGCCACCAAATCTTAAGTTCTGTGAATGAATGGATTGAGGTCCTGAGTGCCAGGTTATGAACAGATGTAGGTGGTCATGAGTGGCCTAGGAAGTCTTGCCAGAAAGTCTTAACATGAATCTCATAAGGACCATAGATCCAACCACGTTTCCAGAAACAGGGATAGAGGAACATGTTCAGCAACACCACGGGGATGCAGTCCACAAAATCCCGTTGGTAGGAAACCTGACCTTTGTCTGACCTTCGTCTCCTCAACAAATACAATGCAAACCAGGGAAGGGGACCAGTGTGGTGGCTCATGCCTGTCATGAGCTACTCAGAAGGCAGAGATCAGGAGGCTCGCAAATAGATCCAGAGACTTTATCCCGAAAAAGTCCAGCGCAGAAAAGGACTGGTGGAGTGGCTCAAGGTAGAGCACATGCTAGCAAGTGTGAGGCCCTGAGTTCAAACCCCAGTACTGCCAAAAAAACCCATAAAGAATCCTCAGAGACATATCTACTAATTGCACTGTGGTAGAGTGCTTGTTTGCCTAGCATGTGTGAGGCTCTGGTCTCCATCCCCAGACCATTTATCATTTTATTGGACAGCCAACTGTGAACTCTGAAGTATCTGATGCTATCAAGGAACCATTGTTCAGTTTTTGCATGGTTATCATGGTATTTTTTTTTCTTTTGTGCATGGCGCTGGGAGTGAAAGCTAGTGTCTTGCCCATGCAATGCAAGCACTCTTATCACTGAACTACCATCCCTGCCTGTGGTTATGTTTCAAAATAGTCTTGGTTTTTCTGGAGATACACAGTGAACTTTTTTGTGAGGGACACTGCTGGAGATCAAACCCAGGGTCTTAAATACATTGAACTATTTATAGATAAAAATCTAACATATAATTAAAGGAATCCAGTGGTGGAGAGGACGTAGGTGGGGGTAGAGGTGCGATGAAATTGTTCAAGCTGGTGATTGTGGCTATGAGAGCTTCACCAGGGGAGCATTCCTAATTCAACAATCCAAAAGCTGAAAGGTTCCAAAAGCTGAAACTTTGTGAGTGCTGACATCACTCTCAAAAAGATTTAGACTTCAAGCCAGGTGCCTGTGGCTTATCCCTGTTCTCCTAGCTACTTGGGAGGCTGAGATTTGGAGGATTGCAGTTGGAGGCAGCCTGAGCAAATAGTTCCTGAGACCCCCATCTCCAAAATTACCAGAGCAAAATGGACTGGAGGCGTGTCTCAAGTGGTAGAGTGCCTGCTTTGTGAGTGCAAAGCCCTGAGTTCAAACCCCAGTTCCACCAAAAAAATAACGAGAAAAGAAAAGAAGAAAGTTTTGGACTTCAGAGTATGTTGGATTTTCATAGTAAGGATGTTTAACCAGTGAAGTCTATGCAAATGCATTTCAGATGAGGGACTTCAGTTCATGACATAATACTCCCTGTGCCTATGTGCAAAACTTTCCAGAGTAAAAAGTTGTTTTAAGCCAAGTGTGGCAGTGGGTGTCTGTAATCCCAGCATTAGGAGGTTGAGGGGTCATGAGTTCCAGGCTAGGCTGGACTACACAGTGAGACCCAGTCTCAAAAAAACAAAATAAAAATGTTGGTTTTGCATTGGCTCAGATACCTCCTCCACTGGGAAGCATCCCGCCTTCTGCATCCAAGGTGGATGTGGGTTCCCCTTTCATTCCTTAGGCCCTCTGGTCCAGGTAGACTGGACAGAGAGGTCTGCAAAGGCATAAGCTGTGGGAATCCCAGGCCCAGCACACAGGAGGCCTTGATGAGTCCTGGACAGGTGAGTATGTGTGTGCACCAGAGCCACCTGGAGGGCTTCATCAGTATGGATTCTGATTCAGTGGGCCTGAGAACTTGCATTTCCCACAAGCACCTAGGTGACGCCACTGATGGTGGTTCAGGGACCCCATCAGCAGGGAGGAATGCTGACTTGGGTCAGAGTGCCAAAGCCTCTTCAAATCCTAGGACTCAGAATCCCATCTTGGGATTCTTGGACTAGAAATCAAGATGATCTAGACAGTGGCTTTTTCCTTTTTTTTTTTTGGTGGGACTGGGGTTTGAACTCAGGGCTTCATACTTTCTACCACTTGAGCCATGCCTCCTGTCCATTTTGCTCTGGTTATCTTGGAGACTGGGTCCTCCAGATCTCAGCCTCCCAAGTAGCAAGGATTACAGGGGTGAGCCACTAGCACCCAGCTTGCCTGCCAGTTTTTTTTTTTTTGTTGTTCTTTTTGTTCTTTTGCCTCACAGTTTTGATACGAGTCAGTTCCTTATCATTTGATTACTTTTTGGATGTGGAAAAACATGCACACAGACTAAACCCAGAGAGAACAGATACTCAGAGACCCTTTACTCTGATCCCAGCCACTCTCTTCAGAGGCAGCCACTTTATTCTTTCTTTTCTTTTTGGTGCTACTGGGGTTTGAACTCAGGGCCTCGTGCTTGCTAAGGAAGTGCTCTACTACTTGAGCCATTCCTCCAGTCCAGTCACTTTGATTCTCTTGTGACTCCTTCTACAGAAAGTCTCTGCATGGCATGCTTACACAGAGCCTCATATTCTTGGTTTCTTTTGGGGGTACGGGTGCTGAGGTTTGGACTCAGGACTTCATGCTTGCTAGGCAGGCCTTCTACCACTCGAGCCACTCCTCCAGCCCCACATATTCTTTTTATTTTGCCCAAATGGTAGTCTTTTTTTTTCACTTTTGAGATATGTTCTCATTACGTAGCCCATGCTGGCCTCAAATTCATAATGCTCCTGCCTCAGCCTCCAGAGTGCTGAGATTATAAGTGTGCACCACCATGCCCAGCCAAAATGGTAGTCTTTGGCGGGGGTGGGGGGGAAATTAGGGAGAAGCCTGTATTTTCTTTCTTTTAATTATTTTATTCTGATTCTAAAATTAATACCTACCAACTGCTGAGAGTTTGGAAAATTCAGAAAGATATTACCCATCTCAGAAGCACATATAAAAAGTTAATTGTGAGCATTTTAATATATTTCCATTCCTCTTATGCATAACAAAATTTGGATTATACCATACCTGTAACTCTGTACGTTTTTCCCCTTTTTTATGTATTTTTTTGAATGTCAAGAACACAGATTATGGAATGCTCTTGGTCTCCTTGGAGTCAACCATTTTAGTCAGGTCCCCAAGGCTGTCACATAGACCACTCTGCTGCTTGCAGGAAGGCAGAGGCTGGGCTTGAGCTCAGAGGACTGGTCTTAGCACCTGAGCCTAGAATATCTTGAATCCAGGATAGCAGAGTCTCACACACTGCTCTCTAATTGCTCTCTAATGTGTATTTGTTTAGTTTTGTTTTGGCAGTACTAGGGTTTTGAACCCAGGGCCTTGTACTCCCTAACCCTTTTTATTTTTTTTGCTTTAGTGATTTTTAAATAGTGTCTTACTTCTTTGTCCATGGCTAGCCTTAGGTCACAACTCTCCTATCTACAGCCTCCCTCATAGCTGGGATGGCAGGTGCGTACCACAACACCTGGTCTTGCTAACTTTGTGCCAGGATGGCCTCCAACTATGATCCTCCTGATCTCTGGTCCCATGTAGCTGGGCTTATAGATGTGAGTCACCACACCCAACACTAACTTGTGTTTTATCATGATTATTATTATTATTTTTGGTGGTACTGGTGTTTGAATTCAGGGCCTTGCACTTCCTAGGCATTAAATGTAGGATTTTGTTGTGATCCTGAGATTTGAACTCAGTGCTTTGTACTTGCTAGGCAGGTGCTCTACTGCTTGAGGCACACCTCCAGCCCTCTAACTTGTGTGTGTGTGGTGCTGGGGTTTGAACTCCTGGCCTCACCTTGAGCCACTCCACCAGCCCTATTTTTGTGAAGGGTTTTTTGAGATAGGTCTTATGAACTGTTTGCCTGGGTTGGCTTCAAACCTCGATCCTCCTGATCTCTGTCTCCTGAGTAGCCAGGATTACAGGCATGAGCCACTGGCGCCCAGCTCACTTATGTTTTAAAAACATATTTATAAAAAATTTCTACAGTCAACATATGCTGAGAAACCTACAGTGTGCCAGGCACTGGGGATTCATTAGGAGACCAGACAGACAGACTCTCCTTCGTTCCAAAGAAGACAGATAACCTACTGAAATAACAGATTGTGATAAGTTCTAGGAAGGAATGTAAATCAGGGGAAGGACACAGAATGAAATGGATATTGGGAATTATTTACTCTTCCCATTCTGATTAAATTGTTTTATTATGGACAGTTTCACTTTTTTATTTTTATTTTCTGGCTGCACTGGGGTTTGAACTAGGGCCTCACGCTTGCAAGGCAGGTGTCCATCAGCCATTATGGACAGTTCCAGATGGAGACAGAAGAAACGGCAATGATATAATAAACTTCTGTGATTGTTCTTTCAGCTTTATCAGTGATTGGGATTTTGTCCATCTTCACATACGGACAGTCAGATTTTCTTCTAACGCTGCTCTCCATATCCCACTGAATGGAGTTAGTTAGCAGTCATTCTGACTGATATTTTAGCTAGGAGAGCCAAGGAAGGTCTCGCTGAGATGGTGATGTGCATTTGTGTAACTGATACTTATTGAATACTCATTGCCTGCCAGGCACTGTGTTAGGAGTTAACCTCTGTGAGAGATAAACATTTCAGCAAAGTTTAAATGAAGTGAAGGAACAAGCCAGAGTGGCTTTCTCTGGGAAGAGCAAGCAAGTGAGGCAAGGGAACAGCAAGTGCAAAGGCCCTGAGGCAGGACTGTGTTTGAGGATCAGACAGGTAGCCAGCGTGGCTGGTGTGAAATGGGAGTGGATGAGAGAGGGAGTTGAGATCTTGTGGCTTGTGGTGGGGACTTGAGGACATTTGCCATGAGTGGGATGGGGCCATGTTTGGAGCAGAGGCATGCCATGACAAGCTAGATGATGTGGAAGGTAGACAATTCTGTTTTGTTTGGATTGTCCCCAGACCAGCACACAGTAGGAGTTCAGGAAACATTTATTGCACAAATAGGACATGTCAGCACACATGGAGCTGTACTGTGATTTTTTTATGTTCCCTGCATGAATGTGCATAGTTTATCTCACTCTCCCCTGGGAGCGGTCATGTGGCTTCTTATAAGCGTGTTTTGAGCCCTGTGTGAGATGTTTATTATCGTGTTCTCACCACAGTACTTGGCTACAGGAAGTGCTTAATCACTAGTGATGATCATTACTCCACTGCTGTTATTATCACAGGGTACAAGGGACAGCGTGATGGGGACTGGGTTGGGTGACACGCATGGCCTGTGCGTATTCCTCATCTGTGTTCCTCCTACCTGCAGCTCCACGGAGAAGAACTGCTGTGTGCGGCAGCTGTACATTGACTTCCGCAAGGACCTGGGCTGGAAGTGGATCCATGAGCCCAAGGGCTACCACGCCAACTTCTGCCTGGGGCCTTGCCCCTACATTTGGAGCCTGGACACGCAGTACAGCAAGGTGGGACTGCCCACGGGAAGAGGAGGAAGAGGGGAAAGAGGAGTAAAGTCAGATGAGCTGGCAGGGTAGGGAGAAAGACAGAGAGATGGGGTGGGGGGGATAGAGACAGGAGGAGAGACAGAGGTGGGGAGAGATAGAGATGAGAAACAGGGATGAAGCGAGATGGGGAGAGACAGTGAGAAGGGAAGACACAGATGGGGAGAGACAGATGAAGAAGAGACAGAGGAATGAGGAAAGACAGGGGAGGGGTCGGCGAGGTGGGGACACTTGGGGACAGGGGTGGCATGTGTGGAGCCTGCTGCCATGGTCCATCTGAGAATCTTGACCCCTGGCCATCCACAGGTCCTGGCCCTGTACAACCAGCACAACCCGGGCGCGTCGGCGTCGCCATGCTGCGTGCCGCAGGCACTGGAGCCGCTGCCCATCGTGTACTATGTAGGCCGCAAGCCCAAGGTGGAGCAGCTGTCTAACATGATCGTGCGCTCCTGCAAGTGCAGCTGAGGCCCCTTCCCGCCCCGCCCCTTCCCGCCCCGGCAGGCCCGGCCCCGCCCCGCCCCGCCCCGCCCCGCCCCGCCCGCCAAGCCCGGGGCTGTATTTAAGGACACCTGCGCCCCCAAGTCCACCCTGGGGGGCCCATTAAAGGTGAGAGAGGACTGGTGGTTTCTGTGTCATTTGGCGCCTCACTGGGTCTCTCTTTTGCACATTGCCCCAGCCCTCTCCCTCTGCTTCCTTCTGTCTGTGTCTCTCCCATTCATTTGTCCCCATCTCCTAACCGCGTACTGAGCACACGCCATGTTACTAGGGCCTGTGTAGGCTCAGGCAGGACTCTAATTAGACCTATTTATTAGCACCTGGGGCACTGTGGTAAGCGCCAGTGAATCATAGCAACAACTGAGGCTCAGATAACACCCATCTTCCAGGTGAGGACACTGAGGGCCAGGTGTTCTGCCCACAGGTGAGGAGGGTTCCTGCCTTCTGGGAACCTATTCTTTGGGGTGAGGAGACACAGCAAAAAATAATAATAGCTTAGTGGTAAATGACAGCATGGAACGAGAGAAGCTTTGGGGAGAGGGGGACTTCTAGGAGGAGGCAGCATGTGAGATTTACAGGAAGCCAAGAAGGCCGGCTGCCTAAGAGAGGCCTGGGGGAGGTGTGTTCTTAGTAGAAGGGCAAAAGCAAAGGAAGTGACGAGCAACTTGGGGTGTGCTACCCAGTGAGGCAGGAGGCCAGTGTGGTTGGAAGAGGGCGAGCAAGAGAAGGGTGTTGGGAGCTGAGTCAGATGGGAACACTCAAGAGGCCAGAGAGCAGTAATTCTGCATGCCAGGTGTGTCATTCTAGTTGCTGCATTCTTCCCACAGAACGGGGTTGGCGAGCTGTGCCAATTCTAGCTTACTGCCTGTTTTTGTAAAGTTATGTTGGATCCCAGCCACGCTCCTATGTCTACATACGTCTGTGGCTTCAATAGCAGTGTAGAGACCATAGGCTGAGTCAAAAATATTTACTGTCTAGTCCCTTACTGCAAAAGCTAACTGACTTCTGCTATGGAGACCATTTGATCTTTTTTTTTTTGCAGTACTGGGGCTTGAACTCAGGGCCCAGTGACCTTGAGTCACTCCGACAGCACTTTTTTTAGATGGGTTTTTTCAAGATAGGGTCTTGCAAACTACTTGTCTGGGCTGGCTTTTGAACCCTGATCCTCCTGATTTCTGTTTCCTGAGTAGCTAGGGTTACAGGTGTGAGCCAGCATTGCCTGGCCGAGACCATTTGATCTTTATATATAGGAATACTAAGGCACAGACAGGTTAAGTCACTTAAGTTCTCAGAGGTAGTAAGTGGCAGAGCTGGGACTTGAACCCACGCAGCTTGAATTGAGGCTCTGTATATGGAAGTGCTTATGCTATGTCTTTTCCAGATCACATCAGGACTTGCAAAAACTTGTCCTCTGAGGGAAATGGGAACCACAGGCAGGCTTTCTGATCAGAGGAGGAATGTAAGTTGACCTAGCTCAAGAGGCTGATGGTAGAAAGTGGTCTGAATTGGGGGGGAGGTGTGAGGGTGACCACAGTGAAACCAGTTGTCCAGGCAAGTCGTCCACATACTGGTGGCCTGAGTCAGGGTGGGCTTCTCTCTGCTGTGTTATTTCTTTCTAACTGCTGTGGTCATGCTTGTGAATTCTCTTCTGCTTCCTCTTTTTCCCACCTCTCAGTTCCTCCCAGTTTTCACTTCCCCTCTGTCTCTTGCCCTTTTCAGGCCCCTCGACTATTTCCTCCACTTGGAGATTGTCCTCGGAGAGCACTGAAGGGCCAAGCTCCCTTGCCCTGTGGGCTTGAGGACAGTTGGCAGCACTGGGGCTGGTTGAATGGATCCTGGACCCTCCCAGCCTCCTCCTTCCTCAGGTCAGGAAGACACAGAGGGCCAGGTTGGAGTGAGGAACAGGAAGAACTCACTATGCAAGGTCATGCCACCATTGTCGCCAGCCTTGTGTGTTGAGGCCTGGCCCCAGAGGCAGGGACACAAGCAAGGACACAGCCCACAACCACACAAACACTGTCACTTCTCAGAGCTTCAGTGAACACACAGACTGCTGTAGGACCCAGGACACTTGGACTATGACACAGATACAGAAAGAGTGTCACTCCATCTCATAAGCAGCCCAGACTTGGAGCTCCACTGGGAAATGACAAGTAGAGACTTCAATAGCAAAATGCCATCACACAAATATATTCCCAAGGTCATGATTACCAGCACCACCACACACCAGACAGATTCAGACAGTGTCACACAGACACACGTTCAGGAAATGGACCCCCAGCAATGACACAAACATCCTCCATGGGGTCATGGTCACTGCATGACCCATCACAGTCCCACCCACACCACACAGGGCGTTTTGACACATGTCACAGTCCCAGACTGCCAAAGGGTCATACACACTGTCTTAACAGCCTGGGGAGTCCCATGTGGTCCCAAAGACCGCCAGGGCCCTGACAACACCCAGAGTCCCAGACGTACCAGCTCCCACACACCCGGACACACCCCCAAGGCCTCGAGGCTCTGCCGGCCCAGTGGCCTGCGGACAAGTGCTGGCTGCACCCTGCGCCCCGCCCGCGCGTGACACAGCCCGCCCACCTGCCCGCTGCAGCTGAGCTGGCGCGGCCGCCGGCGGGCGCGGGGAGGGCGAAGTGCGGGCTCAGCACCTGCGCCGGCCGCATGCTACCCCTGCCCTGCCACCCTGGCCCGCTGGGTGGCCAGGCTCGGCCCAGTCGGGACATGTCTGCCCCGCCCGCCGCACCGACCTCAGGGGCAGGGCTGAGGGGGATCGGGGTGCCCTGCTCCCTCCCGGCCTTGATCTGCCCCGCCCTGCTGACAGCCCGGGCGTCGGGGGAAGTCGTGGGGGGAGCCTGGGTTCCGGCTGGAGCCCCGGCTTCCCGTCCAGCTCCCATGGCCCCCACGGCAGGAAGCGGCCCCAGCTGGTTCAGGCCTTCCTGCCCCCTCCCCGGACGCAGGGACAGGGTCAGTGTGGGAGGGGGAGGGGCAGGTGCAGGGGAGCAGAAAAGCTCCCTTTCAGCTACCAGCTAAATCTCAGGACTAGATGGGTGTCTGGGACCGCGCGCACACGTGCGTGTGTATGTGTGTGCGTGTGTGTGTGTAGTGTGCAGCTTTGTGGGGTCGCTCTGTCTCCAGCCCAACAGCCTGGTGCCTGCTCGCCTTTGGCATGGATGGCATTGTCATTTGGGATGTGTGTCCCCAGCACGTGTTCAGCTCCGTGTTTGTGGCTATGCCGCATGTCTGTGGAGTGCGTCTGCCGGCTCATGTTTCTGCTGGGCAAGCTGGGGTACTTTCTGTGGGTTCCCTCGTGGCACTATTTGGTGAGTCTGTGCACCCATGGATTGTATATCTGGGTCATATGCTGTATGTCTGATTTTCTCCTCAGCATCTTCACAGTTCTGTGGGTGTAAATTTTTGCATTCTTAGTGTAAGTTTTAATTGAAGTCTGGGTGTTGCTTTGCCTATGTTTATGGATCTGTGAGAAAAATGAGGTGTTTTGGGAGGTGGTGTGTACTTTTTCTTGCACATGAGCTGTTTTTGGTGCACGTGTGTGATAGTTGCCAGTGCTTGTGTCTGTGGGTGAGTTTCTAGGTTACATTTTTTTCTTTTCTTTTCTTCTTTTTTTTTTTTGTGGTGTTGGGAATTGAACCTGGAGCTTGCTAGACAAGTGTACCACTTCTGAGCCACATCCTGACCTCCGAGATAGTTTTTTTTTTGGTGGCACTGGGGTTTGAACTCAGGGCCTCACACTTGCTAGGCAGGCTCTCTACTGCTGGAGCCACTCTGCCAGCCCTTTTTGTGATGGGTTTTTTCAAGATAGGGTCTCATGAACTATTTGCTGGTCTGGCTTTAAACAGAAATTCTCCTGATGTCTGCCTCCTGAATAGCTAGGATTCCAGGCATGAGCCACCAGTGCCCAGCTTTCTGAGATAGTTTGTGATCGGTTTGAACCTTGTTTTCTGAGCTCTTGTGTATTTCACAGATGGTGTGTGGCTGTGCTGAGGCCTTTGCAGTGTCTGTATTTCTGGGTTGTGTGAATCCCTCTCATAGACTGGTGTTTTCACCCTATGTGGATATCTTGAACAGGTAGGGTCTGCTTTGGTGACCCCACCTGTGAGCTGGTGACTTCAGAGTGTGAGTTGTGGGGATCCCCTTAGAAGGTGTTTGGAGGCCTGGTGTGTGTGTGTGTGCAGTGGGCTGCACTGTGTGGTGTTTCAGAGGAGGGGTCTTTACACATCCTGTGAAACCACTGGCAGCTGTGCAACAGTGCCTGCCTCTTGGCCCTGGTACTGAGTAGAGGCTTCATCTGTAGTGTCCCCTTGCCGGCTGGTGCCACGCTGGCTCAAGCTGGCTGTGGAAGCAGCAGGGCAGGGCAGGGGCTGTGGTGGGCACTGGCCCTGCGCCCAGCCTGGGTATAAATATCCCCAGGCTACTGGCGGCTGTGTTTACTCGGCCTCAGCCTGGGGGCGGCAGCAGCCCAGCAGGTCCTGGGGGCGGGGGTGACCAGGCCACAGCACAGACATTTCCTTCTGGCCAGACAGGCCCGAAGCTTTGCTGCCCCCTCCCTGGTGGGGGCAAGGTGTTGACCCCTCATTCTGGGCTCCCAGGGGCCACCAGTGGAGCTCTGGAGACAAGAGACTGAGAGGGAGGAAGGGGGGTGGACCAGGAAACAGCAGAGAGAGGGACAGGAAAAAATGAGGGTGAAAGAGAGGGGAGGAGGGAGAGAGGGATGGGGAGCAGGGCTATCCAGACAGTGGCAGAAGCTCAGAGCCTGGATCGGAGAGAATGACAAGGGATAGAAAAAAGTGAAGGAGGGAGAGGTACAGGGAGAATAAGGGCGGAGGGCCTCAGGAGACCCAGATGCAGTTATGGGAGATGGTGACAGCCAGAGGTACAGAGACAAAAGGATCCAAAGGAAATGAGAAGCAGGGGAACAGGACAGTGTGGGGTAGGCAGAGCCTTGACAGAAAGGAGCAGAGTCTGTTTCAGTTTTGGCAGGACACACAGAGGTGGGGGGCGTGGGTGGTGGCCAGGGCAGGACAGACAGGAGACATGGGGGTGGGGGCCGGATGCCCATAGAGGGGCTCTCCCTCCCTGACTCAGCCTCTCCGCCCACCCCATCTCCAGGCCTGGGAGCAGAGAAAGAGGCACCGGCCTGTGGGGGCTGCTCTGGCTGTGACCAGGGGTGTGTCTCTGCCGTCCCTGCCATCCTCTGTCTCCACCTCTCTTCCTGTCTCATCTAATCCCTGTCCCTGTAACTAGCTCCACCTCTGTCTCTCAGCAACTGCTGCTCCCCGTCACCATCTGACTAACCCTGATTCTGACTCAATGGCTGTGCCTCTCATCTTTTTCAGAATGTTACATAACAAATTTAGGCATGGCAGAGTATATCATAAACAAATTTAATGAGCAAATGGCAGACTGGTCACCACGAAAGAACTCTTACAAACTGAGGGCACGAAGGCCAAGTACCTGAGACAGACACGCTCATCTCTGTGCTCGTCTTTCCAAGTGATGTTTCCCCTGAAAGGGCTGGGGCCTCGTTGCTGTGACTTCCTCAGGAGATGGTAGTAGTGACACTGACAGTATCACAGCACAGGTGTTCTGTGATGGCTGAGTGATGAAGACACAGAGATGACTTGGTCCCAACCGTGTAGGACAGGGTGCCCACCTGCTAGACATCTTCCTCAGCACCTGCCTCTCCTTGAGTCTTCCACCTGAAGATGTCTGTGTGTCTCTCCACCTCTGTCTGTCTCAGGTGGCCCAAGAACCGACAGGCAGGGTGGCCAAGTGGTCGCTAGGAGCTGGCTTCCCATCTCAGCTCTGCCTGGGAGACTGTTCTCAGCCTCCTTGCCATCTGTGACACAGAACCTACAGTGTCTGCTTCCTGAGCTGTCTGGAGGCTTCATCATGATGTTGGTGGCTTGTTCAGTCTGATACAGACCACAGTGCTCTAGAGCCGGGCTTTCAGTATTTAATAGTCCCTCCATCTGAACAGCCCTCTGCCTCCATCCAGCATTCTTGGTTGATTCCAGTTGACCCATAGTGCAGAGCTGAAGCTCTGGGGTCAATAACTGTGGCCTCAGGAAGTGACTGTAAGGGTCATTCAGGTGTGGCCAGGGCAAGAAGCTGTCATTCTCACAGGAGTGAGGGTCCTCAGCCCAGCCTCACCAACTCTTCTTGGCCTGTCTCCCTCTACCCCCACAGTGACCAGCCCCTTCTGTCTGCTGGGGCAGCAGGGGCTGGGGGTGGGGCATGGGAAGGTGGGATGCCTGGGTTCCCACAGGCTGTGGCTGAGTCACAGGCGGGCCATCTGGCTTCCATTAGCCTGGGGCGGCAGGGGGCTCTGTGGGGCGGGCCCTGTGGCTGGCTGGGGGCAGGGATGCTGGGGCAGGCTGTGTGTGTGGGATGACTCAGGACCATGATAACAGCCTGTATTTGGGGAGTGTAAACAGGAGAGGGAGGCGGAGGAAGTGAAGGAAGGGAAAATTGTGGCTGGGCTGGGGGGGACTCCCCTGCCCCCTCTCCAAGTTGCTCCTATGATCCCCAGTTCTGCTCTACCAGCCCTCCTGGCCAGGGTCCTAAAGGAGACAGGAGCTGATGGCCACTGTAGGCCCCCTGCCTGCAAGTGCAGCCACATTACTGGGAAGTCAGGGTTCTGCTGCCCATAGGCAGGGAGACCTGGGGGAGGGAGCAGAATCTGTGGTGGGGAAGACTGAAACCCAGGGAGATAAACGCTGAGGTAGACAGTAGGAAGGAGGCAGCCAGGAGAGAAATGGCAATGTACAGGCAGAAGGAACAGCAGTGAGGCAGGAGAGGGGACCATATCAGAAGCAGTAAGACAGACAGGTGGAGGTGGGCAAAGACACAGAGCTGTACCGGGACCCAGGTGCAGCCCGAGTTGGGTGCTGCAGTCAACTCTAGCCACCACGGTCCCACTGGCTGGCCTCAAGTCAAGGAGGGGTGAGGAAAGACATTCATTCTGGACCCTGCTATAGGGCCAGAGCCTAGAGAGGCAGGGGACCTGGAAAGGAGGAGGAGGAGGTCAGTAAGACAGAGGGAGAGACACAGAGAGAGACAGACAGATAGAAACTCACACACACAAAAGAACCTCAGACAGTAAGAAAAAGACAGAGGTGGGGGACCAGGAGAGATGGGGAAAGAGGGAGAAGGGTAGAGAGCCCCAGAAACAGGTGGGGGTACTGTCTAAGATGAGATCAGGCCAGGGGCATGGCAGGGTGCTGCCCTGATGATCCCTTGGAGGATGTTCCTGAACCAGCTAGTAATCGGCTGCCTTGCTGGGACTGGACAGGCTGGCAGCAGCCATCAGTCCCCACCCAGCTCTGGGCTGGGTGCATCTTCAGGCTCTTCCTCATCAAAGTACCTCTCCTCCTCGTCCCGTGCCACGATGTCCAGGTTGTCAAAATCAGGATTGTCATCTACTGTACTGCAAGGGGAAGAGGCTGTGAGGGGCCTGTGGCCCCCAAGGTACCTGACAGAACTGACCCTCAGAGGGGATGCTGAGCCTCTCAGGACTTAAAAGGAAACGTTTTCCAAATCACAGTTTACATAAAATTCTGGTTTCTCCTACAAGCTGGAAAAGGTGGTGACACACAGGCCTACATTGCCAAGGCAGGCCTTGTTTTCTCACCAGAACAGTTTTAATTGTGCCCACGGGGGTCTGGCTACAGCTCTCTAGTGGGTAGAGGCAGGGATGCTTCTTTACATCTCACCCCATGACAAGGAATTGTCAGCCCAGAGGTGGAAGAAGGTGCTGAGGGAGGTTGAGAAGCTCTGTCCTGAGGCAGGAGTCATACTAACTGGCTCACCTTCCAACCTGCCTGGTCCCCACTGCACTCATCTTGGTCACCAACCCTGCTGTGCTTCAGTTCTACCCCTCAGCCATGCTGCAACTATGTGCCCTTTACAGCATTTGCACTTGCTGCCACCCCTGCCAGGAAAGCTCTTCCCCAGGCATTTATGTCTCTCAGTCCCTGCATGTAGGCTCAGATGTCACCAACTCTGTGCCCTGCTTTGTTTCTCTTTATGGTCCCATCACCATGTGATGCCGGGCAGACTTTTCCTTCCTTCCTGGAGGGGATCCTCCCGGGCAGGGAGACCTTTCCTTAGGTTTGTTCCCTGTTTTATCCTCAGAGCCTGGACACTGCAGATGTGTATCATGTGTTGACTAAATGGCTAACTAAGGGACATGTCTGAGCCTGTGCTGCCCTCCTGAGGGGACAGGCTTGGGTCCTCACTGCTTCTGATGTCCCAGGGCACCTGGTTTGGTAGTGGCAGCAGGGGTGGGTCACTTAGGTGCCACCTGGCCCAGCACTGTGCTCACCACCCTTGTACTGGACCCGAGGCTGAGGCCTGGCCTCATAGGAGTGGATGTACCTGATGTAGTCTAAAGCTGGAGGAACCCACAACAGGGCGGCGTGCAATTGGGTGCTGACTTTGTGGCAGTACTAATCACAATCCCCATTTTACTGATGACCCCACCAAAGGGGCTGCCTGTTTGTGGCCACAAAGTTCATGTGTCATCAGAGCTGGTAGCCTAGGAAGGTTCCCTTGCTGTCAGGCCCATGTCCAGGACCACAAGGCAAGCCTGGCTCATTTGTCTTTGATTGTATACAATACTCTCCTGAATCCTCCTCCAAAGAAGGTAAACCAGGTATCCCCAGGGCTAGACTGCAGATGGCAGCAACTGGCAGTGCCAGGGTACCCACTATGGGCCCTGCCATACTGCACAGTCACCCCACCAGGGTTACTCCCTATAGCTTGACCCTGGGGAAGAGATTAGGTTTCCTGGGCAAATGAGGGGGGCCTGGCATCCTACCAGGCCATTGCACTTGCTAGAGGGGAAATGTTCTATTTTACTACTGAGCCCAAAGTCAACCCAGTTCATCCTTTTCCTTACAGATGAGGGGACAAATGAAGCTTTGGGATGCATAAGGCTAATGCAAGGCCCCCCAGCCTCCTCTTCTGCTTCATCTGAAACCCCAGGGCTATCTGACTCCAGCACCCATGTCTTCAAACTGTCCCAGGGCTTTCTAGCACCATGAAGGGAGGCCCTCTGTGGATGTCCTAGGAATTGGCATACAACCCTGGGCTGTGGGTACCAGCTTGGGGGGTAGGGTACAAGAGCACCTGTAGTCAAAGTCCCCGTCCTTGCCATCCAGGAAGCGCTGATGCATCCGGCTGGTGAACTCCTCCCGCAGGATCAGCCTCTCCTCTGAGTCAGGCATCCATGTCTCTGAATCTTTGCTTGACCTCTGGTCTGAGGAGGGAAAGTTTGGGAAGGTGGCCTGAACATATGTTCATGGAGAGCTGCCGCTTCTATGCCCAGACTTGAGCTGGGTGGCATGGGGAGCACAATACTGCTGAGACAATCCAGTCCCTGGGTGGCACACATCAGACAACACGGCTCTGGAGGCTGTATAGCAGGGTCAGGACTGAGCCCTGAAGGAAGGGGAAGGAAGGTGGTCCCCAGGGGGCATGGCATGAACAAACTGCTGGAGTGAGGGATCATGTAGCCTTTGAGGAATGTGGGGCAGGAGTGCCGGAGAGGTTCAGAAGGACCTGGAGGACAGAGGGTCCGGCCAGGCAGGGGAGGGATGCAGTATCTGCTCTCACAAGTTGGGGCGTGGCCTGGTGCCATGATATGGTGAGACAGAAAAGTCTGAGGTGAGGGTATCCAGACACTGAGGTCCCCCTGCTGTGCACCTCACCTTCCTCATCACTGTCGTCTTCCTCTTCCTCTTCTTCCAAGCAGGCCTCCTCTTCCTCCTGTTGCTGGAGCAGCCGCTGCTGCAGCTCTCGCTCCTGATAGGACTGGAGTAACAGGTCGGAGAGCGGGCAGGCAGGTGTGCTGGGGGAGCCAGGCCGGGGAGGCTGGGGGACTGGAGTGCGGGCACTGAGCTCTTCCTGGGTGAGGTATTGCCCGATGTACTGTTCGTATAGCAATGGGGCCCGGAACCGCATCTGCTCATCACTGAAGTACTCACCCCCTGTGCAGAGGAGAGGCACTGGGTAGGTGTGTCTGAGCAGATATGAGGCCATACATGTGTGTGCAATCATGCTTGTTAAAAGGATGTGTGCAGGCTGGGTGTGGTGCCACACACCTGTAACCCCAGCTACTTGGGAGGCAGAGACAAGAGGATCAAGGTTCAAGGCCAGGTTAAGGTGTGAAACCCTAAATGAAAAACAAACTTGAAGAAAAAAGACTGGTAGAGTGCTTGCCTTGCAAGCATGAGGCCCTGAGTTTAATCCCCAATGCTACCAAAAAAACCCAAAAAACAAAAAACAAAGAGGACATGTATAATGTGCGTGCACATTCAGATAGCAGGAAATATGCACGGTGCCTGGGATCATGTGGATGTAAGCACTCACACCTGTGCTGATCATGTGTGCACCAACAGGCCTATAGCTACCCATGTACTTGAATGTCCTAATTACATGTCGGCATGTGGAACCACACAGACCTGCATTGTCAGCACAATCAAGCCTCTGAGGCATCTACCTGGTGTGGCCTGGTCATCCTACGTGAGGACCTATGGTGGCAGGCCCCAGATCAGATCTCCCCCAACAGTGATCCTCCCTGAGCCTACCTTCTGGTGCCCTGGTCTCCCCACCCAGGCCCTCTGTACCTCCTGGTTGCCTGCTTTCTTCAGGTAACTGTGAAACCTGCCCCAGGCCCCTCCCACTCACAGTCTTCATCCTATTTCCAGAATCTAGGGCCCAGCATCTGCCTGGAATCCTGGCCTGTGCAGTCCTCTCTCTGGGCTTCTTCAATCCTGCCCTCTCCTCAGCCCTGTCTCTAGTTTTGGCATCTCCTACCAGAGTGTTTCTATTGCTCCTCCCTGGCTCAAATTGTTATCTTCTCTCCCTCTCCTTCATTATCCAGATCCCTCTGTCTTCTCATTTTTTTTCATGTAGCCCCACCTCACTCATTGGCTCATTAATCCCTATCTTTCTCCATCCTTGTAACCATCTGTCACTGTGGCTTGCTCCTTTTGTGTCAGTCTCTCTGCAGTCGTGCCTTCTCCCCAATTAGAACTTAATTCACTCCTGCTTCATTAACTCTTACCTTTTAATTTTAGTTCTGGTGTTTTTGGTTACAAGAGGCTTTTAGTTATATTCTGGGCAATGTTCTAGGTATTAGTGTTTTCCTTCATGGTTTTCACTTTTTTTTTTTGTTCAAGAAGGCCTGTGTTTTTAAGGCATAAACACAGTCCCACTGGTTTCTGTTGGTGCCTTTGTATATGGCATGGAGCAGAGACCTGGTGTTTCTTCAACAGTTACCACAATTCTGTGTACCCTGTCCTTAGTCCACTAAAATACAACCTACTGAATTCTTGCTTCTTACTCACTGCATACCCCATTCCTTCCCCAGAGCCCGTCTAGCTTTCTCTTCCCCTCACTTTACATTTCTGCCTCAGTTTCTCCCTGTGTCCATCTCCTTGTCTCACAACATATCTCCCAGAATTTGTCTCTGTGTTCCTGCTTTTGCATCCTTGTTTCTCATTCCCCTTGCCTCAGTCATCCAGAAGCACCCCCCCCCACACCTTGGATGAGCTCACGTAGGGCAGCATAGCGCCGGTTACGCAGGCGGGTTCTTAGAGTGCGTGGCCGGGCAGTGCCCTGTCGGGCCACCTCGGCACAGTAGAAATCTGCACGGTGGTCGCCACGTAGGTGGCCAAAGCAGGCCAGGTGCTCCTCTCGAAGGCCTGTGCGGAAGCGCTCCAGGAACACCAGTGGCTTCTCATGGTACAGCTGGCTCAGGATGGCCACCTTCTCATGCTCAGTCAGGTCAGGCTCGCCCTGCTGCTGGCTGCACACGGGCAGGCGGCTGGCAGCCACGGCATGCAACATAGCACTCACTGCGGCATTCTCAGCCCTGGGCACGTCCCCACCCAGGGCCCCTGTGGTGTTATTCGCTGCCTCCTCTTTATCCTGGGGTCTCGATGGGACTGGTGCCTGGTTTAGCTCCCCCCAGTGCCGAGATTTGGGCTCTGTGCAGCCTGTGAGGAGAGGGGAGATTTGTGAGTTCAACGAGGAGTGTGGCAAGGAAGGAGGGATGGAAGGGCTCAGGCAGGAAGGGTTGGGTGCTCACCACTCACTCAGTCCACACTTACGGAGCACCTGCTCTACTCTGGGCTTTTTCTAGGCCCGAGAAAGACCACAATGCACAAGAGGTTGACATTTTAGTGGGGGACACAAACAATTAACAACATAATTACTGAAAACATGTAGTGTGTCAGGTGTTTCCCTGCCTCTGCAGAAAAATACAGAAGGAAAGAGGAGGGAATGGGGGAGGATGGCTGTGATTTCAAAGAGAAGGGTCACAGAACATTTGCCAAACAAAACAAAACAAAAAAAAACCAAAGACATCTGAGTAGAGACCTGAAATGGTGAGTGACTGACCTGTCAGATTTCTGGGGTGAGAGAATTCCAGGCAGTGGGAACAGCCAGTGAGTACAAAGACCCCGAGGCCTGATTTATCAGTTTACTCAATTCTTTGTCTTTTCATTTGCTCACAAAATTATGAAGACATTCACTAACTTGTTCACTCACTCTTCTTCATGCATTTCCACGTTTACCCACCCACTCTTCTGCAACTCTAAGTTTCTGAGAGGCCCTAAGCCAGGCAGTGTGCAGTACCCACAGGAAGAATCCTATATAGCTCCTGCTTCAGGGAGCACCCAGTCTCATGTAGGTGACAGTCAAGATCAAGGATAACATAGCAAAGGTAAGAGGAAAGCTGGGCACTGGACAGAACCTGGTGAGAGCTGTTTCCCAAGCATTATGGAAACTGCAGCAAGCAGGAATTAAGTGAAGACAGAGTAGCTCCTTTAGGTACCGTGGCTGGGATAGGGGGCAGAGAGGTTTCCATCATGGAGGCAAGAGAAGGCTGAGCTAGGGTAGGGGCTATGGAGGGAGGGTTAGGAAGAAGCTCAGGAGGCCATTGGTTAGGCCATGGGGCTGGAGGGTGGGAGGTGAGAAAGGTATTCAGGAAAAGGTCCAGGGCTCTGGCCTAGGGGATGATGAAGTTGTCACAGAGACAAGAACATAGACATGAAGTAGGTTTGGGCCATGGGAGGTGTGATGGGCCCAGGGGACACTCAAGGGGAGGCACGTAAGAAAGTGCTGAGATACAGGCTTCCAGACTCCTTGGGACAGAAGTGCTGGGCTGGAGGTAGAGTGGTGGGTGGTGCACTCCTGGAATCCCAGCACTTAGAGGAGGCTGAGGCGGAAGATTTCAAGGCCAGCCTGGACTACACAGTTAGACCCTATTTAAAAAAAAAAAAAAGTCTTTTGAGGTGGAGAGATTATTTTTTGATTATCCAAATGCACCCTAAATTCAATTAGAGAGAGGCTGAGGAAAACTGACATACAGAGGCAAAGGCTGTGTGAAGCAGAGGCTGGAGAGACGTGGCCACAAGCCAAGGAATTCCAGAATCCTGGACACCTTGGTTTCAGTCCAATACTGATTTCCAGACCTTTGGTCTCCAGGACCAAAGTCTGAAAAACTTCCGTTTAAAGCAGTTTATGGTAATTTGTTATAGCACCCACAGGAAACTAATGTAAAGGCTAAGATGGAGTGGCAGCCTATGGGATAGGCAGAAAATCAGAATGGTGTTGTAGAAAACCAGGGAAAACTTATGTGGGGTCAATGGCATTGAATTCTCCCAGTAGGAACAACTAGATGGAATGACAGTTTAGCCACACGTCGGGGAAAGTCACTGGGGATCCTGACCAGGACAGTCTTCAAGAGTAAAAGCCAGGCTATACCAGGTGGGAGATGAGGACATGAGACAAGTGTACACAAACTCTGGAGAAGCCAGATGGTGTCTGGAGGGCGGCATGGAGCTAAGGAACAGGTTTTCTATTTATTAATTTGTTGTAGGTTCTGGGTTTTGAACTCAAGAGTCTTGTACTTGCTAAGAGGTTACTCTACCATTTGAGTCACACCTCCAGCCCCACATTTTCTTTTTACATTGGAAAAAAGTTTTTTACACTTGGGGTGAAGCCCAGTGGTAGAGCATGTACTTAGCATGTGTGAAGCCCAGGGTTTGCTCCAAAGCACCAAAAAGTGTGTGTCTGTGTGTGTGTATATACACACACATATACATAATGAAAATAAATTAAAACTTTTATTTATTTTGCAGTACTGGGGCTTGAATTCCACCTTAAGTCATTCCACCAGCCCTATTTTTGTGAGGGGTTTTTCGAGATAGGGTCTCGCGGGAGTATTTGCCCAGGTTGGCTTGGAACTGTGATTCTCCTGATCTCTACTTCCTGAGTAGATAGGATTGCTGGTGTGAGCCACTGGTGCCCGGCTGAAATTTAAGCTTTTATTATGGAAAATTTCAAACACACAAAAGTAGAGTACACTGACACCACTGTTCCCCCCATTTGAGCTTCAGCAATTACCAATTCTTTTGGGGGGGGGAGCAGTACTGGGGTTAAACTCAGGGTCTCACACTGGTTAGGCAGACGCTCTACCACTTAAGTCACTCCACCAGCCCTATTTTGTGTTGAGTTTTTTGGAGATAGGGTCGTGAGAAATATTTCCCTGGGCTGGCTTCCAACCTTGATCCTCCAGATCGCTGCTTCCTGAGTAGCTAGGATTACAGGCGTGAGCCACCGACACCTGGCAACAATTACCAATTCTTAGCCACTGGTGTTTGAGCCAACTGAAACCAACTACCCTCACTCCATGTCAGATTACTGTGAAGCAATGGAACGAATTTTAAGCTGAGCGAGACAAAGTCATTTTCGGTATTGGTTGGAAGGCATCAGGAGTAAAAGGCATTGAAATTCTAGGGAAAGAGGGCAAGCACAAAAATGGAGTTGAGGACGCAGATTGGATTGTGAATCTGCGGGAAGGAGTGTTGGAATGAAATGGGGTGCCGATCGTCTGGGATAAGTAGAGTTTGTATGGGTCAAGAGGAGGGCTAGCCTGCAACAGGGGAGCTAGCCTGGGGCAAAGGAAAGCTCAGTTTGTCACAGGGCAGGATGTATCAAGAGAAATCTTGGTCTGAGACTGACTTAGCCCAGAACAGGGACAAGTTTATGTTAACCCGAGAGTAAGCCTGGTACGGAAACAGGTTGTCTTGAGTCACGGAAGAGGTTGAAACTAGGAAAAGGTTAATCTTGGGGAAGAAAAGGGAGGGAAAGGAGGTCAGCCCGCAGCAAGGGAATAATCTTCACAAGGCGGTGAAGGGGCTAGGTAAGGCTGAAGGCAGGTGTCCCCTTCTAGAGTCCTTCGCGTTCCCGGGGAATCATTTCCTGGTCACACCGCTACAGTACCCTCCCATCGCCTCCGCGGGTCAGTGCCTCACCCTCATCGAGTTCCCGCGCCGCCGCCGCGTCCACCACGGCCTCCATCCCAACACTCTCCGACTTGTTAACCGCCGCCGCGGGCTCGGCACACCAGTCTCAACCCCACTCCCTCAGCAGCCGCTTCCGGCAGTGCGCGCTCCACCAGCCAGGTGCTGCACTGCGCCCAGGCACCCAAGTTCCGGCTCATGGCGGACCTTTCCTGTGCGCATGCGTGCCAACCAAGGCCCAGCGGAAGGAAGGAAAGCGGCGGGAGGACCTTCAGACATTCCTATCTGGAATGGGAAAATTAGGAGCTCGAACCACGGTTCATTTGTTCTTTCGGTGTGCTTAATATTTGGAATGGCTGGCTGAGTAGTCACTTCTCAGAGCCTGAAGCTATTATATAGACTTGAACTTGTGTCTTTTTAGACCTATGTATTCTCTTCATTTTCTCATAACCTCAAGGAGTGTTCATTAAACCATCATTCTTTCTTCTGTCATCACAGCCAGTGCTTGGCTGGCGTGAGACGGGTGGTGAGGTCAGGGACAGAACTTTCCACTTTTGTGTTCCCAGACTGGAGAAAGTGTGATGTAGAGGAAGAACTGTAGTCGTGATTTGCGCTGTGGGATGGGTAAGGGACTCACATTAAGGGGTCTGTTACCAGCAGGTGTCACCATGACTTAGAGTGGTCAGAGCTTGGATGGACCTGGGGAGTTGCCCACCCCAATCTGGGTCAGAAAGGAGGCCCAATCTCAAAGCTGAGCAACAGTTGGTGTATGACTGGTCTAAGGCACAATGGCTGGTATGGTGAGTTCAGATGTGAGCTCTTTGGTGTGGTCAGGGAATAGGGAAGAGGTCCTAACTTGAAGGTCATGATTGGGTTCTGGAGAATTGGAGAATCCCATGAAAGGGTATTGCCTTGCATTTACAATCTTCCTACTAAGTGTGGGAATTACAGATGTGCACACCTGGCTAGACACCTGTAAATCTTTAGGCCAAATCCTAAGTATGTGTGAATTTTCCAAGGCAGAGGTTCATGGCATTTATAGGTTCCAAAAGGAATTTGTAATTCCCCATAATGAATGAATCACTGACGTCTTAAGGGGAAGCATAAAGAGGTCACCAGGTGCCAGGTCACATGGGTTCTCATAAGCCCTATTAAGTGGTTTGAGCTTTATCCTGCAGGGACTGGAGAGATCTATAACAAAGCCAGTACAATAATCCAGAGACTGGCTGAAAACAGAGACGTTCTTCACTTGCATTCTCATGAGATCTGGAGGACAGGCAACAGGCTCCTTTACCACAACCATAAATGGAAACTCAGATGTATCACTAGGAAGAGTCAGCAGAGGGCACTGTTGCCCAAGCACATGAACCTGCCCAGACAGGGACGTCCCAGACTGAGGACCCAGAGTTGGGTGTTCTGGGGTACCTTTTGGCCTCCAACCCTGGTAACTAGCTTGATCTCCTTCCTTGTTATTGTAGGTCCCTTTACATGGCTCCCAGCTCCTAAGGGGAAGACAGTGGGCCTGAGATCGCTGCTCCTGTCCCCCAGCATGGTCCAGAAAACACAGCATGCCCTGAGGGCATGGAGAAATGAAGTTGCTAAGGAAGGTCAATGCCACTGGAAAGCTCACTCTTGCTATCTTTCACTTATCCAGGAAGCTCTCCCTCCCCTCATCACCCTGGGTTCTCACTGACCCCAGGGTGGTATTCTCTCTGGAGTAGAAGCTCTGAGAACAGGGGCCACAATTGAGTGCAGCACATAGGCCAGGCCTGAGGTACAGGGTCAGTCAATACCTGGCGAAGGCCTCAACAAACCAGCCTGGTCTCAATCCCATGGGTCCCACCTATTTCCCTGCCCATGGATCTATTCCATGCTTTCTACTAAAAAACTCCTGTGGGGGATTTGAGATTATTCCAGGTAGAGAGCCACTTTAAAACTGAACTAGTATATTTTAAACTGGGGCCCTAGCTTAAAGTGATATACTTAACACCAAATCCTGGCCTGGCACACAGATTCCTCAGTAAATGTTTCTTTACTGAATGAGTAAATAATTTCTCCTTCAGAAGGTCCCCACTTCCCCCGCCAATTAAAGGCCAACTACAGTAATACTTCAGGGTTTTGGCCCTGCTTCTTTCCTGCTAGGAGGTGCTATGCCATGTCAATTTATTGAAACAAAACAGGGCAAAAACATTTCTTAGAAAGTGCAATTTGTTAAAATCCTGTTAAAATATATGGGTCAAGGGGAAGTGAGATAGTCAAAGAGGACCACTGTAGAAAAGCCTTTGAGGTCTGGCACCAGGGAGAGCACTACTGGAGAGGAGGCCGTGGGGGGCAGGCAGGGGAAGGTCATGTTCTGAGGGAAGGAGCCCCCCCCCCACCTTCCCTTCACCCTCTCACCCACGTGATCCCAGCAGAAACTACCAAGACGCCTGGAATAAAAGGTTTCAAGTTCAATAGTCACACTCTCTCCAAATACAAAAAGCAGTTACAATTCAACTGAACACATAAGCTTGTGTGCAAAGTTATGGGGAACTGAGACATCGTATAAAAAGTTAGGTTAAAGATGATTTTGTGTTTGTGTGTTTCATTTTGTTTCGAGGGTGTGGCTCTTCCTCGGTCACCTGAACTCAGCAAAGAAATGGTTATTTTAATGAAGTATCAACGGCCGACCCACAGTAAAAACAGACAAATTCTAAAAATTAAAAAAAAGCATAATTACCAAAAAAATATGTCACTGCTTCCTCCCTCCACATTTTGCTTTTTAAACTTTTTTTTTTTAAGTTTTTGATTTTTTTTTTTTTTTTAATCCTGAAAAGTAGACAGTAAAACAGCTCCTGGAAGAATTTACAACCAACTGCATGAGGGTTTGGGAAGCTGAGGGGCTAGAGCAGGGCTGGGAGGAGTGGACAGGCAGGGCTCCTTCCCTTGGTCACTGTGGCCTCACCGTGTGACCAATGGAGAGGGGGATTCTTTAGTCAAAAAGGAGGCAGGGAGGAAGAAGAGGAGGGGGAAAGTAGAGGGGACAAAGAAAATAAAAGGTCATTGTTGCCTGTTTGAATCCAGAGAAAAATGCCTGGCCTGTGTGGGGGGAAGAAGCCCCTCAGAAAGGAGGCAGTGGGCTGGAGGGAGGCAGCCCTGGGATGACCCCATCCCCAGCACCACAGGACCTGGTGGGATAGGAGGGGGCCGAGGCAGGCGCTGGTGGAGGAAGCCGGCAGGGGCCTCTGGAAGCCGCCTCTGGAAGCTGTGGGACAGACCGGCTACTGTGTGCTTGTGCCACCCTGTGTGCTCCCCGAGTAGCTCCCGTAGTCGTAGTTTCCGTAGTATGGTGGCCACTGGCCCTGGTTCTGATAGTACTGGTTCCACTGTTGGGCATACTGGGAAAGACCAAGAGCACCAGCATGTCTTTCATCTGCTCCACAATGAGCAACTCCCATGGACCACCCTTTCCCATGGAGGACAACATCTGACCCACCAGTTCCCTGACAAATCAAGGCACCTTGGGAGGACAAGCGACTGACTTGGAGCCACATGGATGGGCATTTAGGGACTGACACCTTGGTCTCCTGGCTTGTCAGCCCAGTGCCCTTTCAAGTATAGCTAGATATATTCAAAATATTAAGGAAACAGGTATGGTAGCCTAAGCACCAACCTAAAATAGGGCTTGGCGTGCCCTGGCCATGTTGCTGCCAGTGCAGACATGTTTATCAAATGGAATGGCTGCACCAGACAAATGCCAGCTTGAGGCCAACAGGCTGCCCATCAGTTTAGGGATAAGCAAGGATTCAATTCTGGGAAGACACAGCCACCCCTGGAAGTCTCTCCATCCCACTGGCACCCCATCTTATACCTACCTGCTGATACTGGTTATAGGGGGGCTGAGCGTAAGTCTGTGCGGTGGGGGGTGGTGGTGGGGTATAGGGTGCTGGATTGTAGGCGCCATAGCTCCCATAGTTGTAGGCAGGTGGTGGTGGAGGAGGAGGCGGTGGAGCTGTGTAGCCCTGGCTATAGCCTCCCTGGTTGTAGGGTGGCTGGCTGTAACTCGGCTGCAAAGTGGAGAAAAAGACCAAAGCTCTGTGAAACAGTTCACAAATGGGCTGGAGGTACTACCTTATAAGCAGTTAGCCTGCAAAGGCACGTCCCTGATGGAGGTTCTTTGAGTCTGAAAAGATGAGTCAGCTGACAGGGCAGGACAGGGTGAGATGAAGTACCAAGGCCTAGGCCATGTTCTGGTCTAATTTTAGCTCTGAGACCCTAGGGGGACAAGGGATATTGCATCTCTTGAAGTCCCAGTTTCGTTTTCTATAAAATGAGAATCACAACAGAAGTATCACTTCAGATTATCCTATGCATTCAATAAGCCTGTATGCACAAACTGACAGGCACCCAATAAATGGTGGTAGTGGGTACTACAATATTTGCTGAGAAAAACAGTAGTGACAATTTTCAAAGTGCTTTGTATATATTAGACATATTATTAACTCATTTAATCTCAGGTCAATTCTGGATATAGGTTTCATTAGCCTCATTTTACAGAGACAGAAACTGAGGCTCGAGGTGAACTCATTGGGCCAAGATCACACAGCTAAAAAGGATTGATCCAAGGTTTGCCTAGAGCCTTAACCACTAAGCTACAGTACCAGCTCTTACAATAAACCTCAGAATGAATTCTACTAACATCTATAGTCCTTTGTGGGAAAAATGAGGCCCAGAGGGCATAAAACTGTCTGTCCAAGGTCACAAAACCAGGTTATTGTAGGGCTGGGGGTGGGGAGAGGGACTGAATGTGTACTTGCCCAACTTCTATTCTAGGAAATGTTCTGGCTACAGCAGGGACTGGGGCCCACTCATCTGTCTCCTGGCAATTGCTTCTAAGCCTGGCACATGGAAGGTGCTCAGGAAATGGCTGCACAATAGACTTAGCAGGAATCTATGTGCACCAGAGCCCAAGCACTGACTTTCCAAGAACTGGAAAAGAGCCTAGAGCTGCCTGGGATGAAGCTCTCAGTGCAGAGGGCAGGTCCTCATTGACCTTGGGGCCATGGTCTCCAATCATGAGGACAAGAGGACATTCCCTTCCAGCCTGGGAAAGGCTAACTCCACTGAGTGCTTTCTTGGAGACCCAGCAAGGGCAGGGATACAGCCAAGAGACAAGAACTTGCTGGAGGGACCAAGGTTTATAGCCTGCCCTCAAGGGAGGTGGGAATTTGGCAATACCTTAGGGTCCATCTCAGTCAAAAGCACAGCAAGGGACAAAGATGGCAGAAAGATGGAAGGAAGGTGGAAACCCGTGGCCGAAGCATGCATTGACAATTACCTCAGACCAGCCTCCTTTCCCGAATGGGTGTAAAAGCACATGTGCACACATCCACAAACATGTTCCTCACCTGCGGAGGGCTGTAGCTGCTCACGGGGGGGGTGCTGGTATTAGCGCTGGAGCCAGGGATGTTGCTGTTCTTGTTATAGCTGCTGGCCCCCGGAGGGTTCCGAGCAGGACTGTAGCTGGGTGGCGGTGGTGGCTGCTGTGGTGGTGGTTGTGGTGGTGGTGGCTGCTGTGGTGGTGGCTGTTGCTGGGGAGCCCGGTTGTAGCTGCCTCGGTTGTTGGAGTTGTTGTTATCCCGGTTGTTGTTACCCCAGCGGTTCTGGTTGTAGCCACCACCTCCACTTCGGTTGAAACCTGCATTGGAGAAATCCATAACAGGGGCCTCATCATTCTCAATGTGCAACCCTCAGGGATTGGGCTGCCTTGGTGATGCTGTGCCTCAGTATGGCCAGGCCTAGAGCAGGTGTTCAGTAGAGTGAACAAATAAAGCACACCCTTGGGGCTTCTCTAGGCCCCTAGCATGTTCCTCTTTTGCCACCCTGACACCACCAGGTTCTTGCTGTCTGCTGACAGGTTTCCCTTGTCCCTTGGGCTGTAAGCTTGGTGAGGCAGGGAATGTCTTGGATGTGTCCCAGCATCTCAATAGTTGTGGAACAAACTACAAAGAGATGTTCAGGAAGAAGGATGCTAAGCACCAGGGGACAGCCACAGATGAGTCAGATCTAGTTCTCTACAGCCTCTCCTGAGCCTCTGTGCAGATATTTCTTGGGCTTGAAACCCTTCTTCTTTCCCTTGGCCAACTCTTACTGGGTCCTACTGTGGACCTTAGCTTAGGCATCAGCACCTCAGGAGGCTGCCACTTTCCTGAGCTCTGCTATCTCTGCAGGTTAGCTTGGGGTCACCTGAAGTTCCAGAACCCCTGGGCTTTCTCATCAAACTATTGGAGTCATGCCTGTATCCCCAGAACTATTTAGCCCAAGACTGAAACAGAGGAGGGCTAAGGACGTGTTTGATAAATTATTAACAGCCACTTCGCATTAGAGACAGCAGCACTAAGGCCCTGGGCTTTTGATCACTTGAACCCCACCTCAAATTAGTACAGTGACTTGGCAAATTAACTTCTTAAGCCCATTTTTCCATTTGTTTTAGGTCCAGAAACACTCCTAACATTTGCCATGCATGAAGTCCTGAGATGGGCCCCAGGACTCAAAGAGCAGACAGGAGAGGATCAACACAAACAGCACTATGACATGCAAATGGGAAAGGGCTTCAGAAGCAAGACCAGGAGTAGAATGATGGGAGAGCATCCTTGAACTCCAAAGACTGATTCCTCATGATTCTCCACCAGAGCTCAGCCCACAGCCGGAGCTCGGCTGGCTTCAGCGCTAACTCAACAGCAGTCAGACCAACCCTGATGCAGAGCAGGAGGTAAGCAGAGCTGTGTGTGAACTGTCTCACCTCCTCGGTAGTTGCCTCCTCCACTGCTGCCTCCCCCTCGGTTCTGGAAGCCTCCTCGGTTGCCTCCAGGGGGCCCTCGGTTGTCATAGCGCTGGAAACCACCGCCACCCCCTCGGCCCCGGAAGCTACCACCTCCTCCTCGGTTGTCAAAGCGCTTTTCAGGAGGTGGGCCAGCCTTGCGGCCTTCCTCGTTGTACTGCCTCACCAGCTTGTCTGCTTCCTCCCGCTGCAGCTCAATGAACAGAACCTCATCCAGGAAGTCCCCAACATCAGGCAATGTGAAGTTGGCTGGGAAGAAGGAAATAAGGAGAGGCAGTCAGTACCTTCTGACATCTGGTCCCCTCCACCTGTACAACACTGACCTGCCAGAGGAGGAAGGTGGAGGGCACTGAATAGTGAATGAGAATGAGTTAAGACAGGGTCACAACCTTTAGCTTGACAAATGTAGGGCTAACAAAGACCCTTTCCTCCCTTTCTTCAAGAGGTGCCTAAGTCCTACCTAACCATGGAGTTCAGCTCTCTCCAGCCTCACCTCAGGGGAGTAGGTTAGGCAGGTGGAACCATATCCCTGTTTTTACTGAGGAGCAAACTGAGGCTTGCCCGCAGTCAGCCCAGCCAGTGAGTGCCAGAGGCAGCACCTTCCAGCTTGGGTTTCACCCTTTATCCTCATACCCCTCCACCCCATTCAGTTGAAAACTGTTCCAGAGAAAGACAGGGAGCTTAGCCATTCACAGATGTGGGAAATGGGAAAGAGACAAAGCAGAAAAAAACAAAGAGAAAGGTCACAAAAAGAGTAATTAAGGAGATGGGAAGAACACACTGAGTAAAGAGCCATTTCTCTTAAGGACCCTATTGAGGTGGCCCACTGGGAGCCATTCATTTCCTACCTTTCATTTCTAAGACCGCATGATCTGGGACATCCTTCCCTTCCTCGTCGGTTCGCTTTATTGTTCGATCTTTTAGGTCCTCGTCAGTGGGACAAATCACAATAGCTTTACGCTGGAAGCCTTCAAATGGTCTCATTTTTCGTCTCTGGGCTGACCCATAAACATTTGTCTAAGAGTAAGTAACAGAAGAGGCAGAGATGGTACATTAAGTGTTGTTTTTCCTCTGAGAGGTATTATGTAGGCCACGGATAAGAACAGCATACTAGAGCTCCTCCTGAGCAGAGACTCAGGAAACTGCTCTGCTTCACTTTGGTGACCTTGCATCTGCCTTGGCAAGTGAAGTGACTTCTTCCCAGATATAGCCTGTATTGAATTCCTTATGTACATTACTAGAAATACTTGTGTGATACTTAACATGACAGAAGAACTGTACACACTCTTCTGAAACTTTTTGTTTGAGACAGGGTCTTGCTATATAGCCATGCTGGCCTCAAATTCTTGATCCTCTTGCCTCAGCCTCCTAAGTACTGAGATTAATACCCAGCTCTGAAATTCTTTTATGTACTGTTTCTCTGAAATTCTTCTCTGTAGGGTTCTTTTACAAAGGCCATTGAATATCTACAAATGAATAGCTGCAAATAACTAGCCCCCTTTGACAAGGTGCAACAGTGTAAACTATTTCTATAAATACTGTGATTCTTCTATCCTCTAGGCGTCTGAAACTCCAGTTTCTAACCAGAGCTCGACAAGATGACAGCCTGTGCTTTTCCCAAGTGCAGCTTGCTACTCCTTCCTGTTTTCTCTCCTCTCAGGCTAGGTAGCTGTCTTCTGGGCAGTTGCTGGCACAGAGCTTCACCACACGTTTGTGACTGAGAGCACTAACAGTTTTTAACGACCAAATACCTCTTATGTGTCACGTCTATTGAACTGCAGTCCGTATCTGCTGAACCCCAGGTCTCCACAGACTCAGCCTCTGTATTTACATCATGTAGACACTACTGAAAAGGCGAGTAGCTCAAACTTCAATGGAGATTTCCTGAGCCTAAATCTCTGGTGGAAGGATCCAACACCTCCTGTATGAGTATTCCCCCATTCTAAACTCAGGAACTCAATGGAAGTGAAGAAACAAATTGTTGAACATATTTAAAGAACTCTTTAGTGGCTCTGAGAGTAAGAAACTGCAGAGGGTAAGAACAATCTGTGAAGGGACATGCAGAAATCAACAAAATTTTTTGTAATGCCAGGTATGGTGGCACACATCTGTAATCCAAGCCCTTGGGAGGCTGAGGGAGGAAGACTGAGAGTTGCAGGCCAGCCTGGGCTACACAGCAAGAGCCTGTCTTAAAAAAACCCAAACGAACAAATGAACAAAAAAACTCAACTAAATAAATAAAACATTTTAAAACTTGTGTATTCTCAGGACTCACTCTGGCAGAGTAGAAAGAGGCCAGGGTCAGCTGGGAGTGGTGACATGTCTAAAATCCCAGCACTCGGGAGGCAGAGGCAATAGGATAATGAATTAAAGACCAGCCTGGGTACATAGCAAGGAGGGGAAGGAAAAGAGAAGGGAACAGAAGAGAAGACAAGGGAAAAGAAAAAGGAGCAGGCTGAGGGCCAAGTCCTTGTGGGTACTTACTCTTTCCGGCCAGACCTTATAATTGCTTCCTCTGTAAAGTGAGGTGAGAAGCTTCCTTCCCAGATCTGGTGATTGGATGACCACAGATCAACTGACAAAGCATGAGGAGCTACTTGTATGGTAGCTCTGCAGTGGCCTCAGGGGCAGAAGATGCCCTGACCTGACAGGACTCATGGCTCAGCAGACCTTGGCTCTAACTCAGATCCTTTGGTTGCTACTAGGTAAAATTAACCTACTACGTATTTACTGGGTCTCAAGTCCTGAAAGGGGAAAACAGTACTTAAGTCTTACGCTTACTTCGAAGACAGAATGAGTTCATGTGAGTAGAGGCCCTTGTCTCAGTCTGGGGCTTGGCTCACAGCCAGCACTCAACAAATGTGAACTACCACTGGGTGGAGCACTGTGGATATTTATATTGTGATGTTGACTTGAAGCAACCCAGACCAAAAGGAAAGGTTAAGCTGCAGGGATTCCCAAATGGCAAGAGAAGGACAGGGAGGCAGGGTGGAAAAACACAGGCTTTGGGGAAGAAACTGGGGGCTGAAATCCTAGCTGTGTGTGCCCTTATTAGATTGAACCTCAAATTTCTTCATCTCAAAGACAAGCATCACATCACCCTCCTGGCTCTGGTAAGGATTTGCAGATGTGAAAAATCTCTGGGATGTGGCAAGGAAAGAAGTGAAATACAGGGTGGCTCTGAACACATGGTCAATAGGACTGACAGTGTGAGAAGAGGCTTCCCAATGGAAAGTGGTATAAGGGATCCTCTTCCAAGACAAGGAATAGAAGAGGGCTGTGGGAGATCTGGACCATGGGTGCAACTGTTCCCTACACCCACTAAATCCTTGGCCCCAAGCACACATGCCAGGCAAAAATATTCTTCCCAATCCCTGACCTTCCTGAGGAAAGGGCTTATAAGTGGACGGTAGGCACACATATGCTATTACTAGGGATTTGAGCCCAGCAGAAGCCTTAGGCCACAAGTGGTTTAAAAAAGACACTGGTTATAGGGGAAAAGAAAAGTTCCCGTTCCCGCTATTCCTCCTTAACTCCATTCCTAGAAGTGAAATGTAGCATCTGGTCACAGGAAGAAAGAACTTGGCTTCCTCCAGCAAAATAATCAGGTTTTCTCCTGACACAAAAGCCAGAGTATGGGTGCCAGGGTGAATGTGGCCCCAGACCATTCACTGATAACCTGTTCCATTCTGTTTGATACCTGCAAGCGATCCTATTCTGACTCCTCTGCACTCCAAGGGTATGGAGAAATGCACCCTGAACATTTTCTATGTGGCATGTTTGCCTGGTCAATGTCCCAATGAGGGGACAGAGATGAGAATCAACACTGCTAAGAGGACTAGACCCTGCAGACTCACAGGGCAGGAGGAATGAGGGCGGAGGAGACTGGACTCATAAATAGCCAGCCTCTGTCCTGGGCTGAGGCTACTCTGAGGGCTAGCTCCTCAGATGTTTGGGAGCTGAGGTGCTAAGAAGCCCTCTAGGGAATGTTTTATAAGAGTGTACCTCCCTGCTCACTCCTTGGCTTGGGGAAGGAAGAAAAGGGGTGACACTGCACTAGGAGAACTGCAAATGCTTGGCTTTCCTGGAGGAAAGGGAATTAGGTACTGGTGGCTGTTACCACAGCAAACACAGTGAGGTCAGAGCCCCGGGGCCAGTCCAGCACTGCTGTGGTCACTGGGGGCCACTGTAGTTGTTGCTAGGAGATCTGCATAACAGCGAGGTCAGCTTTTCCAGCCATGAGTTCTCTGCCCAGCTCCTGCTCCTCCCAGTCCCACCCTGCTTGAAGATGTCGACTAAGAGAGAAGCCTGGGTTGACTGTTCCCTGGCTCCTAACCACCTCCTACCCCAGAAGTAGCCAGAAGGATAAAAGTTGGGTTTCTCAGAGAAGCTGCATGGCTACAGTTGGTGTGTGACAGTCTTGGGGAGTGAGGAAGGACATGGTAGGAATAGGCAGTAACTTCTGCTGATACCCTGAATTCTCTTGAAAGGCTTACTGTCTGTCTGCCTCTGTCTACTCTCACTTGTCACAGATTGACAGGGCCAGGCTGGCAGGAAATGTCTGCTTTGAGTTCAGTGAGGTGAGCTCCTGTGGAAGGAACCACACATGTAGGAAGGGAATTGGCTGGAGCACCAGGAATGGAACTGGCCTGAGGCTCTGGGGTAGTGAGGGTAGAGGAAAGAAACTTCCTCTTCTCCAACTCCTGCTAACAACAGGCAATTTACTTTGGGTCTCCACTCTAGCCCTGGATTTGTTTCAGGCAAAAGTGTTGCACCTGTCAACAGGGACACAAGCAGGACTAGAACTGCCTGCTCAGAGTGCAAGACTAGGTTGGCAAAGTCATCACATCCATCCCTGACTCTGACCAATGTCTGGCCCAGCCTAGGCTACTAGATCTTCCTAAAGGGACTCATAGGCCTCAGCCTCCAACTCCAGGTGATCTAGGTAACATGGCCCTGCAGGAACCCTCTCTAAGCCGATACTGGGGCTTGAACTCAGGGCTTACAGCTTGAGCCACTCCACCAGCCCTTTTTTGTGATGGATTTTTTCAAGATAGGGTCCTGTGGACTATTTGCCCAGGCTGGTTTTGAACCACAATTCTCCTGATTTCTGCCTCCTGAGTAACTACGATTACAGGAATGAGCCACTAGTGCCCAGCTCACCTCATTTCTTTTCTCCCTCAGGTGTTCCAGATGTTTCCCTTTGATGCTACACAATCTGAAGAGTCTGCTCAGGTTATCATGGAATATGGGTTGAAACCACAGTGCATCTGAGAGCTTGTGCCTGATGGGCTACATCCTAGTCTCCATCAGTCAAAGGTTGAATCTTGGCTCTACAGCCCCAGCAGGCTTGTGTTGGTGACTTCTTCTCTCTCAAAGATGAGTTTTTCTGAAGTCAAGCTACGTAACAGGAGGCCACAAGAGCCTGATGCAGGGAGGTCTGATTTCCTTAGGAAAGATGACTTAGGCTGAGATTCAGAACTTTAGGGATTTGGCCTGAGTTGCTGGCCTCCCCTTTGGAAGTTCCAACTAGCCCAGGAGACAGCTATGCATCACCAACTTGTTCCTTACTGCCAAAGTTGGTGGGGTGGGAAGTGCCAGGATCTGGTCAGGAGCCTGCTCTGAACCTTTGCTAGACACATTTACACAGTTTCTTCTCATACACAGCATTTTCTAAGAATCTATTTTTAGAGTTGAGGAAGAACAGGAAAAATCTCTGGCTTTACTCTCTTCCCAGGCCTAAGTAACCTAAAGCTTCAGGCCGATTCCATCCTTATGTTAACCAGAGAACCCTCTTCCTCACCTTCAGAATTTAGGTCTCGTGCCTCGCCACTGGCCTAGATCACATGACCTGACCTGGAGGCTGGTAGCCATGAAGAACACAGGCACATCTGTTATAGCCCTGGAACTGTCCCTGTACAAGCCAGCACTAGGCAAGGAGGCTCACAGTGAGCGTTCACGGTGCTCAGCAACTAGTGCCCTGCTGAGATGCAAGGGCCTGACCACCACAGAAAACCCACACAAGGCCTCTTGGACAGAGGGTAGACGATCTACCTAACTATACTTCTCCACTGGGCCACATATTTGGAATGGGTTTCACAGCTGATTTAACCAGAGAACTGAGAAAAAACAGGCAGGGAATTCTTTCTAGGGAATCCAAAAAGGATGTATTCTGCTGGGTGCCAGTGGCTCATGCCTGTAACTCAGCTACTTGGGAAGCTGAGATCAGGAAGATTTCTGTTTGAGGCCTGCCCAGGCAAATAGTTCTCAAGGCCCCATATCTAAAATAACCAGAGCAAAATGGACAGAAGGCGTGGCTCAGGTGGTAGAGTGCTGCCTTGCAAGTGTGAAGCCTCAGTTCAAACCCTAGTTACACACACACGTACACGCACACGCACACACGGATGTACCCTCAGGATGTTAATGCCACTGCTTGGCCTTTTGGGACAGAGGTCAAAAACTACTGCCAAGTCAGACTAAAATTTCAAAATACCCCAACAAGGAGAATGGGGCAAAGTTGAGGCCAAGGGTTTAAAAAAATTGACAAATCTCCAAAAGGAGAAGGTTGGGCAGACTTCTTATTGATGGGACCGAGCTGGAAGAATAATGAGCTGTCCTCAACTTTTCCGTGTTTCACACCATGTGAAAGCAATGTGCTCCCCAGGAATTCCTACCTGAAAAGTCAACCAACGGCTCCATTTTTATCAAGATCCTTTTGAATTCACAGAAGCCAAGTACCCAGTGCTACATGTATGGAGGGCACTTCAGTAAGATTGCAGAGCAGGGTGTTACTTAGTTTACGTATTTGCTCACTCACAGGTTCTTAGCATAAAAGCAAAGTTATTCACCGATTTACAAATACAGAAAATAAGGAAACACCTTTTGCTACTTCAGGAAGTCTTCAGAACAGATGGTAAGTATGATGCTGCTTTAGGCAATACACATGTACTCTGAGACAGGGATCCTTAGTCATTTCTGTGTCACTCATCCTTCTGAGAATGCTGAAAACCATGGATAATTTTCCAATCCTAACCCAAAGCTGCCAACTCCTCTCAATGCAAATGCAGGCAGATAAGAGTAAACAACAATAATCACCAGCTGCTATGTGCCAGGTCCTGTGTAGGTGGGTGGCACCATTAGGATCTCTGGTTTTCAGGCTAAGAGACTGAGATTCAGAGGATAGAGTCAGCTGCACATCTACAAAGTGGCAGAGCTGGGGTTCAAGCTCTAGTCTATCAGAAGCAGAAATCTACACCTCTTCCATTTGACTTATGTGGCTTTCACCTGAGAACGTTCTTTGGGGCTGCTGTTGAGCCTGAGTTAGTAGGCTTGGATTATGGCTCCAAACCCCAAGAAAAGAGTAGGCTCAGAGAGCTTTGTGAAGCATCTATACCTGCTTCCTCATGTATGGCTGACCTCTGAGTAGCACTACTGTTAAAGAGCATTATAGGGCAATGAGAAAAGGACCAGAGGAATTCCTAGGCAGCTAACAGATCCCCTCCCCTCTCCTGAGGACATGCCAGTCTCCAGTAAGTACCTGATCTAGGATATAGTTGCGCTTCTTGCGGGCAGCGATCTGGATGAGGCGGTTGAGGCACTGAGTGGCCTGCTGAATCAGGACATCCCAGCGGCCAGCATAGTTCCGCTGCCGACGCAGGCCCATCACCTGTGAGCAGGAAGTTGTGAGGGATGAGTAGTCCCAGGTACAAGGCAGCATGCAGGGGTGGGAGGTGGTTAAGGAGAGTCCAAGGGTCATCCTTACCCGCATCTTATCCATGATGGCATTGGTACCCAGGATGTTGTACTTCTTGGAAGGGTTGGATGCTGCATGTTTGATGGCCCAGGTGGTTTTGCCAGCAGCAGGTAGACCCACCATCATCAGAATCTACAAGAACAGGACAGAGAAGGGGTGCTGTGAAATAGCAGGAGTCTGTGGCACAGTGGCACTGCACTACCCTGGCTGCTGGTGACCACGATGGTGGCTCTGAACTGAAGCTCAGGGCTGCCTCTGGAGAATGCAAGCAATAATAGCATGTGTCTCACAGAAATGCTAATGTGCTTACTCTATGCCAGGTCCTGTACTGAGAATCTGACACCAACATTCCTCACCTTACCCTTACAGCAGCTTTTCAACTCTGATCCCGACCTCGAGCAGCTGGGATGAAGAGACTACTTGTCCCCAGGTTACACTTGTGGCAGGTTCGTCTTCCTTTCACCATACCCAGCCACTCAACTTCTTTTTTCTGCTTTGGCAGTTTTCTGGTCCCACTCACCTCACACTCTGCCTTGCTCTTTGGTCCGACAGTGCCACGGATCCGCTCACTCAGGGGAAGGTGCTGGATGAAAGTGAACCCTGGGAGGACAGAACAGTAGGGCTCTGCCCTCTGCCCGAAGTTAAACTCCACGGCACAGTTCTTCACCAGGACATGAGGATAGAGGGCCTGACCCCCCAAGGCTTCCTTCTGGATTCGGAAGGCAATGCCCATCCATTTCCCATTCTTGGTAAAGGAAAGTTCCACATCATTTCCACATTCAAAGTCCTAGGAGAGAAAGCAGAAGGATGAGAAAACTAAAGGATACTAACTGACAACTCTTGACCTAAGGCACTTGGAGCCATGAGTGGGAGAGTTGATGCAGGGAGTGAAAATATAGCCAGCTTTCCAGATGTCAGTGACATTCAGGTAAATTAGACAGTATCAGGGTACAGCTCAGAGGACATCTACCCCAGGCCCCTTTTTACCCAACACTCGGAAGCTGGTGGACATGCAATAAATAATTTTTGGAAGCTCCAAGTATTTGAGCCTTGTACTGACACTGAGACAAAGATAAAGCCAATCCTGCCCTGTCCCCAAAACTGAAGGGCTGGCGGAATGGCTCAAGCGGTAAGAGCACCTGCCTAGCAAGAGTGAGGCCCTGAGTTCAAACCCCAGTACCACAAAACAAACAAACAAACAAACAAACAAAAAAGACCAAAAAAACCCTTGGCGCTTATCATTTCTTGGCTGGGTGCCAGTGGCTTACACCTGTAATCCTAGCTACTCAGGAGGCAGAGATCAGGAGGTTCGAAGTCAGCCCAGGCAAATAGTTTGAGATCCTATCTCAAAAAAACCCACCCCTCAGAAAATGGCTGGTAGTGTGGTTCAAGGTGTAGGTACTGGGTTCAAGCCCCAGTACTGCAAAAACAAAATAAAACAACTGTGGTCTATAAAGATTAGAGATGAAGGAAAGCCAGGGCACAGCCCTTTTAAAGCTGAACTGAGCTTTGCAAATGCATGTATTCGTTTAGTACACATTCTTTGAGTTCCTACTTTTCCTCTGAGGTGATCTGGGCTCCAAGACCTCAGGGACCAATAGGAAACCAGACAAGGATACTCTATCATCATTCAGTAACAACACTTAGTAGGTCCAAATTTCTCCAAAGAAGGAACTCATAAGCTAAGTCCTGAACAATAAATGGAAATAAGCCAAGTTTGGGAGTAGGAAGAGAGTACAGAGAAGTGCTGCATGTATACAAACCTCATGGTGACAACTCATAGGGTCAGCTGGACTGAAGTATAAAACCCGAGGGAAAAGTAATTTAAGGTACACCTGGGCTGCCATACAGACACCATATTCATTCACCCATTCAACAACAGTTTATTGAGTTGTTAAAGTTTAGCAGATCCTATTTTGTGGCCTTGGACAAGTTTTTTACCTTGTTTCTTTATCAAAAAAAAAAAAAAAAAAAAGGCGTACGTGTGTGGTATTTTATCCTACACAGGGCTGTTCTAAGGATTCAGTAAGTCAGTAGAAGATACAATGAACAAACAATGAATGTAAGCTGTCACTGTAATCTGACAGGCACTGAACTAGGTGTCAGGGGCTGGAGCGGTAGGGAAGAAACCTTGCCCTCCCTCCATACATGCATACACGCACATGCTATGTGAGGGGCTCTCCAAGTCACCTCCAGAGTTTGGACTTGGTGCTGATAATAGAACCCTGACTCTGTGTGTGTGTGTGTGTGTTTTACTAGGGATAACAACCCTGACTCTGTGTGTGTGTGTGTGTTTTACTAAGGATAACAACCCTGACTCTGTGTGTGTGTGTGTGTGTGTGTGTGTGTGTTTTACTAGGGATAACAAGCAGTCTACCACCTGAGTTACACCCCAAGGCCCTCTGCTTTGTTGTGAACAGGGAAGTAGCCTGGGCAAAATGTGTTTAAAAAAGATCACTTTGGCTACAGGGTAGAAGTTTATAGCTAAGGAGGCTCAAAATTTGGGATATCATGGCCAATGAAGCAAAGTGCAAAGTCCGATTCCTGCCACTAAAGTATTCTTTCTAGAACTGGAAGATCACTTTGGGTTTGCCCTGCAAGAAGCAGTGGAGCCACCCTCTCCTGAGGAGCTTCCTCACTACCCTCCTCAGCGCTCAGCACTCAGAATCTTTCATGTCTGTTCATCCATTTTATGTACACAGGTGGAAACCGTGTTGGGCAGACATGCCAACACTGGCTACACTAAATCCTATTCCAAGCCTGCAGTACAGTTCCTTCCATGCCTATGAGCACTAGTGTTCCCAAACACAAGTACTCTGACAGGAAAATGAACACTGTGATGTTAGCCTGCCTTGGGCTGCCAGCTTTTTTTGGTGGTGGTGGCGGCACTGGGGTTTGAACTTAAGGCCTTGCACTTGCTAGGCAGATACTCTACCACTTAAGTCATACCTCCAGCTCTTTTTGCTTTCATTATTTTTAATATAGGGTCTCACTTCATGCCCAGGCTGGCCTAGACTGTGATTCTCCTATTTACACTTCTCATTTATGCTTCCCACATAGCTGGGATGGCAGGAGCATGCCACCATGTCCAGCTTTTATTAGCTGAAATGGTGTCTTGAGAACTTTTTGCCCAGGCTGGTCCACCCTAGCCTTTTAGTAGCTAGGGTTATAGGCTTGAGCCACCACACCCAGTTCCAAGTGCTTTTTACAGGTTAACGTGACATAAATTTAAGAGGGAGATGCAGAGATTCTCATTTAGAGACTGAAAGACACGTAGGGGAAGTTGTCTAGGGCTGTGAGCCGGGACTGGATCACAATACAGTGATCCAGTACATGTTCCACAGTACAGTGAGTCTTGGTCATTGCTCTCTAGAACTGCTGTATATAGCAGCTTAGACATTCTCTATCTTCTGCTCTTTTACATCTTCTTTTGCTTTTCCAGAAGGCAGTACACACCAGAAGTCAGCTCAATAATGTGAAGTGAAGCAAGGGCAAGTTTGGGGGATAAGGTGATGCTAATGTGGGACAGGCAACACCACTGCCTTCTAGAACAGATAGGCTATTTCCTACTAAAGAAAGGGAAGAAATCCCAGAGGTTGATTAGAAAATGGCACTGGTAACTAGGAATGGAAGAGGCTGAAGTCCCAGACCTCCTCAGGATACTACCTGATAGCTTTGTGCAAAAGACTAAAAGAGGTAGAATGGTAGAATTTCACACAAAATGACAGCAACCATTCTGGTCTTTCTGGTTTGTTAGAGACTACTCCCCCCACTCCTCCCGTCAAAATAAAAATAAAAAGAGAAACTGTGGCTGGATATGTGGCAGGCAATGATGGACAGAGGTATCCTGAAAAAACTCCTCTGCAGCCCAGCATCTGGTTCTGCCAACTCCCACAGGCTGCTAGCACTCACCGCAAAACAGCCAATCACATCGTTCTCTGCAAATTTGTCTCCATAGTTTTCAAACCGGCTATTGGTGGACTTCTTCCCTGTGCCTCCATAGCCATATGAGAAAGGCTCTTCACCTGAAGGAAAAAAAGGCCCTGGCAGGTTACATCTGTTATGGTCCCAACAGCCACTACAGCTGCTTCACACTCATCTTTGAAGACAAAATTCATTTTCTTTCTGAGTTTTATTAATCAGATATCCCTTTGGAGAAGGGAAGGTGAAAGGAAGTCCTTTATTAAGCAGAACTCCTGAGGGCCTGGTGGGTTTAGATGTGTTTAGCCTGAAAGCAGGAGCTGAAGCAAACTGCTCTGCACAGAAAGGGAAAATCTGGAAAGAAAGGGAGGAGCTGGGATGGAGGAGGCTGTGTACTGAGATGCAATCCTTTCCTGTGACACCCAATACTCAGTCAAGTCTACTAATGTCATGAACTCTTTGTTGGCAGTGGAGTTTTGGTAGAAATCAGAAGCTAGGTTTTTATGCCAGGTGCTGGTGGCTCTAATCCTAGCTACTCAAGGAGGCAGAGATTAGGAGGATCGCTGTTCAAGGTCAGGCCAAGCAAAAATCAAGACCCTATCTCAAAACTACACAACACAAAAAGGGTTGGTGGAGGGGCTCAAGTGGCAGAGTGCCTGCTTAGCAAGAGTCAGGCCCTGAGTTTAAGAGTTTAAACCCAGTACAGCAAAAAAAAAAAAAAAAAGCTACATTTTGCTTCTGGCAGTACTAGGGTTTGATCAATCACAGGGCCTTATGCTTGCTTATTCTTGAGTCATGCCTCCAGCTAGGTTTTGCTTCTGGAAGACCATGAAGACTATTTACAGAAAGGCACTGGATGTAGTGTTGAGGGATTAGATAGACACTCCAAGGGCCTTGGCTAACACCTGAGTTCTATAAAGTTCCTTAGTCAGGAATTCAAAAACAAAAGCAGGAGTTGCCTGGTTCTGCTATGAACCAGTTGTGTGGCACTCAATATACTACTTGACCTTTCTGGGCTTTGTTTCCTCAACTGTCCACCACCTACATTTTAAAACAAAGATAAAAGGATGTGACCTATGATGATTCTTGTCCTTTTTTCTTTTGAAACAGGGTCTTTGTTGCCCAGGCTGGTCTCAAACTTGTGATCCTCCTGTCTCAGTCTCCCAAGTAGCTGGAATTACAGATGTGTGGCACCACTCATGGTTCTGACCTATAATTCTTAAGTAAAAAGTGCTAATTCATATAAAAATGAAAACAGCACAGCATTTCCAGCCTATGTGTGTGTTGCTAATTGAATATTATTTACTTTTAAGGATTAGTCTTCAGTGCTAGGAGTTGAAGTGTATAAAAGCAAAAATCTGCAATTAACTTAAATGAGCTACAAGAGTTGTTAAATATATTCAATGATTGGCTGGGGGTATAGCTTAGTGGTATAGTACTTGCCTATCATGCATGAGGCCCTAGGTCCAATCCCCAGCGTTATAAAACAAAAACAAAAGCAAAACTATAAAATGGAAATTATGCAATGGTCAAAAAGCCATACTAATTTACAAAAACATGCCCATTGTATACTAAAAGAAATCAGGCTACAGAACAGTATTCATAGGATGACCAAGTTTGAATATGTGAAGTCCAGAAGTTGTTGATGAAGGTCACTGAGGCCAGGGGTCCTATGAAAACCACTCAATGAGCAGTCCCTATTCTAGGCCCACTGGCCTCTGCTTCTACTTTTAGTCTAGGTTAGCCTCTGGACAGAAAAATCCACACAGAACTTTAAGGGGGCTTACAACCTTATTCATTCAGTATGGTTTGAGGGGAGGTAACTGATTGTTTTCAAAGAAAGGGAACAGTTTTCTGAAGACAACTTTGGGCCTTCTCCTAAAAGATGAACGGTAAGAATTAACTCATCATAGAAGAGTTGCTCCATGGTTCTTTCCATTGAATCCAGCATGTCTGACATGTATCTAATTATTGTGCCTGTTCCCTCCGAGGGTAGCTATATTCTGAGTCTGATGCTGCGAAGAGAAGCTTAGGAGCCTTGGGAATCCAGAGTAGGGACAATCACTCTACTCTCAGAACTGCCTGGCTGACCCCTCCTTACCCAGCTGGGTGCTGCAAGAGTCCAGGGACCAGCCAATACGGACAACGTGGGGGTCAGGCTCTGTAGATGGAAGGTGCTTCACGGAGATTTCCTCATTGATCTGAGGACAGAAGATAAGAAGGCTCAGGACTGATTTTCTGGAAGTTGTTAGCTTATGAGGTAACACAGGAAGTAAGTGTATTAGGCATTAAAAAAAAAAAACAATGGCTTTGGTTGTGGGGGAAGAGGCATTTAAGCAGCTCCAAAGAGCCTGTACAGTGAACCAGGGCCTCCAAAGGAATTGAGATTGTGCAGGCCCACAAAGAGATGCTTCATAATATAGCTACCTTTCAGTTTTAACACTAAATAAACTATCAATACTAGACAGAAAGATAAATTGGTGCCAGTGTCTTTGCAGAGCACTCTAACAGTTTTTATCAATGTTGCACATATGGGCTGGGGGGTGTGGCTCAGTGACAGAGCACCTGACTAGCATCCATGAAACTGGGTTTGATCCCCAGCACTACAAAATTAAAGCAAAGCAGTAAATGCACACGTTCTACAACCTAGCACTTCTAGCTTATCCTACGATATGCTTGTGTGTAAGTATGTATATGTATGAACATATGAAAGAAAATTCAGTGCAACATTGTTTTCATATATTTACACTTGAAAAAGTATCAACAAGGTAGTGATTACATAATGGAACAACCATAACACAAAGTACATGTAGCAGTTACAAAGAACAAGGCAGGGTTAATGTACTAGTGTGGAAAACTGTCTAAGACACAGTATTAAAAAAAAGAACGGGGCGGGGGGGGGAGGATCACCTTTGACTTGACTCTAAGTTACAGGTTACACTGCCTACGTAATATCCCTATGTGGTTTGTGGCCTTTGGAAAGGTACCATATAACATCAACTCTCACATACATATTTTAAAAGTAATAACCCATTTACCGATGTGACAAGAAAGCACTGTACAGCCATTAATCAAAGTATTGGGGTATTTTATTCGTAACAGCTTGATGTAGAAGTATCTGCTCCTAAAATTATTTGTAGATATTACAAAAAGCTTTTCTCAAATTTTGTTTCAGTTATAGTCCCCCTGTAGAGGATTGAGTTTTAGGCTTTTCATGGGTGTATTTCTTAATGACAATTAAAACTTTTTCACCCAAATTCTCTGAAAAAGTATTGTTTCTCCATTGTATCATGGTATGTGAGAATTCCTGGGTCTATGCTATCTTGCTATGTGAGAGAACATTAAATTTGAATTGTTTTCACTATAAACTTATTTTACTCTCTTTTCTGTGAAATTAAAAGCCCTTAGCTTTTGAAAAAGGAAAAAAAAAATGAAAGCACTGTATATTTCTGAGTGGCACATAAAATAACGTTACACTAACATCAATAGTATCTTTTTTTTTTTTTTTAGTGGTACTGGGGTTTGAACTCAGGACCTTCTTCCACTTGAGCCACGCTCTAAGCCTTTTCTACTTTACTTGTTTTTCAGATAGAGTTTTGTGTTTTTGCCTGGGGCCAGACTCCGATCTCTGCCTCCCATATAGATGGGGCTATAGGTATGAACAACTGCACCAGGCTTGTTCTTGGAGATAGGGTCTAACTTTTTTGCCCAGTTTGGTCTCAGATTGCATTCCTCCTATTTCCTCCTCCCAAGCAGCTGGTGAGCCACTATGTCCTGGCCATCAAGTCTTTTTTCCCTATGTAGCCAAGGTTGGCCTATAACTTGCAATCCTCCTACTGCAGCCTCCTGAATGCTCAGATTATAGTTGTGTACCACTACGCCTGGCTCAACAATGCCTTAAGTCAATAAAATATAATCACCTGTCTCAATTTCCATGTGTAAAAACCAGGAGTATAACAATGCCCACTTTGTGATAATATATATATATTTTTATTCACGTGATACTACATTTGTGAAGATTAATGGAGATAATCCATACAAAGAGCTCGGCACTGTATCCCTCGAGTGTAAAGTGCTCTAGACACATTAACCATAATCGGTAAGTTTGGACATACAAAAGATACAGGAGAAACTGTTTTGTTTTCAGTGCTAGGGATGAAACCCAGGACTTCGAGCATGCAGGCAAGTGCTATACCACTGAGCTCTAGCCTTAGCCCAAAACCTTGTTAACATGTAAGTTACCTCTAGGGAGAAGGATGGGGACTAAGTAGACATGAGAATAACTGTGCTTTTTTATACTCTTCTGTGCTTTCTGAAACTTATTCAACATGAGCATGTATCATTATCATAAACTTAACATGGCACTTTGTAGGATGACTGCAGAGGGTGGCCTACACAGGCAGCTCTTTGCCCTGTGCCTCTGATCACCCCCATTAGTGACATCTGAGTCCAATCTTTGTAGATCACTTTTCTTCCAAACAACTCCTTTTCCCAGTTCTATAAACACATCACCACTAGACTGATTTGACTATATAAATACCTGGCACAGATCCCACCAAGAAAAAAAAATCTGTTTTGATGAAGCAGTGCACGGTTAGCCTGTTTACTGCTGTGATAGCTGGTCATGGTATATAGGAGTTCACCATACTTTCATTTGTGTGGACATGATCTAAACTCAATTTAACCTCTTTTGCAGTTGTGGCTTTCATCAAGGCAGCTGGTGACAGGCTATTCCATGGATAAACCTACTGTCTGTTCTTATTCTTTCTAGCTCCCACTCACCTTCATCTCGAAACACACGCGACCCCTTCTGACCCCATAGCTGGCACGGGCTCCTGACCACAAGTATGCAAAGCCCTCAATTGTGAGTGGATAGCCACTACTCCGATCTCGGGCCACTTTGAAGTGCAGGTCGCAGTTATCTGAGGAGAAAAAAGCCTGCAATTGACTGATTTATTTTTAAATGTTTTTATTAGCATATACAGGGGGGTTTCATTGTGATATTTTTGGCAAATGTTTTAAAGGTTCCAGGAGAGGGACAGGAAGAAGGAAGTTTCCCCAAGACTGTTAAGAGTAGCTAACACATTTTGGGGAAGAGTTCAGGAGGAACCAGTGCGCTCTCTAGGCACTCTCCCTTTGAGGAGAAAGGGTCTGGATTACCACAAACTGGCCTGTATCACCCTACATGGGAACTGGGGTTGTTCACCTGGTGAGCTCCAATGTTGGGAAACTGTAAACAAATGCCTTTAAATAAGAATGTAAACTTGCTAGGAAGATGGTCCACATCCTCATCAGTTCAAAATTAGGATTTTAGAACACAAAAAGGCTAACCTCCAGCTCCATAAACTCTATAACCACCTCCCCATGCTAACTCTACCACAGTTTGCGATGCCAACTGTGGTACAAAACTCTGACCCTCATCCATTATCTGCCACCCAGGTGCATGACAGGCTCCCACCTCCTCTCTCCTGCTGTGATGTTGACGCTTCCCACTCTTCAAGGAGCCAGTCATGCCTCCAAGGAAGCCTTTCCTGACCATCTCACTCATGAGGTGCTTGCCTTCCTCCAGAGGATGAGCACCATTGTTGGGACACTAGCATTTAATCAGATACTGCCTCCAGACCACTGTTACCTAACACTTTCAAAAATGGTTAGCTTTACTCTGGGTAGATTTTTGTCTTTGAGAGCCTGTGACAGAAGAGACTGTATATGACATGTTTTTATCTCTGACCAAAGTATACACCAGTGCTCTAAAGAAACCGGCTACATAAAGAAACCCAAGAATAAGTGCTAACCTTGTGCTGTGCTGAGAATGTGCACTGTTCTCAGACCTGACTAGGCTTCCAGGTATTGGTAAAAACTGACTCGCAGGCTCTACCACGGACTCTGACCTCAGAGGCACAGGCCCTCCATAGTCTTTCCTCCAAGTGTTTAGATTCACAGTCAAGGTGAAAGCCATGCATACAGTGGAAGGAAAATTGAACTGAAGACAGAGCAGGGCAGGCCAGGTAGTGCCTCAGAGGACAAAGTAGCATTAATTTCACCAGGAACGTGAACAACTGATGGAAACTGGGGAGCTGGTCTTCAAACAGTTAAGTTTCCCCAGAAGCACTCAGATTCCTTTCCTGATTAGATGACAACCCCTTGTGCATACAGGGTGGTTTTCTGAGCAGTCTCACTGAAAGTGCTCTGAGGTGTAAGGGTAAGATTACTCCTCCCCAAAGAGAAGTCTGGAGAAGTAGAATGACTTGCCCAGAGTCCCACAGCTACAGCTGGGAGTCAGTCTTCTGTCTCCACACCAGAGCTATGCTGGTCTCCCCTCTGGACTAACAACAGCTCCAGATGGTACCAGGCAGGGATTCTGGAGAAATTCAGAACACTACCTCCCAATACTGACTGGAAAGCACCATCAGGTGGGCACTTCGAGGACTCACATGTGTCGATGGCAACAAGGGTATCATCAAAGTCGTCCTCATCCTCTTCAGCGGGAGGCTGAGGAGAACGGCCCCTGTGTTGGGAAAAAGTCATACAAGAATAGTTGGAGAAGCATGGAGGAAGGTAAATAAAGGTAGTGCTGGAATGTACAAGTGGTCTCCAACTATTTCCTGGGTCTCCATTTCTTCCCTCAGAGTTTCACAGAAAGAATTCGGGAACCCTACAAAACTTGCAATTACTGTTAACTTCTAGGATGGGGACAGGGACAAAGGGCATGCTCTGCTAAAGAAAGCATCGGAGTAATTTAGGGAGCCTTCTCAGAGAACTTTCCTTCACACCCCAAGATTGTGATCCATGCCCTTAGCCTGGTGACAACACCTTTCTCACTGAGCTGTGCTGACTAGAGGCTACAGTACCCAAAAGGTGTCCAACTTTAGGGGTCAGGAAGTGCAAGGACTGGAGCCTGGACAAACCTCAGTAATTAAAATGTACCCATATATTAGGCTTCTTAAAACCCTGCATCTGAAAGGATTTGACATGACCCACTTTTTCAATTTCTCTCTTTCAAAGTGTCCTAAATTATGAAAAGATACCTTCCTACTAAAACACTAAAAAAAAGGTTTTGTTAACATAGTGCTGACTTCTGTTGTATGGAATGAGAGGGGTAGAGAGATGGGGTCTAATGCCTAATACCTTGCCTGGACACCTGGATAGCATAGCCCACTGTGTGCATAGCTGCCCATGCCCACCTGGCTGTTGGCACTCTCCAGCAGCAGGCTCCCCCTGCTGGAGTTTCCAGTCCTGCCAGTCCAGGGCTAGCACACAAGACTGGTATCATATCTTAAGTCCATCCTAGGAAGCTTTCCTGCTGGCCCTGGAACAGAGCAAGGGTTCCTCTTCTGCTCTCCATTGGCAAGTATCTCTTAGGCCTCTGCTTTGTGAAAGGCAGTGAAGAAATCCACATGATGTGGGTTCCATGTCCTAACTTTAGTCATAGCTCATGAGACCCAGGCCCTTTCTTTTCTTTTGCTGTGCAAAGGATGGAAATGGGTCTCAGGTATACTAGGCAAGTGCTCTGCCACTAAGCTATACCCCAGTCCTGAAGTCCTTTCTTACAAGAGTAGCAAGCTAATTAAAGGGTAGATCTCACTAGGTAGGAAATAAAAACTATCAGATGGAACAGTCCAGGTAAGTAAGGGAGGCATGGTTATTACTAGTTCCCATGATTAGAAAAGGCTTCAGACAGAAGCTGAAGAAGTGGGGGGAAAGAGGAGTTGGAGGGAAAGAAAAGGGATGGCTTATTAGGAAAGGGAAAAGGGAAATGGCCACAGCAGAGTCCATTCGTTTTAGGAGCTCCTGAAATTCATCTGCATCTTAGCTACTTACCCTATAGGTTTGTGGCTTAGCTGTGTCTGTCACTGTCACTATCTTAGGACAATAGATGGCAAAAGCCCTTTGTCCAAATCACCTCTCTGTTCCTAGTGTCCAGTTCAAAGGTGGGCACCTTGCAAAAGGGGATGGACAGGAGGGGTGTGTTTGGGGGTGGGGTTGGGAAAGATCTTTCAATCAAGGGATTCAGAGCAGGTGGTAAGAACAGACCATTGCAGAAATGCAGGAGCAGTAAGGTATAGGGCTGAATAAGCAGGTTGGCATCTCATACAGTAAAACTAAGGTGTTTGGAATTTGTTCTGCAGGTAATAAGCAGGGAGAAATGGGGGAGGAACCAAAAGGTTAAGAAAGTTGAATATGACAGTGAGTACAGGAAGCAATCTGAGGGTAGGGCAGGGAAAATGCTGCTTAACCCCTCTCAGTGGGCACAGGATATCAGGCAGAGACTGACTAGAACAATGGTGACTACTGCCTCTCACACCCACCTCCTGTCCTCTCGATGCTCGAAGTAGCCACGTCCCCGGTTTTCTTCATAAGGCCTCTTTCGACTCTGAAACTGCTGTCTATCTGGCTTGAGTTGAGATGCTTCAGGTGGGAGGAAGCTGGATGGTGCTTCTTGCTTCATCTCTGTCTTCACATCTATTGTCAGGACAAATCCAAATGGTCAAGCACTCAGAAACTTCTCAGTTACCACTTCTCTGGTCCATTTTACTCCAGATGTTGGCAGGTTCCTTCTATGGGGCATGGCCTAACAGAAGCCCACTGACTGAGCCAAGGATGCTGACTGGCAGGTGATGGGGCAAAAGAAGCCAGTCAGTTAATTTTCAGGCTTTGTAAGGAGAGGTACCCAGCACTAAGTAAGGACAAGTGCTCTTAGGGCCTTCCCAAAAATGGAATGGTTGCTTTTGGGAGTCCCTTAAACTCAAGAGGCTTGGACCCCACCTTCTCTAATTTCTGCTTCAAAAAAGCTCTGCCCATCAGTTCTTACTCAGCTTCTTCAGTCTGACAAGGGAGGGAAAAAGGGGAATTCAACAGGGTATTATGGTCCCACAGAGAACTTTACCAGCTTTAGTCATCTTCCTACAAAGCCCAATCAATCCATAAAAGAGGGTCTGCAGTTCATCCATTTCATAGATGGGACAATCTCATTGAGTCACACCACAAACAGAAAGCAAAGGAGGGATAACATTTTGTGCACTGAGAAAGCTCCAGTTTCAGAAAGACTCCAAAAATCAGTTAACCAAGAGTAAACTATACACTCGGTCTTAGGTCATTTCCCCTCAGCATCACCTAAACCTGCTGCAGTGGCTCACTCAACATCTGCTCATCTTAACACCCAATCCAAGACCACCCTTGGTCACTCCCTGGCTTTGGCACATGAACCCAATCTCTGAAGGTTCCTGCTTCTTCAGGGCAGGCATGGTGCTCAGTCCTCTGTCATCTTGAAGACAGCCTCCATGGCTCCAAGGATGAGCGGGGCTCAGGAGGTCACTGAGGAATGTCTGTTAATAACAGCACAGAAACTACTCTCCTTGGGCCAAATGATCCCACAGGTTTCACAGAGACCGACATACATCTGCAGTTTAACCCACATTCATTAACATGCTGAGCCACACACAAAAAACAGGAGATTTCACTTTGTGGACAAAGCAGAATGGAATTAGGCAGAATCAACTAGATTCAGTAAGTACTTGGGAGGCTGAGGCAGGAGGATGATAAGTTTGAGGTCAACCTGGGCTACAAAGTGAGACTCTGTCTCACAAAACAAAACAAAGGAAAACAACGAAGGCTCGGGGGCCACAACAACAAGAGAAGAACAAAGACGGGCTCAGTTCTGACACTGCTACTTTTTAACAGCAGGACTCTGCTTTCCAAATAGTAAGACCCACATAGTGAGGAATAGTGCTTATTTACCAAGAACACTGGCCTGCTGGGTGCCAGTGGCTCACACCTGTTAATCCTCACCTGTGTAATCCTAACTACTTGGGAGGCTGAGACTGGGAGGATCACAGTTCAAGGTCAGTCAGGGCAAATAGTTCTTGAGACCCCCATCTTCAAAGTAACCAGAGCAATAACTGGAGGTATGGCTCAAGTGATAAGAGTGCCTGCTTTGTAAATGCAAAGCTCTGAGTTCAAACCCTAGTCCCACCAGAAACAAACAAAAAAGAGCACTGGCCTAAGAACCTATTTCCCAGGTTTGAGCCTCAGGTCTGCCATCAGACAAGCTACCTCCTCAATCTATAAAACAGAGGAGGAACAAGTCAGGTTATATTTTTGTTTTCCAAAGTGGCATTATAAGCAATTTTGTTCTGTAACAATATATTTACATGTTTGGGAAATCCAGAATTTAAACATGACACCAAGTTTACTTCAGTCTAGGACTTCATAGAGCCTTCAATGCTCTAATGAGCACAGTGACTCTCCAAGATGTGGAACAGCTAAGCTACATTTTCCAGACCCATATGGCTAAGGAGACTTTTCCTGAGGAGCAATATCTCCTGGAACAATTATTCTTCAGAACACAGAGAATACTAGACTAGAATTAGAAGGCTCTTTCTGGCTTCCATACTGTACAGTTCTAAATAAGATTCAAGTATTAGCTTCTAGGTCAAACTCTTTAGGGTGTTGATACTAATACCTGAAAAGATACAATGAAGACTCTCCTGTCGCAACACCTACAAGCAGGACTGAGTTCTTTTCTTCAAAACCAACCTGAGCCAGGCATAGTGGTACATATCTGTAATCACAGCTACTCCGGAAGCAGAGATAGGATGATTACAGTTCAAGGCCAGCCCAGGCACAAAAAAGTTAGCAAGACCATATTTCAAAAAATAAGCTGACCAAGGGCAAATTCCTCTCATTCTAAATAGCTGGGAGGCAGAGGCAAGAGGATCATGGTCCAAGTTTCGACTCTGGTAAAGTGAGACCCTATCTAAAAAATAGAATAAAGTAGAAAAGGCATGGCTCAAGTGGTAGAGCACTTGGGAAACACAAAGCCCCGAGTTCAAACCCCAGTATAACCAAAACCAAAACTTAAACAAAACCTTGCCAGAGTGACAAAGGCCAGATAATTGCCCAAGAGGAAGATGCAAAGTCTTATTTAGATTGTTTCCAGCAAGAGGAGAAGCAGGTGAGCTTTCCTACCTGGGTGATAGGGTTGCTGTGGCGGTTCCATGTCTAGTGGTCTCCTGTCATAGCCTGACTCGTTTTCTTGCTTGATGACCTGGGTCTCGTAGAATTGGTTCTGCCTCGTAATATTGTCCATAACATCTTAAGACAAAAAAAGGTCAGTTAGATGGGAGCTTTTTGGAGGCTCTGAACTAGGTGTGGTTTCTTTTATACCACACCACCATTCTCACTGGGGCCAATCAGTCTGCCAGTGGGTGAAGAATGACAACACCTTCAGATAGAAAGCAATCTGGGCAGTGAGTGGCCCTAGCTGCCTGAGGGCATGCCCTTTGCTCCTCAAAAGTCTGCAAATCCACCTGTGGCTGGGTTCTACAGAAACCCAATATACAAAACCAACTGATGCAGAACTGCTACCATCTCCTCATTAAAACAAGGGGATGATAGGACAAGGAAGAGGTTCAGCTTGACCTCTCTAAGTCCCCAACTTCAGGGTAGGGGCAACTCTACAGACACCTGGTACTCTATTGGAGCACAGTGAAAAAGCCACCAGCCTAGCTGTTCTGTGACAGTTTAATGCTTAATAAATTGCCTTCAGGGCACAACCTTAAAAACTCTTCACAGCACACACCACCACTCTCCCCAGCACCATTCACTAGTCCCACCTGTACAGATAGCCCTCTTAAAAAACCTCTTCCACCCTACAACTGCTGCAAAGAAAAGGGGTAGCCACCTCAGACAGAGGAAGAACAATCACAAGACTGGCCTTCAGCATCATTAGGAAAAGGTCACCAAATGGCTGCAGTTAGGCTAGAGGGGCGGGGAAAGTGTCTTATGGAACTAGGAGCTCAGCTCAAGAGTGGTAAGAATGGTATTCGTGACTGCATCTACACACCAGATCCTGGGATATAGCTAGGATAAGTTTACCCCACTGAAACCATCACTTTAGGGAAAGAGACACACTTTAAACAGATACTTATATAAAAACACTTCACTTTGATTGCGTTAAGGGCTATGAAGCACCAGGAACTGAAAAAGGGACTCAGAATGGAACAGATAAGCCTCAACTCCAAGAATACATAGGCGATGACTCAGTTGAGAAAGAGAACACTCCTGGGGTTGGGATAACACATGTGAAAGTTCAGAAGTGGGACTAAAGCAAAGGATCAAACCAGAAACTTCTTCAATGGAGTACCTCGGAGCCAAATCAGAGAGAACTTTAGAAGCTTAGGATGGGCAGCATGCAGGCTCTCTGCCCTAGGGGCAAGCTCACTGGTAGGGGCCTCCAGAGCCCTGCTAGTTAGTGGCTGTGCCAGGAGCAGTGAGGCAGAACCACAGGGAAGGAGAGACTATTCTGCCACCTGTTAACTGATTGGATCCTTTCTCAGAGGACAAATACATCTGGGCACAAACCAGGTGCAGCCTAAAGGGAGGAAAGTCACAGGTCACGTGGTTTGCTACAGTGTCTGTTTACGAAGGCAGAAGGAAGTGTTGTAGGGGGACATGAGGGGGGCTCAAGGGTTTTGTTGTAGAGGGTAAGGTAGATAGGAAAAAACAGATAATCTCCGTAACTGAAACACAGGGCCCTTTCAAACCACTGTACTTCTTGGAGGCTCTCAGCAGTGTTCTCCCTGGGAAGCCTGTGTCTTTCTCCCCAAACATCTCTCCTGCATCCACGGAGGCAGCCTCACCTGGAGAAGTTCTGTTTCTAGGGTCCTTCTCCACTCTCTAAAACACCCCACTCCTAATAAGAGGCAGGCCTGGTATAAAGGTCCTCAGACATGTGATCTCTGACCTACTAATCTGGGGAGGGGGTATTAGTAATCTACATTTTACAAACAAGGAAACCTGGCTCACAAAGTAAAGTAACTTGCCTATGTCATGGACTCAGATTTGAAACAAAGTCCACCTGAGTCCATTCTCTGTGCTCTGAAGCATCCAACTCACTCTTCTCACAGACCCTCTGGCAGGCAGCTCGCTGAGGGGTTGCCCCCTTGCTTCTCCTTCCTAGGTGTCCCTGCCAGGATCCTTCAGCTATAGAGAAGTGTGTGGGGAAACTCTGCTCTTCACAGATCTTTGCCATCAAAGATGTGGGTCCTGGACCATTGGAACCTACATTCAGGTTGCCCCCTCCAGGATCCCATCTCTCATACCTAATGTTAATCCCAAACCTCTTCTATGGCCTCAATTCTCTTTATTCTCTTAGCCTAAAGCCCCAGGGTGCCCTCTTTTCAAAGAAACACCACGAACAAACCCTGGATGACAAAGTCCTTTGCTTACTACCCAATCCTACTAGGAAGTAGCCCTTTCCTAACTCCAGATACTAGACTCCCTCCAGTATCAGGGTTTTCTCAGATGGCAGCAGATCTGCCTTCCCTCCCAGGGCCACACCTCCTGGTAGATGTAGAGGTCCCCTACTATCCCAGCCCCCTGTGCTGGGCACCCAGGAGCCCTCTCTTGGAGACACTCAGCATCTCCTCCCCACCCCCTGGGACCTCAGGGCAGCCAGCCAAAGCAACAGGTTTCCTTTCTCTTTCCACATCTTACATGCTTCCCCTCCCCCATATTTGCTGGACCAGCTACACTCTTTCCTTGCTGGACACAGGTTCCTCTGCACCCCCCCCCCAATATTTCATCCACTTCGATGCCGCCAACTTGTTCCCTGTTCAGCCATCCCTGTTCTCCAAGCCACCCACCGTTACCAGAGGGCTCTCAGCAGCAATGTCCCCAGCCTTCCCAACTCGGGACCCCGGGTCCTTTGTCCGGTCGAACACTGGCCGGACACCCGAAGTTCCCTGGACCTCCCCTAGAAACCAACTATAAGGCCCCCCAAATCTTCCATCACAACTACCCAAGCAGCGTCCTCCTTAAGGTTGGTCTCCCAGCCCCGGCTGTGGGTCTCCCCCTAAAATCGCCCGAGCGCTCAGCCCAGCAGATGTCCCCTCCCCAGCCAGGGTCACCGGCGCCTCCACTTCTCCAACGCACCCCGGAACCAACGAGTACAATTCCCAGTCCCCCACGCGTCCCTCCAAACTCTCCTAAGCCCCGCGCCCCGGTCGGTCCTTTCCCCAGGCCTACCGAACCCCAAACCTCAGGATCGCCATGTCCAGGACTCTCGCTGGGCCCCCCAGAAGCAAGGCTCTCGTCCTCCCCACTTTCTCGGGTTCCTCCCCAACCCAGGACCCCCGCCCTCGGCATCTCCCCTGCACCGAATGCCGGGGTCCACCCTCCTCCGGTCGTCCCGAGGCCTCTCGTCCCCCGGTCCTTCCAGCGGCGGGCCGTGGGGTCCCCCGATCCTCAGACCGTCTCCCCGACCTCCGGCGCCGGACGCCCGCGTCCCAAAGCCCGTCCTCGGCCCCGACTCCGGGCTCCCCGGCCCCCGCCCCGCGCACTCTCACAATGTCCGTCCGGCCCCGAGTAGCCGCCGGGCTCCGGGTGCGGCTGCAGCCCGGGCGGCGGTGGCTGCGCGGTCCCCTCCAGCTCGGAGCCCCCCTCGGTCTCGACCTCCTCGCTGTTGTGCCCGGGTCGCCCCGGTTCGTCGTCGGCCTCGAGCTCCCGCTCGTCGTCGGGCTCCTCGGCCTCCAGCGCCGCCTGCAGCCGCTCAGCAAGCTCGGCCTTGAGGCCGCGAGTGTCCAGGCCGCGGCGCTGCAGTTCCTCGCGAAGTTCGTTCACCTTCAGACGACGCACATCCATGGCCCGGGCCCCCGGGGCGGCCCCCGAGCCCGGCCCGGCCTCCCAGGGTTCTGTCCCCCTTAAACCTTTCCTGTCAATAGGCGAAGGGGGAAAAGGGGGGGGGCACTCCAATGGCGGCTGCGGCTCAAAATGGCCGCCGCCTTCTCGCCCGTGCCCCGTAGGATGCAACACGTGTGCCAATTGGCCAGTACTCGGGGGCAACGGGCGCGAGCCCAGAACTCGACCAATCAAAGCGCGGTTTTCAAAAGCACAGCGGTGAGAGGGTCCAGGAGTTGCCGAAGAGGAAGCGTTGGCCTACGTCGAAGCCGCGGCCGGAGCAGAGGGCGGGAAAAGGCAAGAGGCGGGGCGCGCACTGATTGGGTGCCATCCGCGCGCCTGCTGCTATACAGTCAAATGAGGGAGAGGGAGTAATATTTGGACCAACTAGCAATGAGATCTCAGAATGAGCGCCCACGGTCTCGTCTACGCTGTCCTTTCATCCAACTAAGCGTCTCTGTAACACACAATCTGACTGGTCTAGATCTCCCGCCCCTCGAGTCCGAGTGGGTCGGCAAAAACACCCTTTCCTGTTACCTTTAAGAAACCGGAAGGAGAAAGTCACCGAGGGCCCGCCCCTTGCCGTTAGGGCGGTTTCAAAAAACAACCCGTTTACCAACCGCATTTATTGTTTTATCTCAGTAAAGCCTGTATAGCTTGCTCGCCTTAGGAAAAGCTAACCAGATTGGCCCTTCTTCAGAGGCTTGCTTCATTAGTTTCGCTGTTACAGGGAGGTGTACGGAATAGAGATTACGTATATTACTCGTAAACTGTTAGAAACTCAGTTGCCTTTATGAGTAAAATTCTGGCTTCCGAGTGCTGATGGGCTGAAACCGGGGGGTGAGACTAGCAACGGGAGAAAAGTTATACGATAAGCCGTACATCTGCACCCCCCCTTTCCTTTGATAGTACGTCTCGCGGGCGCTCTTCCCACGGCCGGCTTTCTCTATGGTCGCCGCGTTACGTGGACGGGCGCTCTGCCCGCGACCATAGAGTCTTCCCCTCCGGAAACACCTCCAGAAGTTGGCGGGTCTCCACCCCGAATCTTCAGCAGCTGCTGTTTCGCAAACTTGGCTGTTTGGCGTCTGTACTGACAAATCCCAAACACACGGATCCACGAATACCTACAGCTGTCAGTATCTTTAAGGCTGCACCACCTGTCGCCTCTAACTCCGAAGACAGAACTAGCGTGAGATGCACAATGGAGACGCATCCCATGCAGACGTGCCGAGCGGGCCACATCTCAATAATCCCACAAAAGCCATGCACCACGTTTCTTAGACCAGAAGGCATACGATAGCCCTACAGGATGCATTAAAGTGTGGCCCAGATGTGTATGACAGGGATGCGCGGGACATCCAGGGCCCACTCAGCCGCGGGACAGACACTCACGTGGGCCCGAGGTCCAGTCCAGACACCCCGCCCTCGCCCACGTCCGACTTCCGTTCGTTCTCCTCCCAGCTCCGCACAACCATTTGTTCCAAAAAAAAAAAAAAACCTCCAACTTTGTGGCCCGGATTGAACTGTCCCTTGTTCTCAGAGTCGCCACCAGGGGGCGTCCGGGCGCTGCCGATGGAATCTCCCATCTGCAGCCACGGGAGATCCAGAGGGCTGGTCCTGCAGAAGGGGCTGAGATCAGGTGCGGTTAGATCAGGTGTTCTGTGTCCGTGGTTTCCATCTGAGTCTCAACGGTCAAGCGGGTGTGTCTCTGGGTCAGTGTGTCACTCTCCTGTGTCTGTTATTCAGACTTCTTACTGTTCTTGGTATGTACCCGCCTGTGCTTATACTGGTAGACACAAACATTTGTGTATATGATTCTGCGTGTCACTGTTCCTCTGTGTCTGAATTTCTGTGTCTTTTTATATTTGTGGCCAGGTGCGCCCCTGAATACAGCCATTAATTCATGTGACTGTTTGGAGCATGTGCGTGTAGGATCCTGTGATAAATAATGTGTATATGTGTGTAAATACACACACACACACACACACACACACACACACACTGTTCCTAACCAGGGTTTTGTCAGAGCTTGCATTTCTTCACGTCTTTTTGCTTTTCTCTCTGGTGAGGAATTTCCAGATGCCACCAAGCCAATGCTTTCTTTCTACACTTTTGTAGAAAGTAGAGGCTACTCCTCCAGCCCGTTTTTGCTTTTAGGTTTTTTTCAGATAGAGTCTGTGGGGTTTTGTTATTGGTGGTGGTGTGTGTATGGGTGCCTTGCCCAGAGCTGGCATGGAGGATGCATCTCACATAGCTGAGATCATAGACCTGCACCATCATGCCCAGCTCGTTTGTTTAGAAGGGATCTTGCTAATTTTTTTTGCCTGGGATGGCCTCGAACCACAATCTTCTCAATCTCCACCTCCCAAGTAGCTGGGATTATAGGTGTGAGCCTCTGCATGACTTTTTTTTTTTAGTACTGGGATTTGAACGCAGGGCCTAAACTTTTAATCACTCCACCAGCCCTTTTTTTGTGAAGGGTTTTTTTTGAGAGAGGGTCTTTTGAACTATTTGCCCTAGGCTGGCTTCAAACCACAATGCTCCTGATCTCTGCCTCCTGAGTAGCTAGGAGGCAGAGCCACAGGCGTGAGCCACTGGCACCCACTTTTTTTTTTTTTTTTGAGACAGGGACTGGCTATGTATCCCAAGCTGGCCTCCATCTGGAGATCCTCCTGCTTCAGCCTCCCAAGTCCTGGGATTACAGGTATGCATTACCACGTGCTACTACCCTTCTTTTTATGACAGGAAAATCAAATTGCCAGGGAGAGAGGGGCTAAATCACAGACAAATGGAGACACAAGAAGACAGAATAGTGATTGACAAAGTTTTATGAGCCCCTCTGGAGGCACCAGAGTCACACTCTGAAGATGGCAGAAGAGGGACTGGCTCAAGGGGGCAGCATGGCCCAAAAGGAGGGAGATGGTCCGTTCCCTGGGGGGAAAGGAGGCATCTCTAATGCACTGCACAGGCTTGAGGGGGGTGTGCCCCACCCGAGGGGAGAAGGAAGCACACATGGCTAAGCAAGGGAGGGCACACAGGGTACTGTAAGGTTCTAACCTTAGAATCGTGCCTAGTGTCCTAGACCTGTGATTTTAAATCTTAAGGACTTAGAACACTTGAGCCTCAAACTGCAGTGTCTAGAATTTAAGGTTTTAGAATTGTGTATTCTTGGGCCTTTAGTTGTCATCCTGACAAAGCAGAATGCAGCATAGAACCTAGTGCTGCCCAACATTAGAAATGATTAACTTTGGTGGCTAGTTAGTCACAACTAAACCGTGAACATCTTATAAATGAGATGCTGTTGGTCCAGACCTTGGACCAATAGCCTTGTACAGTGCCCTGAAACATAGAAGAGGCCATTAGAACCTTGGCACCTGATGATCTAGACTCTTAGACACAGAGAATCTAGGTTCTTAGATTAAGTTTTAGAACATTAGCTCTTAGATCCTCCAACTTTAGACTCTTAGAACTTTTGAGTTGCAGATTCTAGAATCTCAGATCCTTCAGTTTCCAGGATCTCATTCAAATCTTCATCCTTGAGAAAGTAAAATTTTGGAGCCCTGTGATTAATCTTTCCCACCAGAAGATCCAGCCTGAAGGATCCTTAGAACATCAGATTTTAAAACAACAGAATTTAAAACTCCTTGTCTAAAATGACAGAATCTTTAGAATTGTGAAATCTAGAATCTTACACCCTAAGGACTCAGGGCTCTAGAAAACCAGAACCATGGAGCCTCAGATCCTAGAGCTAGAATCTTAGGGCTTTAGAACTTCAGATCCTGGGGGCTTTCTCAAGAGTTTTAGAATCAGAAAATCTAAAGTCACAGAATCTCAGGACCTTAGAACAATGGGCCTTTTAACTTCCAGGTCTAGAACACTTAGCCACTTTAGATTATAGACTTTGGAATTTCAGGTCCTTAGAACCAAATCTAGATCCTTAGACTTTAGAATCTAGAATCCTGGAATGTTAGACCTGGGAGGACTCTTAGAGATTGCAGTGCAACCCGTCCCTGTTAGGGATGAGGACGTTATGGCACAGAAAGGGGGGAGCATCTGCAACGGAGGTGGGGAGGGTAGGAAGGTAGGGCTGCAGTTGGGATGAGGCCTGGAGTGAGAAAGGGGATGAGGTTTCCCCCAGTGGCAGTGCCTAGCTTGGGTCCTGAGAGGGAGTCTCTGGTGGAGGACTGTTTCAGGCTCCATCTTCCTGCCCTGGGGGTGCTGGGAAGCCCCTGTCAGCAGGCAGAGTGGGTCCAGGGGCTGTAGAAGGGCAAAGGACATAGCGTCCAGCAGGATGGACCTCGGCCGCAGTGAGGCAGCTGCAGGAATCCTTCGGATCAGGTTGGTTTTGGGGATCGGCTCCTCCAGCAGCTCCAAGGAGTTCGGGATGACCTCCGCCCTCATCCATGTTGACATAGAGAATTTCGTCAGGCTCCTGGGCAGGGGGGAGGGCCTTGAGTGTGTCCTCCAGGTCTTCCCGCAGTTCTGTAAAACTTGGCCGGTCTCGGGGGTTCAGTTCCCAGCACCGGGACATCAGGGCATACCTAGGGCGGCACAGTAAAGAATGGGAGACTGAGCAGGGCATTCTCAGATTTGGGAGACATTTTAGGACACTCAGAACTGGGGGCTGGATGGAGCCTCAGCAATTTGGGGGCATCTATAGGTATTTGGGAATTCTTAAGTTTCTAAGGAGGTTTAGGGATACTCAGGAGCTAGAAGGTTCTTGGAGACCTCTCTGGGTCTGGGGTGATATTTTAGCAAGATTTGCTAGAGTATAGCTTCCAAATGTGACCCTCCAGAATGACTATATTGAAGCCTGGCTCTGCCACTTACAAGCTGCACTGGTTTAAGATAGGTCCATAAGTTCTTTGACACTTCTCCCTTCAAAAGATGGAGACTAAGGATAAGGGCTCGCCACTTGAATTTGAGCATGGGCAGACTTAGTGACTTGCTTCTGACTTCTGAGAGTAGGTCATAAAAGGTATTTGGCTCCCTCCTTGTGTTCACTCTCTCTTTCTCTCTGCCAGTATTGGCATGTGAACTCAGGACTTTTGATAGGGTCTTGCACTTTTGCCCAGGTAGTCCTAAACTGCAATCCCCCTATCTCCGTCTCCCCACTAGCCATGATTACAGATGCGCACCACCACACCTGGCTTGTTTTTTGAGATAGGATCTTGCTAACTTTGCCCCAGGCTGTCCTCGAATTGTGATCCTCCTACCTCTACCTCCCAAGTAGCTGGGATCATAGGTGTGCACCACACTTGGTTGCATTTTTTTTTTTTTTTTGTAGTACTGGGGGTTGAACTCAAGGCCTTGCTCTTGTTAGGCGGGCCCCTACCACTTGAGCCACTCTGCCAGCCCTTTTTATATTGGTTATTTTCTAGATTGGGTCTTGCTTTCTTCTCTGGGATGGGCTGGATCTTGATCCTCCTGTTTGTGCTTCCCCACATGGCTGGGATGACTGGTGCGCCTCACTGTGCCCAGCTATTGGTTGAGATGGGGGTCTCATGAACTTTTTTGCCTGGACTGGCCTCTAACTGTGATTCTCCTGTTCTCTGCCTCCTTGGTAGTTAGGATTATAGGATTGAGCCATGACACCTAGCTGCATTTTCTCTTGGATGGCCATTTTGTTAGGATGCTCAAGCAATGCTCTGGAGGGATCCACATGGTAAGGCACATGCCTTGCCATGTGTGTGTGCCATCTTGAAAATGGTCTTCCAGTTCAGGGCCCAGTCTTCAGATGACTACAGCTCCAGCTGCCATGTTGACTATAACATTATTAGAGACCCTGAGTCATAATCTGCTAAGACACTAACCTTCAGAAACTATGTGAGATAATAGATGTTTGTTGTTTTAAGCTATTATATTAGATAACTAATATACCAGTTGTGCAACTTTTGGCAAGTGACTCACCCTTGCTGTCGGCCTCAGTTTTCTCATCTGTGAAATGGCTTCATAAGGATAAAAATGAATTAATACAGGCAAAGTACCTAAAATTGTGCCTTCCAGAAAGTTCTAGAAAATGTCAACTTGGAGTATCAAAGGAAGACCTGTGGAGTATGAACCCCAGGCTATCTCCTCTTGAACCAAGCCACCTCCTCTCTTTACTGTCACAGTGCTGGCTAAATGTCATGCCCTTCCTTCTCCATTGGCTGAGATAATGCAAAGGTTGGTAAGTATGATCTAAAGGATCCTATGAACAACTCAGAGGAGACATGAAAGTCGAGAGGATTGATAAAACAGATGAAGGGGGTTGCCAAGGGTCCTGTGTTCAGGCACAATGGGGGAAGGGTAGGGTGCCAGAGTCCAGGATGAGTTAGAAGTCTCCCAGACTGGGGGTCCCAGAGGAAGGGCTACCAGGTAAGGTTATAAGTTGTTCACTGCCCACAGATACCTGGCTGAGGTGGGCAGGGGCTGATCCAGCCTGCATTCCACACACAAGACAAAGCAGGAAAGGGCACCTGTAGTATGCATATCTCATTGGCTGGCTAGGCGTGGTCCTACTTGAAGCATTGGTGAAGGGGCAAGAGGTTCTCTCACCTGGGCACTAGAGGCTCATGCCTGTAATTCTAGCTAGTTAGGAAGCTAAGACTGGGAAGATCGAAGTTCAAAGCCAGTAAGAGAAAATAGCTTTAGGAGACCCCATCTCCAAAAAATATAACCAGATCAAAATGGACTGGAGGTGTGGCTCAAGCAGTAGAGCTCCTACTTTGCAAGTGGGAAGCCCTGGGTTCAAACCCCAGTCCCACCCCCCCCAAAAAAAAAGAGTGTCAATATTCTGAGGGATTCCATGCAGGTTTTAGAGGGTCCTGGAGATGATGGGGGCCTGTGTGGGTGGTCAGGGGTTTGGAGTAAATTCTGGGGTGGGACTGGAGGTGCTAAGAGTCCTCACAGGCCATCCAGACAGTCCACAGGCTGCTTCAGGCGATTTCCCTGGCGCAGGTAGTCATAAATTTCACTGTTCTCCACTCCTGGATATGGGGTTTGGCCTCGTGTGGCGATCTCCCACATTGTCACCCCGAAGGACCACTGTGAGGAGCAGAGGAGAGGGAATTAGAGGGTCTCTCCTGCTCAGAGTCACAGGTTCAGGCATGTGTGTTCACAGCCAGCCCTATGGGGGCATCACATGTCTAAACAGAAAAACTTTGGCACAGGCACATACATGTACAGGTGACTTTTGTGGATGCATAGCTATGTCCACTTGTCCACACATTTACACACTTCAATGACACGTGACCTCATGAGTCCCCCTCCATGCCCAGGCTGTACACATAGTAGGCGTGCGGGCATGAGCACACATGCTCACTGCTGCTTCTCCTGATGTAAGCTGGCACCGTGCACACGTGAGCCTGCAGAAATCCCTGACATGTAGACACATGCATGTATACCACATCTCCAAACACGCTTAGGCTGCATAGAAAGGCCCCTGTGCAGGGCCGTCCACGTGTCCCCATGAGCCCTGCACCCACAGCTGGCCAGGCGCAGTGTGAGGTGCTCAGGCCACACTCCTCCATAGTGTCCCACTCCCGGCAAGGGTGTGCATACCACATCACTCTTGCTAGTGTAGACTCGGTCAGCCAGGCTCTCAATGGCGATCCACTTGACTGGCATCTTGACAATGCGGCCCTGACGGTAGTAGTCCCCATTGTAGATCTTCTTGGAGAGCCCAAAGTCTGCCACACACACTGACATGTTCTCATTCAGCCTGCCCGGGTTGGGGAGAGGAACTGGGTCAGGGTATCAGCCACCTTTATCAGGAAGCCAGTCATGGCTCTCAGACACCCCTCCACCTCCTATCCTTGCTGTGCTGCCTGGGGCTGGGGATCTGCCTCCTGCATCATCGATCCAGTCCCAGAGGGAACTGTTTTACTTCTTGTTCCCTCTGGAAAATGAGAATGGGCAAAGGATTCCTCAGAGCCCTCTCAGCTTTGGCTTTTTGCCAGATCCTAAAGTCCTTTGAAGGATCCATGGGTTTAAATTCCTGATGCTTTAAAAGTTTTCTAAAGGACATGATATATATAGAAATGTGCACATAGTTGAGCCTGCTGGTACACGCCTATAATCCCAGTCTCTGGGAGTCCCAGGTAGGAGGATCTGGAGTTTAAGGCAAGCCTGGGGTGACCTTGTCTCAGGACACCAAAAAAAAAGTCATAAATGCTCATTGAATTTTCACAAACACCCATATATCCAGCACCCACAATAAGGACATTAATACTATGGAATACCACACAGCAAAGAAAAAGAACAGATTACTGATGCCACATGGACTAACCTTAAAAACAACATGCTGAGTCAAATGAGCCTGACACAAGGAGAACCTAACTTATGACATTTAAGAACAGGTGAGACTAGTGAGGGTGACAGAAATCAGAACAGAGGTAACTGCTTAGAGGTCAAAACTGACAAGGGGCCTGAGGGAACCTGCTGGGGCTCAGACGTGTTCCTTATCTGGATCTAGTGGTGGTTACACAGGTCGATACACATGTAAAAATTCATTGAGAGGCTGAGGCAGGAGGATTGTGAGTTCGAAGCCAGCCTGGGTTACATAGTGGGACCCTGTATCCAAAAAAAAAAGTAAAATAAAAATAAAGAATGCATTGAACTGCATACATATGATGTATGTATTTTAGTGAATGTAAATATATGTCAATTTTTAAAGGTATAAGAATGAACGAAAAATAGAAAAACACATGTCTCCCAATGTTCCTTCTGGTAAGTACCCCTCCAAAGGTAACCATCTTCATTTCTAACAACATTGATTACTTTTGCTTGCTTCTATATGGGTGGTCCCAGCTTACAATAGTTTGACTTAGGGTTTTTTCAACATTATCATGGTACAAAAATGATAAGCATTCAGTAGAAATCATATTTTGAAGCTGGGAGCCATAGCTCACACCTGTAATCCTAGCTACTCAGGAGGCAGAGATCAGGATGATCTCAGTTTGAAGCTAGTCCCAGGCAAATAGTTCTGAAGACCCTATCTTGAAAAGACCCATCACAAAAAAAAAAAAAGACTGGTGGAGTGGCTCAAGGTGTAGGCCGTGAGTTCAAACTCTAGTCCACACACACACACAAAGGGGGAGGGGGGAAGGAAGAGGGAAGGGAGGGAGGAGGCAAGGAAGACAGAGAGAAACCATGGGATCATGAGGAGAAAGGAATTGGTATTTTGCAGTATTATAGCATTGACACTGGCTTTTTTGATATTGTGTTTTGCATTTTTGCATCCTAGCCTGTGTGCAAACTGCCCCTTTCCTTATGTACATGAGATAGTCAACACTTTATTTTATAGAACAGGCTTTGTGCCAGGTGATTTTGTCCAGCTGTAGGCGAATGTAAGTGTTCTAAGAACATTTAAGGTCGGCCAGGCTACGCTGGGATGATTGGGAGGTTGAGTGCTTTCAACTGATGATATTTTCAACTTGACAGTGGGTTACCAGGACACAACTCCATCCTAAGTTGAGGATCAAATGAACTGTGCAGGCGTGTGCCTTTCCCTAGCTGGGCAGTCACCATCTAACCGTTAGGGAGAGGCCACAGTTTCCAGCCAACTATAGTAACCCCACCCTGTTGGATAAAACATCCCCAAGCCTGGACAGCTTCTGTGCAGTTGACTCATCCCCAGCTGCCTGCCTCATGCCTCAAGGTGTACTTTTGCTTTGCTAATAAATCACTATTTATCTTTTTTTTTTTTAATGTTTTCCCTGGTTCTTAGATCTGAGTTTCTGGGATTTTTTTCCCCTCCAAGTACCAGAGATTGAACTCAGGGTGTCACTACTCATTGGTGAGCTGGGTCACCAATCCTTTGCTTTTTTTTTTTTCGTGATGGGACTAGGATTTGAACTCAGGGCATCATACTTGCAAAGCAAGAGAGAGAAGACCCAAATTAATAAATTAGAGGTGAGAAAGGGAATATTGTAACAGGTACCAATGAAATCCAGAGGATGCTAGAGTTGTGAACACTGATGCTCCTTGTAGAAGATTCTCTGATTCTCCAGCTGCAATTTCTATGACATTGCATGTCATGTCATGAGGCTAATTTTGTGTGTTTGTGTGTGTGTGTATATGTGTGTCTGGGATTTAAACTCAGGGCTTCACGCTTGCAAAGCAGGCTCTCTACTACTTGAGCCATACCTCCAGTCCATTTTGCTCTGGTTATTTTGGAGATGGGGGAGGGGAGTCAAGAAAATTTGTCCAGGCTGGTCTCAAACCTTGATCTTCCCAATCTCAGCCTCCTAATAGCCAGGATTACTGGTGCTCAGCACTTGCTGGCTTTGCTGTCTCAGTCCCGAGTTCTGAGTTCTGACCTTCCCTGAAGTCTCTAGTTACTGTTGTATCCTGGGAAGGAGGGAGAGAGCTCCCTGGAGAGCAAGGGGTCCCCAAAAGGCTTGATGCTCACATGCAGTTCCTCGCAGCCAGGTCACGGTGTATGAACCTCTTGGTGCTCAGGTACTCCATGCCGCTGGCGATGTCTGTCATAAACTTCACCAGCATCTGAGTGGGCAGGAACTGGGGTCCAAGCCGGGGGGAACAGAGGTCAACAGAATACCCAAGGTCCCTCCTTCCTTCTTCCTCCCTCCCTTCCTCTGCGTGTCTAGCTCTGCCTACCATCATTTCCCATGGCTTTGAGAATTAAATCCAACCCCTTTCTGTAGCCCACGGGGCTCGATACAATTCACTCCTGCCTTGCTCTGGAATTGCCTTTGATGTATATTGCAGACAGGGGCTTCCAACGGGTCTTCAGCCCAGAGGGCTGATTCTCACCCCTGAGCCTTTGCTCTGAATTGGGATTCCTTCCTGTGTGGATTTCCTAACAGGCCCCCAGCCCGCTCCTCCTTCAAGGCCACCTCCCCAGGTGATGCCTTTGCTGTCCACCCAAAAGAATTCTTAGGTCTCCTTATCTTTCATTCTGCATTTCCTTCCTAGCACTTAAATTGTCTTGCTTACGTATTTGTTAGCTTGTTTACTGGATGATTAAATTGTCCCTCACCATTGGCTGGTCCCCAAGCCGGGAATAGAGGAGGAAACTGTGTAGGTCACCATGCTTCATGAAAGGTAAGATGACCACAGGTTCGGGGAAGCCCTCTCGTTCAGAGTCCTGGAAGCAGACGCCTGAGTATCCCCAGGTAGCCATGTCAATCCAGTTGGGCAGAATGAGATCCAAGCCCCCTTCCCAGCCAGACTTAGCATCCTCTTCTCCCTCCCCCTTAAATCTAGCCTCCACATTGTTTGGGGGTGTGGCCAGGACAGTGCTTCAGAGAAGCCATTTCCCAGGGATGTTTCCGGAGTCCTCCTGGGGACCTCAGTTATTTCTGGGAAAGGTCAGAAGTCACATTCCAAACCCAAGGAGAAGAGGAGGGGAAGTTTGCTGATGCTAAAAGAGGGGGTAACAGGGAGCCTGGAGGTTTGATCTTCCCAGGACTTCAAGGAGGGTCTGTCTTCTTGGTGTGGCCTTGTGGGAGTGCCCTCCTTCCTCACCAATGAGCCTCATGACATTGGGGTGGTCGAATTCCTTCATGCACACGGCCTCACTCAGGAAATCCTCCAGCTCAGACCTCGTGCAGATAGCGACTGCGGGGAGAGGAAGGTGGATGGGGTGGGGGACGGGAGAACTGTGCCCCTCCTCCTCCTGTAACCACTGTATCATCTTAGCTTCATCAAACATGATTAGTAAGCACCAGGCGCTGTGCTTATTCTGTCACTCGTATAAACTCATTTAATCCTCAGAGATGCTTCTATTATTAGCCTGTTTCATTTATTTATTTAATTTATTTATTTTTGTGGTGCTGGGGATGGAACCCAGGGTCTTGTACATACTAAATATGTCCTCTACCACTGAGCTACATCCCCAACCCTTGTTTTTTTTATTTAAGACGTCATCTCACTACATAGCCCAGACTGGCCTGGAACTTTTCCATCCTTCTGCTTCTGCCTCCCATAGTGCTGGGATTACAAGTGTGGCCACTTTATTAGCCCCTTTTAAAGATGAGGAGGCCAAGCATGGTGGTGCACGCCTGTAATTTCAGCATGGGGAAGGCTGAAGCAAGAGAATTGTGAGTTCCAGGCCAGCCTGGGCTACACAGTGAAATGAAGGAAGGAAGGAAGGGAGGCAGGGAGTGAGGGAGAGAAGGAAAAAGGAAAGAAGGGAGAGAAGGAAGAAAGGAAGGAAGGAAGGAAAAGGAAGAAAGGAAGGAAGGAAGGGAGGGTGGGTAGGTGGGGAGTTCAAAACAGAAACACTAAGGAACCTGCCTAACAACAGGTGCTGCTTCCAAACTGGAAGTGGCAGAGTTCAAATGAGGCATTCTGCTCCTGAAGCCATGTGTTCAATACCACGCTGGCTGCTTCCCAGCCCTTTTCCAACAGCTCTGGGCACCCAGATGATAATTAGTATCCTGTTTTACAGTGCTACTGTGGCTCACTGAAGCAAACTGACTTGCCCAAGGCCACAGAGCTGGGACTCAAACTTAGGACAAGAACACAACCTGCGTCACTGAGTATTTGGTACACATCTCTAATTCCAGCACTCAGGAGGCTGAGTGAGGAAGATGTTGAGTTTGAAGCTAACCTGGGCTACAGACTGAGACCCTGTCTCAAAAAATATTAATAATAAAAAGAGGGTGATGATGTAGCTCAGCTGTAGAACACTTGCCTAGCATGCTTAGCATGTATGAAGCCCTAGGTTCAAAACTTCAGTACCGCTCCCCCACAAAAAACTCCAAAAACTCATAACCTGGAACACAGGCATGTCCACTGATGAATGAGTGAGTGATGACTCCATAGCCCAAGGTTTTCATTTAATTTCTTTTTTCAGTACTGGAGTTTGAACTCATGGCCTTGTACTTACTAAGCAGATGCACTACCAGCCACAGTTTGGGATTTTAAACCTTGTAATTTAGAAACCATCATTTGTCCCTCACCTCCAGCTCCAGCCTGAACCCTCTCTGCTTTTCCTTTCCTGTGTAAAGAGGACTTGGCTCTGGACTTCCTGTGCTGTGCAACTCTGTTCTGGTTCCTACACTCTCTGAGGATGTAATAATGTAGTCATAGTCTACATTAATGACAAGTACTTCATGCCACCCTCACAATCTCGGGACATTATAATTTTTCTAGAGGAGGAAAGGAAGACTCAGAGAGGGAGAGTCACTTGCCTGACATCTCACAGTTGGTAAATCAAACAGCCAGGTATGTCTTATTCCAGACCTGCCCCTACCCTGCTTTGTATCACAGGAGGCTGACCCCTGAAAACTACATTTCCCAGGGTCCTTTCCCTGCCATTTTCCTGTTGGAGTTTGCCAAAGTCAGGCACTGATGGGAGGGGGGAGTGGAGAAATTAGGCTATTTCACCCTCTCTCTACTTTTGGAATTGCCTTAGTAGTGGCTGGCTGTCCCCTGTGCTTTTAGCTCCCAAGCTAACTCTGTGTTCCCAACTCCTACCAGGTATCCCTAGCCATAGACTCCAGTAACAGCATGTCTTCCCTCTGCTCTTCAGCCTGGGGGTGGAAGTGATTTCCTGATGCTGCTAATCTGCTGGTTATCTCACTGATCCAACTGATCCTCTAGTCCCTCCTCCACCATGGTAGATACACCCCCATGTTCAATTCCTTCTATTGAAGTACCTGGTATGGGCTCCAGAAAACACTGGGGGTTCTATGCTGTGGCTAATGTGCCACTAACTTTTCTGCTCTCCTACCTCCCTGGGGCATAAAGAAGAGGCCTGGGGCTAGAGATGAGGGTCCCACATGTGTGTGCACAGACTCACTCTTCATCGTCTTCACAGCCACCTTTAGGATGGAGTCATCCTGGTTAAGCTGGCCCTCCATCACGGCTCCAAACTCTCCTGTGGAGGGTGGAAGGGTGACACTGACCTCAGAAGGGCTGTGGAGACTGTATTTCCTGGGTGAGGGCGAGCAAGTGGAAGGACCTTAGGGTTCAAGTAGATGTGTGTGCTGGGGACTCACCTTCTCCCAGGGTCTTTCCCAGGGCCACTTTATGCCGGTCTACCATCACGTCTCGAAGCTTCTCCTTCAGTTCTTCACTGATGCCCAGGCTGTTCACTGCAAGGAGGGCGGGCGGAGACATGGAGCAGGGTTGGCATTCACGTGTTGCTGGCCAGAAGGGATATACCCATTGGTGAAACACTGAACTACTATTGCATTGGCTCAAAATTAGCTACTGTCCTGAGCATCCCACCCACCCCCAGCTCCTCTCCCCTGAATCTTCCCTGACAGAAGCAACCCCAGTGTTAAAGCCTGTCTTACAGCCTTGTTCCATTGAGCACCCTGATTGATCAGAGCCCTGCTGTACCAGTACCAGTTGTTAAAAATATTTTTCTTTTTCTTTTGGTGGGACTGAAGTTTAAACTCAGGGCTTCATGCTCACAAAGCAGGTGCTTTATCCCTTGAGCCACTTTGCTCGTGTTATTTTGGAGATGGGCCTGGAACCTTGATACTTCTGATCTCAGCCTCCCAAGCAGCTAGGTTTATAGGTGTGAGTCATTGGTGACTGATTAAAATATTTCTTTTAGAAAGGAGTCCACACAAAGAAATGACAAATGTTTAAGGAGATGGAAATTCTAAGGACCCTGATTTTATCATTACACACTGTAAACATGGATCCAATTATTATCCCACTGCACCTTACAAATATGTACAATTACTGTGTGTGAATTACAAAATAAATAAATCCTCATCTAAAACACATTATTGGAGCTGGGGATGTAGCTCAGTGGTAGAGCATTTGTCTAGACACGTGCAAGGCATTGGGTTCAGTCCCCAGCACTACACACACACAAAAAGAAAAAGGCGTTGTTAGCATAACAGACACCACATTCGACTAAAGTTCATTTTCTTTCTGATTTTGTTTTTTGAGACAGGATCTTCCTAATTAGCCTAGGCTGTCCTTGAACTTGAGATCTTCCTGCCTCTTCTTCCCAAGTGCTAGGATTACAGTTGTGCACCACCACACCTTGCTTAGGTTAGTTTTCTGTTTTGGAATGTTATCAAAATGTTATCACACAGCATGTCCTCATGCATATGTCTGACTTCCTTCGCTCAACATGAGTCTAAGAGAGTCACAATACAGTCGTTACCATGTGTACCTGTAATTTATACATTTTCATTGCTTTGTAATGACATCTCTCTAACTTATCGACCCCCTTCATATTCTAAAAATTATACAGGACCAAAAAGAGCTTTGTTTTGTGGGTTATATACATTGTATGTGTATATATATATATATATATATATGCCTGTATTCATATAGATATAGATAGCTATAGATAATAGATATTTAATATATTCAAAATTAATACGATAGTGTTTTAGGGTGGTTGTTTGTTTTTGGAAACAAGGTGTCAAATATGTAGCCCTGGCTGGCCTTGAACTAGAGCTCCTCCTGCCTCAGCCTCCTAAGTGCTGAGATTACAGGTGTACACCACCTGTGCCCAACTTACAATGATAGTTTTTTACAACACAAGAATACAGAAGCACATGTTTCATCAGGCATTAATGGCATCACCACAGTTCAGGGAGCCTCAGGAAAATCATGAAGAATGAGAGTGCAAAAGGGCAAAAAAAAAAAATAGCTTTGACCTCATGGACCCTTTGCTAAGATCTCAGGGACCCCAAAGGACCTGGCTCACACTTTGGGACCTGCTGTTGTATATTATTCCATTAAATTATTTTGACCTTGTTACTTCTTCCTTCTCTTCTTGAATAAATGTCTTTCCCAGCCCTTTCCAACTATCCCCCTGGGGCCCTGTCACCCTTCTTGCTATGTGCTAGGTCCAGATCTAGCTCTGTCCCTTTTCCCTCTGGTTTTCAGTTTCTCCAACTGGAAAGCTGAATTGACTTGACAGGGTGGCCTCTAAGGTCATTTCTTAGCTGGAACCCTTCATGATTCCACTATCATAAGTCTATTGCTCAGCTGGGCACGGTGGTGTATGCCTGTAATCCCAGCATTTGGGAAACTGAGTAAGGAGGATCACAAGTTCAAAGCCAACCTGGGCCACTTAGGGAGTTCTAGGCTAGCTTAATGAGGTGCTTTCTGTCTCAAACAAAGAAACAAAACCCCAAAACAAAGCAAACTCTATCATTCTACTTTCCTAAAGCTGTGCAAGGTCCCACAACTCTGTTGTTTGTAGGGTCTGTGGTTCTATTCTGAGGACTTCAGAAACTTTTGTCTCACGCATCTACGGAAGCCTGGCAGGCCCAATTTCCTATGCTTTTTAGCTCCAGACCAGGGCCAGGAGGCATAGGTTTCACTTACAGGTGGCTTCATTGGTCCGACGACTGTAGGACTTGCGGACGTGGTACCTGACTACCAGTTCACCTCTTTCCACTGTTGGCTCAAATACCTCTCTGGGGAAACAGGGAGATGGTGAAGGTGGGGAAGAGCCATGTGGTGAAAACATGCACCATCCCAGACCCCAGCCCTTCTGGCCCTCTCCTCCAGCCTTTCTGCTATCCTCTGCCCTCCATTCATTCCCCCAGACCTCCTCGTTCTCATTCTCAGTCTTGGTCATCTCCCCTCTGGCACCAGCCTCCTTACTGGTGTCCCGTCTCCAGCCTCTCCATCTTAGTCCACACAAGGCTCCCCCATGGAGTTCTAACTCACCCATAGCGGGTCTCCTTCTTCCTCCGATGGACAAGAAACAGGGCCAAGATGAGGACACAGGCAGCGGCCACAACTGCTCCCAGAAGTACATACCACCAGGGCCAAGAGAAAGCAGGAGCTGGGGGCTCACTCACTGTCAGGGGGCATGGGGGACAGGTCATGGCTGAGGTCCTGAATCTGGTTCCCTGGGACCCAAGGGGGTGGTGTGGGAGGGAGTCAGGAAGCATGGAAAGAGATGTGGATGTATTTGATAAAGAGAGTGATGGATGCATTCACGTTATTAGAGGAAACTGGGCCGGGTGGAGCGTGCAATGAATATGATATGAGTGTCTGTTAAAGCAGGAAGCATGAGAAACTTGTAGGATGGGTGGGTGAAGAACAGGATGTATGTTTGAGGAGTGCATAAGGAATCTGCAGTGGCAAGGGCAGGTGAGTGTGTACAATGGCGTATGAGTGTGTGAGGAGGGATGGATGCACATGGGAGGGTGTGAGTCAATCTGAAGCAGTGTAGGTGTGTTATGTGATTATTGTGCAAGGAGAGTGGGCCTGGGTGTGGAAAAACAGGTGAGTAGGGAAGAGAGTCGGTGCAGTGTAGGATGGTGCAGGAGGCGTGTGCAAGGAGCATGGGGTTGGTGGGCAAAGGACTAAGGGATGTATTTGGGGTGTTCAATGAGCACAAAAGGGTTTTCGTGAGTGAGGAACAAGAATTAAATAAATGTGCAGAGGGGCATGAGGAGCGTGTGAGATGTGGGATGGCGCTTGGAAGAGTTTGGGCCATGTGAGGAATGAGGAGTAGCTAAGGATTTTTACACTAATGAGCAATGAATTTTTTTTTTTTTGAGATAGGGTCTTACTATGTAACCCAAGCTGGCCTTGAACTCACAATCCTCCTGCCTCAGCCTCCGAAGCACTGGGATTGCAGGCATGTGCCACCATGCCTGGTATGAACAACTATTTTTAAGAATAGTTCACTCTGAGAGGAGTGAACATGCAAAATATGTGTGCAGCTGGCAGAGTGGCTCAAGTGGTAAGAGTGCCTACCTAGCAAGCATGAGGCCCTGAGTTCAAACTTCAGTACCACCAAAAAAGGAAGAAGAAAAAAGATGAGTGCAGCGCAGTGCACATGAGGAGTACAGCAAGGGTGTGCAAACAGGGTAGCAGTGGAGTAAGGGTGTGTGTTGAGTGTACAATGAGCTCTGTGTGTGAGTGTGCACAGAATGGGATAGGCAGGATGATGGGGGCAAGGTCTAAGGAGCACTGGATGAACGGGCAGTCAGAGTTGTAGGGCATGGGATAGGGTGGGCTCTAAGTTTCTCAGTGTTTGCAATGTGGAGTGTATGTGAGTGTGTAGGACGTATGCAGAGTTTGAGAATGAGACGTGTGCAATGGGCATATGTGAGGAATGAAGGATTAGAATGGGTATACATGAAAGGAGGGTGGGTGAGTGTGGAAAGGGTATATGAAGAAATAGGAGAGGGTAGGTGATGAACATTTAAGGGTAGCAGGTTGAGTTGCAAGTGGTGAGCTATAATAGCACTAGGAGGGTACCGTGGCTGTAGAGGAATGTTTGAGAATTGTTGAAGGGAAATTGGAGAGGAATGGACATGAGGAGCATACTCCATCTGTCTGTCCTTCCTTCCTTCCTTTCTTCTTTCTTTCTTTCCCTTCATTCACCCATGCATTCATGTATCCATCTATCCACCCATCCTCCCATCCGTCGATCCACCCATCCCTCCATCTATCCACATTCATCCATCCTTCCATCCATCCATTCTGGCATCCATCCATCCATCTATCCCCCACCCATCCATCCTTCCATCCTTCTTTCCATCCATCCTTTCACCCATCTATCCAGCCATCCATTCACCTGTCCACCCAGGTATTTATCCATGCATTCATTCATCTATCTATATACCCACCCATCCATCTAGCCATCTGCCATTCACTGAGTACCTACAACGTACTGGGTCATTCTAGACACCTCCCTCAAAGACCACCCAAACCTAAGAAGTGGAGGGTTGGAGTGATGACTTTGAGAAATACCAAGAGAGCATGCAAAGAGTATGCATGTGGTGACAGGGCTCTCACCAGATGCTGAGGGGAGGGAGGGAAGCGGGGTGTAAAAGCCCTTACCCAGGTGGTGAACTGGCTGTCCTTGCCCTGTGAGAGAAAGGACAGAGGGGAGATGTGCTCAGAGAGGGCAAGACTGGCGTGACACGAGTGAGGGAGAGGGAGGCTCCCTTAGGGGCTCAGGGTAGGAACAGAGCCTAGGTTGGGAAATGCTAAAAGGTTCAGGGAACAAGTCAGGGTATCAGAAAGAGGGAGGCCCTTTGGGTAGGTTGAAGGGGGCTGAGTGAGGCTTTGGAGTTACCTGGGCGCCAGGGCTCCAGGGGAACGGGGAGGCTCCAGGGCCCATCCCCGGCAGCAGTGTAGGCTGCCACGGACACTGTCAGGTTAGGCACAGGGCCGTTTCCCCGCAGTTCTAGGGTCATCTCTCGCTTTAGCCCTATGTCCATCAGCACCTAGGAGGTTCAAAAGTGGCATCAGGCCACCAACTCTGGAGCATTCACTGTTGGCCTTAACTCTCCAGCTTTTTCCTAAAGCCTCCTCCTCATGCCCGCCCCTCATCCCCCCACTCCCTCACCCTCCTCCATCCTTCATCTCCATTTCTCCATGCCCATGCGCACTGGAACACCAGCCATACCAGAGCAGGAACTCCTCAGTCTCATTCCCTGCCAGATCCTCAATTCTTCAGCGCAGTACTTTGCACATGGTACAGCTCACTCAACGTGTGTTGGCAAACTAAGTTCTCCTCTTTTCTCCTTCATCTCTCCCGTCCTTCCTCTCCCATCCTTCCTCTAACCTCCCGTCCTTCCTCTCCACCTCAGGGTGTTGCTAGCCCAATTAGAATCTTTGTGAAATTAGGAAAACACACCCCTTCCTCAAGATGCTACACACAAATCTGGAAAATTGTTTAAGTCAATATGTATGTCTACTGAAATACTTTCGCGATGGCCCATGAATAAATTCCATAACCCCTTCCTGCGGCTCTGTTAAGCTCCCCAGAAAGTGCATAGGCATGGTGCATTTGTAAGTATTCAACCTGCACAACTGTCCATGTCTGCTTTGACATCTTCTTCTCCCGTCTCCCTCCTCCCCCAACCATTCCACCCCAACCCAGCCAGCAGCACCCACCTCAGGGGTGTCCTGGCCTCGATATGCCAGCCGGTACCCTAACAGGGTGCCCTGTAGGGGCACCCGTGGCTCCTGCCAACGCACGAGGGCCTGGCTCCCGTTCCGCATGGCGCTAACGTTCTCAGGGGGGCCCAGGGGCACTGGAGGACAGGGAAGAGGGGAAGCTGGCACCCCCACCTCTTTCTGACCCCCTCCCCTGTTCCCAGGAAGTGGGGGCAGGGTGCAAAGGGCACGCGCGTGGGCAGCTCGTGTCGGCCTCGAGTGAGCGGAAGCACAGGAAGACAGCTGGGACAGATGCCAGTGGGCAGCGCTGAGGGCTCAGGGACTGGACAGGAGGGATACTGAGGTGATACTGGGGGTGGTACTGATGCAAGCAAGGTCCAGCAGAGCGGAGGGTGACATCTCACTCCCCAGCCCTTCTTACCTCCTTCCAGTGTTTCTACTGGAAGCCAATGAGTCCAGGGCGAGGGGCCCTGGCTGCTGGCACAGGATACCCGGATGTGATAAGGGGTGTGAGGATGGAGGTTGCTCAGCCGAAGCTGGTGGGGGGGCACAGATGCTTGGAAGGTGAGGGGCTCCTCCGGGGGGTCTGGCTCTCCCAGCTGGTCACCCACCCCATCATCAGACAGCACAGCCTGAGGAGAGGAAAAGTGAGGAGAGGACCACCATGTGATCAACTGTGGCAGTCACACCACTCTTCACTGTGATGGTGCTTGGGTGATAACTGTTTGAGGATGTGTGAGTGTGTGTGTGTGTGTTGCAGCCCCATGCTAGGACACAGATGCCTGGATCTGAGAAGCAACAAAACCATATAACCACACAATGTGGTTCTGTCACACTTGCAAAAGCCATTTCTGGCAAGACTTCTCCCTCTCCGAGCCTCAGTTTCCTCATCTGGAAAATGGGCACTTACAAGAGCAAATGCCTAAGGGATCTTAACTGTGTGGACTGGTCTAGCTACTTGGGAGGTGGAGATCTGGAGGTTCATAGTTCAAGGCCAGCTTGAGCAAAAAGTTTGTGAGACCCCATCTCTACCAATAAAAGCTGGGCTTGGCTGGGCGCCAGGATGGCGCCTGTAATCCTAGCTATCAAGAGGCAGAGATCATGAGGATTGTGGTTCAAAGTCAGCCCAGGCAAATAGTTCACAAGACTCTATCTCGAAAAAATCAATCACAAAAAAGGGCTGGTGGAGTGGCTCAAGGTATAGGCCTTGAGTTCAAACCCCAGCACCAATAAAATAAATAAATAAATAAATAGAATAAAAAATAAAAATAAAAGCTTTGCTTGGAAGAGAATGAGAGAATAAATCATATCGAAATACATTGTAACTGTGTATGAAGATGGTATAAGGAAATGCACTGAAAGCTGTTGAATAGCAGGGGAGCAGGGTGATAAAGAGTAAGTAAGAGATGGAGCCTGGGATGAGGGTTTAGCTCAGTGGTAGAGTGCTTGCCTAGCATGACCAAAGCACTGGGTTCAATCCCCAGCACTGCAAAAAAAAAAAAAAAGAGGGGGGATTAATCTGATTAAACTACAATATATGTATGTGTGAAAAAAACATGGCAAATTCTGTTTGACAATCAATATACACATGAAAAATAAAAGACTGTGATATAAAAACAGGTCCTGTTGGAGGTGGGTATCAGTGGGAGGGGAGGATGAGGGAGGGTGAAAGTGTCAAGGAGTACTTTGTACACATGTATGAAAATAGAACAATGAAAACTCCCACCTATAATCCTGCTACTCAGGAGGCAGAGATCAGGAGGATTGCAGTTCGAAGCCAGCTTAGACAAATAGTTCTCAAGACCCTATCTTGAAAATACCCAATATACACACTTGAAAAGGGCTAGTGGAGTGCCTTAAAGTGTAGGCCCCGAGTTCAAACCCCAGTACCTCAAAAAAAAAAAAAAGTTGAAACTGCTCTAAAAAGGGGGATAGAGGTATGAGAGAGCATGATGGAGGGGATGAATTGAATTAATATACATTGTAAGTATATATGTAAATGTCACAACTAATATAAGCTAATGAAAAACAAAACAAACAAACAAAAAAAACCCTAGGCTTCGTGGTGTACACCTGTCATCCCAGCACTCCGGAGGCTGAGGCTGGAGAATGGAGAGTTTGAGGCTAGCCTGGGTTACATAGCAAGACCCTGTCTCAAAAAAACAAACCACAGTCAGGCATTGGTGGCTCATGCCTGTAATCCTAGCTACTTGAGAGGCTAAAATTGGGAGGATCATGATGCGAGGCCAGCCCTAGCAAAAAGTTTTCGAGACTCTCCCATCTCATCCAATAGCTGGGCGTGGTGGCAGTGTCTGTCATTCCTGCTATGGTGGGAAGTATAATCTAGCAGGATCAAGGTCCAGGCCAGCTTGGGCAAAAAGTCAGACCCTAGCTTCAAAATAACCACAGTAAAAAGGGCTGGAGACGTGGCTCAAGTACTCCCTGTTTGCAAGGGGGACTGAATCAGCACACATAAGTGCCTGCCTGTCATTGTCTTTTTATGTGTGTGAGGCAACCTGGCAGTACACGTCCAACTCTGCACATCTCTGTGTTGTGTGTTGCAGTCCCCAGGAATGTCACAATGAGGACAGAGGATGGTACATGCAGTCTGTAAGCCCTGCCATATGGAACCACAAAGCTACCACAACCACACAACTCACAGCCACACACTTCAAGGTTCCTACTGCCTGGGGCTTTGCCTTTGCCCTAGAGGTCCCGAGCATACCAACACACAGTAGGCTGGGAAGGAATTTACTGCTTAAGAGTGCTGGCCCCGGGCTGGCGGAGCTCCTGACTAGCAGGCATGAGGCCCTGAGTTCAAATCCCAGTGCTGGGAAAAAGAAAAAAGTTTTGGCCCAGCCCTGAAGCCAGATAGAGTCCTTGGGTATAATTCCTGCCTTGAACATTAGCTGTGTGACAAAAGGTGAGTGTTTTAACTTCTCTGAGCCACAGTTTCTGTCTCTGGAAAATGGGCCTCAGAGTTTCTACTTATCAGGGTGAAAAGTTTAATGCCACAATACATGTAAAATGGTTAATGAATAATAATATCAATTTCTTTTCCTTCCTTCCTCCCTCCCTCCCACCCTCCCTGTCTTCAGTACTGGGAATTGAATTCAGGGCCTCAAGCTTGCTAGGCAAGTGTTCTACCACTTAAACCATGCTCCCAGCTATTTTGTATTTTGCTTTTGAGACAGAGTCCTGCTACCTTTGCTGGGGCTGACTTTGAATTCTAGATCCTTCTGCTTCCACCTGAGTAGCTGAGATTATAGATATGAACTACAAAATCTGTTTTGTTTTTGTTTTTGTTTTTGCCATGCTGGGGAATGGAACCCAGGACCTCACCCATGCGGGGCAAGCACTCTTACCAGTAAGCTACACTCTCAGCCCTAATAGTTAATATTTCTCTTACTAGGCAAAGCACCCATCAAACTCCCTGTCAAACATGTTCCTGGATAAACTGATTTCTTCTTACCACCCCACGGGTTCAATTTCTTTTCTCATTTCCATTTTACAGATGCAGAAGCTGAGGCACAGAGGTTCAGTAGCTTGTCCCAAATCACACAGCCCCCACAGGGGGAGATGACACCGCCATGAAAGACAAAGCGGAAGGGAGTGAGGCTGTCCCATGCCTGCTCTCTGACCCACAGTGACAGACGGGAAGAGGAACCTCTGCCAGGACAAAGGGGAGATGGGTGCAGACAGTGGGCCCATGCCCACTCCCACTTCTCTTTTCCCTGGGACAGCCGTGACCCTCCTGCTGGAACCCTTCAGCCCCAGTTCATGTGCAGCAGGAAGTGAGACCTGGAGAGGGAAGAGGACACACTTCTGCTTTCCTGGAGACACTGGATGGATGTGGGCAGGAGTGTAGCTCATGCCTGGCCTGGCATTTGAGGTCTCCCAAGTTGGGGAGCCCCTGGGATTGAATCTCAGCTTTGTCCTACCAACCATGGCCCAGGGGGCAGACCACTTCCTCTCTGGGCCTCAGTTCCTCACCTTGAAAAGGGGAAGATGAATAGCCCTATCTTTTAGGGCTAAAATGACAAGTGGATAAGGTTGTAACCAGGAGCTAGGAGTATAGCTCGGTGGTAGAGCACTTGCCTAGCATGCATGAGGCCCTGAGTTCCAGCTACAGCAGTGCAAACAGAAAGGAAAGAAGGTGGGGGGAAGGGAAGAAAACTACTCCCAGCTTCTCAGGAGGTAAAGGTAGTAGAATTGTGATCCAAGGCCACCCAGGGCCTACATGAAAAGCAAACTTTAAAAAGAAGCAAAAAGGCTGGGGAGTAGCTCAAGTTGTAGAGTGCTTGAAGCATGAGGCCCTGAGTTCAAATCCCAGCACTACCAAAAAAAAAAAAAGCAAAAGGGCTGGGGTGTTGCTCAAGAGGTAGAGTGTTTGCCTAGCATGTGCGAGGTCCTGAGTTCAATTCCCATTTCTGCAGAGAGAGAGAGAGAGAGAGAGAGAGAGACAGAGACAGTGACAGAGAGAGAAAGAGGGAAGGAGGAAGACAGGTCCTGTTTAAGCACTGGCTGCAAATGGTCTTGAAGGTAGTCAGGAGCACAGTTGGGATTGGTGAGACAAGAATTTGAATCCTCCCTCCACTACTTCCTGGCTGCGACCTTGGGTGAGTTGTTCAACTACTGTGAGTCTTAGTTTCTTCTTGTGGGAAATGGGTATACCAGAGACCCTCCTTCATGCATGCGTGTACACACACACACACACACACACACACACACACACAAAAAGGTGTGCAGAAAGCCACAGCAGACACTCAATGAAAGTCGGTCATGACTGACTCTGGTCATCTCCCACTCATCACAGGCACAGTGATACTAGGGTTTGAACTCAGGGCCTCTCCTTTCTAGGCAGGAGCTATACCACTTGAGCCATTCTGCTAGCTCTTTTGTGTGTTAGGTATTTTTGAGATAGGGTCTTGCCAACTATTTGCCAGGAGCTGGCTTCAAACCACGATCCTGATCTTTGTCTCCTGAGTAGCCAGGATTACAGGAGTGAGCCATTGGCACCTGGCTGTTTTTTGTTTTGTTTTGTTTTTTTGAGACACAGTCTTGCTATAGAGCAAGACTCTTGTCTCAGCCTCCTGGGTGCTGGGATAACAGATGAGTATCATGCCTGACTATTGTGGGTTTTTTTTTTTTTCCGCTTTACTGGGGTTTGACCTCAGGGCCTCATGCTTGCTAGACAAGTGTTCTACCACTTGAGCCACTCCACCAGTTCTTATGTATTTTTTGTTTGCTTTGTTTTTGCAGTGCTGGGGATTGAACCCAGAACCTCACACATGCTAGGTAAGTGCTCTACCACTGAACTATATCCCCACAGTCCTTTTTAAATTTTATTTTAAGACAGAGTTTTACTAAGTTGCCCAGGCTGGTCTCAAATTTTTGATCCTCCTGCTTCAGCCTCCTGAGTAGCTGGGATTCAGGTGTGCACCACCATGCCTGGCTGGTTCTAGTAAATAGTCTCACTCTCTTTGGCCTGTGCTGGGCAGTGACAAGGAGGCTGTGTGACCTGGTTAGCTCCAGCCCTGCCCTCATATAGCCCACAAGGAAGAGAAGGAAAGACCCACCCCAGACAGTGACCATCCAGAGTGGTCAGGGCTGAGAAGGAGAACCCATGCTGAGTGGCAAAAGGAACGGCTCCGTTCCCTGCTTGCTACCTCATGTTTCTCGGCTTGGCTAGTGTTAACATCACTAATGCTAACAATACTAAAAACAGCTAATAGTTCATAATACATCTTCTTTATTCCAGACATTATTATAAGTTGGCTATCTGCATTTACTCACTGAATTCTCACAACCCTATGAGGTAGGTACTGCCATTGTGCCCATTTTATAGATGGGCTTCTCCGAGGCCCAGAGAGGCTAAGTCACTTGTACAGGTTCACACAGCCATCAGGTAATATCAAGATTTGAACCCAGGACATCTGGCTTAACCTGAGTCTCTATTGCCTCTCAACACACCAGCAGCCTAGAAACACTGTTTTCCCAGAGAGGATGGAGGCTTGTAGGTGTGGGTGGATGGAGGACTATGATTGAGGTGACCAAAGTCAGGAGGTCTTACCTGCAGAGTACAATGGGTGAGGGGATATATGCCACTCAGGCCTGGGGTCCAAGCCACCTCTAGTTCCGTGGGCTGGCAGGAAACCAGGTGGAGATCACTTGGTCGTTGAGGGAGCACTGTAGACAGATGAGGGGATGGACTGATCCTGGGGGCCTTTGTCCAAAGCTCCCCACCCTGCCCTCTGCCCATCTCTCTAACCCCAGGCCCCACCCTCACAGACACCCAGCTCCCTAGATCCTTTCTCTCTCACCTGTGATGGTGGCTGTGCGGGATGTGGTGACTCCCTTGGCATTATGGGCTTCACAGGAGAAGGAAGATGTCTTGTTCAGGCCTGGGAAGCACATGGGGGAAGAGCCCAGTGTCAGATGGGGGAGGTGAGAGTATTGGGCCATGTTGAGCCCTCCCCCTCCACCACTACTCCCAAGCCCAGTCAGTTCAGCCCTGGCACACTTGCATGAATAGAGTGTGTGTGTTGGGGGTGGGGTGGGGAGGCTGGGGTGTCACTCAGTGGTAGAGCACCTGCCTAGCAAACCCAAGGCTCCAGGTTCAATCCCGGTACTGAAAAAACAAAAACAAAACAAAACCAAAAAAAAAAAGAGGACAATGACTTCACTCAAACACAAGGATGAGCACATGGTCTCACTACACACAGCACACACACTCACATTGTTATATCCAGACATGCATATCCATAGATAATACACACAGAAACACACACCATACATACACAATCAGACGCAGACACATATGTAGACACACAGAAACACAAACACTGAGGCTGGGATGTGGTTTAAGTGGTATAGCAGTTGTCTAGCATACATGAGCCCTGGGTTCAATTCCCAGTACTTCTAGGAAGAGAAGGAGGGAGGGAGGAAGGAAGGAAGGAAAAAAGGAAGGAAGGTACACACTGATATTCATGTACAAACACAAATGCACACCGGGTGCTGGTGGCTCACACCTGTAGTCCTAGCTACTCAGGAGGCAGAGATCAGGAGGATTGAGGTTTGAAGCAAATAGTTCACAAGACTCTATCTTGAAAAAACCCATCACAACTGGCCTGTGCGGTAGCTCAAGGTGTAGGCCCTGAGTTCAGTACCACAAAACAACAACAACAAAACCAATATACTCATACTGGTCTATACAAATTTACAGAGACACATATACCAAATATACACATACTTAAAAGGAGATCTACAAGTGTTTGTTCACCAATAAATTCATCTCCTACCAACCCTTCTCTTTATTCAGTCTGCTCCTGCCACACAGCCTTGTGGTGTTTCTGGAACACACACATACACACACACACACACACACCATATTCCTGCCCTGAAACTAAGCTCTGTGTGCTTGGTTCCCACAGATGAACACTCAGCTCTCCTTCCTTCAGGTGACATCCCTCAGTTACCTTGACCCTCAGTGGCCCTGACCACCCTCCTTATCTGTCCCCTTCCCTATATTGCGTTTTCTCCTTATCACCAGCGTTTTGCCTGTTGCCCAGGTACCTCTTTCATGGTGGTCTCCCCCATTAGAATGTCAGCTCCAGGAGGTCAAGTGTTTCTTGTTTTGTCCCCTGTAGTGTCAGGGTGGCCTGGCACACCAATGATGCTCCCTAAATGTCTGCTAAATGAGTGAATTCATTCATGTGTGTACATCTGTGTACTCACATGACCAAAGTCAAGAGAGCTTCCCTTCAGAGTGCAATGGGTGGGGGGAGGTATATGCCACTCAGGCTTGGACATACATACAGAACACTGAGTACATGGAATGTCAAGGGAAGCGAGTTAACATATATGTCTTCATAGTATCTTTGCGTGTTGGGTGTGAGTGGATGTTTGCCTGTTTGTCTCTCTTGTGTTTTGTCTCTGGCCTTGAAAGCACCTTTGTGGTGCGTGCATGAGTCACCACCATCCACGAACACGCACTCAACATGGTGCGTATCAGTACAAACATGGGAGTCACAGACACGCAAACACACAGAGCTCTGCAACACACACAATGTCGGGTGTGACAGGCTGTGAGGAGGACCAAATCTTCAGCCTGTGATCCTGGAAGTTCACGTGGCCCCGCGTGGATCTGCGCACATCACATACTTGTACCATTTGGGCATCTGCGTGCGCGCGCGCGCGCGGTGTTCTCACTACCACGCTGGTTTTGGAGCGCGGCCTCCATCCGCAGATACAAAGTTTCCTTTGCTCGGTCAGCAGAGGGAGTGGAACGCGGGAGGGGGGGCATCAGTGGCTCGGCCGGAAGGGGGTGGGCAAGGGAAGCGCCTTGGCTGCGGCTGCCCAGGCGGCTGTTCCCAGCCAAGGTCAGGTGCCCGCGCCGCAGCCCCCGCGCGGCCGGGGAGAGGACGCGACGGCCCCGGGCTGGCGGCCGAGGAGGGCGGGCGCTGGGCCCTGTCCAGACACCTGGCACGTGGGGACCCCTCCAGGGCCACCTCGCGGGAGCTAGCGCCGCCGGCCAGGCCGGAGCAGCCCGGGGACGGAGGGAGGGGGGTTCTGGAGCCCGGTGCTGTTCCAACCGCAGCATTCCTGCCCCCGCGTGAGTCATGGGGCGCCCCCCCACCCCACCCTGGAACTTCCGGCCGGTCTGGGGGCGCGGCCCGGGATCCCCCTTCCCAGGCCCCTGCGGCTGCACCTAGAGGGAGGGAGCCCGCGAGGGACCAAGGGGCCTGGGACCCTGTCTGCTCCACGGGCTCCGCTGCGCGGCAGAAGTGTTCATATTCCAAATGTGCCTTCCAGATGTGCTGCCCCACCCCCACTACATCAGCTCACCCCCCCCCCTTCCTGCTTTTTCAGGGAATGAGAGGGATGGAAGGAGAAAGGGCACGCCCTGAATCAGATAGAGGGACCGACTCACACAAACTGACAAAATTCCTTTACAAGGCACCCACACGCACATTTAGAGTGAATCACACTTAAACACACAGGGACCGTTATTAGCACAAACAGAGCATCAGCATTGGCTAATAGGCACGCTGTTCACAGGCCTGATGCTGTCCCAAACGCCCAGTGACACAAATGCACAAATACACAGTGACTTTCTCGTAAACACAGGGACTGACACTGACGCACATTTATGAGATATACACATACGCTTACACAAATGAGTCACTGTTTCGACAAACACATAAATACAGGACCACATGTGTGCACATCAAGTATAAGCACCTAGATACACAGGCTGATGCTGACTTCTGGAAACCTCTCTGCAAATGGAGTTACACACACATACATGGAACTTGAAAGGGACAAGTAGATTCACATCAGGACCCAATGGAGGTTAATGTGGACTTGCTCATGCATAAACACCTCAACACATAGAAACGCATGGCTCAGCCTTCATCTGTGCCGAACACAGCTGGACACACTCGGGTTGCTACACATTCACTGAGATGCAGACTGAGAAGTGTGCATCCGGCTATTAAACACAGTTGTGCTGACATTCAGGCCTGCTTTGGACGCACAAGGAGAGGGACACTGCCACACTTGGACAGGTCGGCACAGATGCACAGATCTAAGCTAGCTGGTGGGCACCCTGGGTTCAGCCACCAAGAGGCAGCCAGGGCTAATATACTCACAAGGAGACCAGAGAGACCAGAAGGGTGTTGTTACTGTCCTGCTGTGAATCAATCTCTCTCTCTCTCTCTTTTGGTAGAACCTGGGTTTGAACTCAGAGCTTCACACTTACTAGGCATGTCTGTCTTCTTTCACACACACACACACACACACACACACACACACACACACACACTTGAACACAGAACTCCATGGTGACAGTCATATGCCAACTTGCTTATCCTATGTCAGATAAACAGACACTGCAGAGACATTCATGGACACAAATATACATACTTGTAACAGCCAATAAGAAACCAACCAACTTGGGTTGGAGGCATGGCTCAAGTGCTACAGTGCCTGTCTCATAAGAGCAAAGTGCTGAGTTCAAATCCCAGTACCACCACCAAAAAAAAGTAAAGAAAAAAAAGAAACATACCAACTTATCTGTATTTTAGGGCTGATGGAGTGGCTCAAGTGCTAGAGTGCCTGCCTAGCAAATGGGAGGCCCTGAGTTCAAGCCCCAGTACTGCCAAAAAAACAAACAAAAAAAAAATGTTCTTTGCCAACTTATCTGTATTTTGATTCTATAACAGAAGAGAAGCCCGCCCACACCAGGACACTTTCCCACAGATGTACACCTGTGAACTGACCCTGCCACCTCCATACAAAGATGTGTGCAAAACAGGCACACAATGCACTGCTACACCCCCTCCCCCTTAAGTTTCACAGTGTTAACAGCTTGAGCACACAAAGAAGGACAGATACTGGCACTGACAGACTCAGACACAGACACACAGACACACAGACACACACACACACTGAGACATCCATACAGGTCAACTCTTGCTAGGTAAACTTTTCTACAAGAGCTTAATGCTGAGAAATATAGGGACTCCCAGATCCAGGGGAACAAAGATATATACCCAGACCTCTCCTGACACACAGACCTCCCCACTGCTCTACATGTGTGCATCTGTCCCTCTGTTAGTACACAGTGATTGACACATACACCGTCTCACACCTGCATTGCCGTTTCTCCCTCCCTTCTCTTCTCAGGACCTGTCAGGCTGACTCAGGCAGGCTTCATTCCTGTCCCTACCCGCAACTCATTCAAGCCACAGGCCTGAGTCACCCCTCTAGGGGCCAATGTTTTCACCATCACTTCCTTGTGCACTCAGGGTCCTGGGAATGCTGAAAATGTGGGCACCTCCCTCCACCCCAGAGACCCCTCCTCACCCCAGCTGAGGCAGGCAGCAGGTTGTAGTTTGGGCAGCTGCTGCTTTTTGGAGTTCAGCCACCTCCCTGACTGAGCCACTCTTATCTTTGTGCTTTTGTCTCTCCTTCCTTGATAAGGGGGGATCCCCTTGTCCAAGCTCCCCCAGCTCTACCTCTAAACAGTCGTATGATGCACCCCCAAGCAAAAATGCCCAGTCTACCTACTGCAGAAAGGCAGAGTCACCCTGAAGGAGGGGTCCTATCATCACTCAGGCTTTCTTGATTCTGTATTTCATCTCTCTCTCTCTCTCTCTGACTTGTCTTTCTGGGCCCCAGATCACTTTAGGGCAATAGTTGTTCCCATCTATTGCTGTGGGGTGAGGCAGAAGAGAAGAGGGTATGGTTGGTTCCGATGTCCTGCTTGGGTCAAGAGCTCACAAAGAGGCACCAGGCCCACACACTCAGGCCACTAACCGGAAATCAGGACAAAGAATACTATTCAGAGAGAAGCTAGAATGAATGCAGGGAGAGAGAAAGGCAGAGAGACAGACAGAAAGACAGAGATACACACAGAGAAACAGAGAGAAAGAGATGAAGGAGCAGGGAGGTGGAGGACAGAAAGAGACAAAGGAGACAGAGACTCAGAGACAGAACACAGAGACAGGACAGAGGGACCTGCATTCACACAGACACAGGGGATAGGGCCCTCTTAGTCCTCACCTTTGCCCTGACCTCTCCCCTTCTCTGGCTCACATTCCCAGACTCACCTGGAACATGTAGGCTGTGCTGGAGACTGCGGCCTGTGACTGGGGTCAGAGGGACAGCATCCTGGAGCCAGAGCAGGTTCACAGGTTCTGGAGGTCCCTGGGCCTGGCAGCTCAGGTTGAAGGGGGTATTGGCAGTCACAGTCCTGTCTTCAGGCTCCTCCAGGAAGTAAGGCAGTCCTGGGTGGTAGGGGATGGTAGAGGCTGGGATCCCTCTGAATCTCCCAGGGATACTGGAAGCTTTGGACACCAGACCAACTCTGCAGGGTTTTTGACCTGTTCCCCCACATCTGGTCCTCCATCTGAGCCTCCTTCTGACATCTGAACCTTCAGACTTCTACTCTTAGGATATCTGATTTCAATCATATATCCTCTATATCTGACCCTCAAAATGTCTGAGTCCCTTGTATCTGTGTGACTCCTTTTTTTTTGAGACAGGATCTAGCTATGTAGCCCAGCCCAGTCTGGCCTGGAACTCCATATCCTCCAGCCTCAGCTTCCTGAGTACTGGGATTATAGGTATGTGCTACCACACTGGCCTCTCATCATCATCATCATCTCTCTCTCTTGTTCTTTTTTATTTATTTATTTTTTTGTATTATTGGGGTATGAACTCAGGACTTCACACTTGCAAAGCAGGTGCTCTACTACTTGAGCCAAACCTCCAGGCTATTTTGCTCTTGTTATTTTTGGAGATGGGGGTCTCTTGAACTATTTGCCTGGTCAGGCCTTGAACTGTGATCCTCCCAATCTTAGCCTCCCAAGTAGCTAGGATTGCAGGTGTGAGCCACTGGTGCCCACTTCATCATCTCATTTTACTGGGGGTAGGGGAGAGTTCAGTTATGTACTTCTGACTCCCAGAATGTCCTACTCCAAGCATGTTTGACCCCCAGGACATCCAGCAACCCCCAAGATGTTTTTTCTTCCAGAACATATAATCCTCCCAGACCTGCTCCCTGTAATTGGACCCCCAGCTTCCTTGCCTCCCAAGACCTTTGACATCCATAGGCTATATGTCTGTGGGGAACACCCTGAATCCCCCAGCACTCAGTGACCCCTCAGGACCTCTGACCACAGGGCTTACCTTCCAGCCCTACATAGCCAGGCTGAGACAAAAAGGTCTGTCCTCTCAGGACCACTGCACACTGGTACTGTCCTGAGTCTGAAAGCTTCAGGGATGGGATTCTGGCAGGGAAGAGGAAGAACAGAGAGGTTCGGGGTCAGAGCTGGACACTGGGAGGGGTCACCAGTACTGAAAAAGGGGTTCTGAACTAGAAAGTCATACAAGGATGAAGTAGGTACTATTTTTAACTCATTCTACAGAAGAGGAAAATGAAACCCAGAGGTCACATCACAAGCTCAAAGCCACACCGCTAGCAAGTGGTCAAGCTGGGACTCCAACCCAGGTGGAGCTGTGGGATAGCTGGGTGAACAGAGGTTGGGAGGGTTGTGGGCTGTGACTGGGTGGGGAGACACCACACCTGAGTTGGCTGATCACCTTCCAGTCACCCTGCCCGTCTTCATCCAGGGGCACCTGAATCTGGGTGCTCTCCACCAGTTCTAGGATCTGTCCATCCTGAAGCCAGATCACTTCCGGGGGTTCCCCTTTAACTTGGACCTCACACTGAAGGGCCCCCGTTATCCCCCGGGCACCGGTGATGTTCCCTGGACTTGACACAAATGGGTCCTCAGCTTCAGCCTTTGTGCCTGCAGAGGGGGTGAGAAGCAGTGAGTTTAGTAACACCCCTCAGTTCCCTTTGGCTGCTTAGTTCCACTGTGTCTCTGCCTGCCCACCGGCCCGCCAGGACCCTGCCAGGCCCTTAGGCCCACATAGTTGTAGAGTGACCTCAGAGGGGGTGGAGGGCGGAGGTTTGGTGGAGGATGGGAGTCTTCCCAGGGGACCGAGGTCCAGCGTCCATCTGTCCGTTGGGAAGTAGGCCTGGGATCTGGCAGCCTCCCACACCCTGCATAGCCTGCCTGGCAGGGCCAGCCCTTACCCTGCAGGTCTCTAGAGACTTAGCAGACTGGGCTGGTGGCTGGATGGAGGGGAAGGAAAGGGGCTGGGAAGAGAGATGGGAGAGAGAGGAGAGAAAGAGAGTGGAGAGGGGAGAGGGGACAGGAGAGCAGAGGAGAGGAAGGGATGGAGAGGAAGGGATGGGAGAGGAAGGGATGGAAGAGGAGAGGAGAAGAAGGGAGAAGAGGGGGGAGAAAGAGAGAAAGAAAGAAAAACTAGAGAAAGTCAGGGATGGGAAGAAAGAGAGGAACAGAGATAAAGAGAGAAAGTTGAAGAAACCCCCTCAAGAGGGGAAAAAAGAGGGGTCAAAAGTCACAGAGGCAGACTGAGGGGAGAGAGAGACAGAGACAGAGAGAGAGAAAGAGGAGAGAGAGAGAGACTTAGAGAATGGAGAGAGATAAAAACCGAGACAAGGAGTTGTTAGAACTGGAGGCAGAGACAGAGAGACAAAGGGGCAAAGACAGCTATGGAGGGGGAGGCTGGCAGTAACAAGGGGACCCCCAAGGCTCAGAGCCCGCTTGGTCCCACTGTGTGCCTTAGCTCCTTGGGGAAGACCCTCCTCCCTTCTTGGGCCCTCAGCTCAGCCCTTCTCCCCAAGCTCTGACTCAAGGCCAGCCCCTACCTCCTCCCTCAGCTTCTCCTGTCTGTCTGTCTCTCTGTGTCCATCTCTTCCGTCCCTGGTCCTCCCAGTTTCTGTTTCTTTTCCTTCTGTTCCTCTCTGTCTCTTTTTTCCTCCTCTGCTTCTCCTGGTACGTCTCTGAGTCCCTGCGTCTCTGTCTCCCTCTCTCTAAGTGTCCTCTGTTGTCCCAAGGAAACTCCCTAACCATCCCAGTACCCCCAACACCTGCCATCCTGCCCCGCTATTCATCACCCTCTTCTCTTGCCCCATGGGGGGTGGCCCAGCCCCAGTGAGCCCCCATCACTCACCCTTGGGGGCCACACACCCCCAGCAGCACAGCACTAAACACCAAGTCAGCGGGCCCCTGCCCATCCTCAGGACACCACCATGCAACGGATGCCAAACTTTCCTTGGAAGTTGCTGGGCACCTCCCGGGGGATGGGGGCAGGGCCGGGCTGTTCCCGGCCCTCCCCCCAGCTCTGGGCTCCTTGGATTTGGCACTGCTGGCCTGGCACAGCAGGAGCCCCTCAGCTGGCTCTGCTCCTCCGCAGCCGCCCTCCCGGCTTTGCTCTGGCTCTGCTGCCTCCTTCTCTCCCTCCCAGACTTTGGCCACCCTTACTCCGCCCCTGCCTCCGCCCACCGGGGCCGGAGACTAGGGGGCCACCTGGACTGCAAGGGGTTAACTCCAAGAGGAGAAGACCAGTCCGATCTTAAAGGAGCCTAGAAGGGAGGCTGGGAAGGGGGAAGGGGACCCTGGTGGTTGTGCCCCAATCCTGGGTCCAGGAGGCAGGAGGCTGTGTGCCTGTCTGTCAGCTCTGGGCGCTGTCCCTCTGGGCTCCCTCTGGGTCTGGTAAACATTCTTGCAGAACTCCACTCCCCACAGCCTGTGACGCCCCCCTCTCTGCCTCCACCCCCAGACCAGCCTCAGCCAGGCCTCCTTCGCCCTCCACTCCCCCTCACACTCAGGCTCATAGCTCCCTAGACAAGGACACACACACACACACACACACACACACACACACAGAGTCAGAGAGTCAGAGGCTGGGACAGGCAGAGACACGCTGGGGCACACTGCCCACGGACTACCCTCCGACAAGCCAGGTCAGGAACTCACCTCCTGGGGAAATCTCAGAAATGGAAGGTAGCGGCTAGGTGGGCATCTTTGGAGGAGGGGCACTCATATGGGGGTAGACGGATGCTCAGATACACCAAAGTGCACTTGGACCAGAAGCAGGAAAGCAGTGTATCCACAAGTCTGGGTATCCTCAGATTCTAATTAGAATCCCAGCTCTACTTGTAAAGATGTGAGGGTGGCCAAGTTCCTGGCCTCTGGGTGTTCATCTGTGAGATGGGGATAAAGACCACCCTGTGAAGCAGTGTAGCAGGCTAGTGGGAGGATGATCTAGGTCAAAGTGCATCCAGTTCCTTGCACGTGGCGACCACAGCTGACAAGGTACTGGGGACTTTTGGCATCTCGTCTCTGTCTGTCTGCACTTGGCGCTGCTCCCTCCCTCTGGCTGGGACTATGTGGTCAGGCCCTTGCAGATCTGGGGCTTGTAGACTGTATCCCTGTGTTTGGCACAGGGGGTTTCTGTGTGGGTGTCTGTGCAGGAGACGTCTAGGGGTCTCCTGCTTTCTCTCTGTTCCCTGCCTGACTCCAGTAGTGCCTACAAGTTAACTGAACACAGAATCTCTGCCTCCATTTTGTATCTGTCTCCTTTTACTCTGAGTCTGTCTTCCCTGCGATCACATCACAATCCAGGAAGGACAGGAGTGATGGATAACATCTCGACAAGAGTTGAAATATCCCCCAAGGAAAGGAACAACAGAGCCTCCAGCTCCTCTCAAGTGATGACAGTGATAACAATTTCTCACCCCTAGCTGAACTAGAATGGAGATACTGATCAACCTGACCACACTTTACTCTCCCTCTGCCTCAATTCTTCCTCTATTTAAACCTAAAACTCAGGTCTGTACCCTAAAGATGGGCCTCTTCCCACAGTGTGTTAGTTTCAGGCTGCCTAATAAACCTCCTTTCTCTACCCTTCACCATGTTTCTCTCTCTCTCTCTCTCTCTCTCTCTCTCTCTCTCTCCTTCTCTGTACTGTTTGAACTCAGGGCCTTATGCTTACTAGGCAGGCGCTCTACCACTTGAGCCACTCTACCAGTCCTTTTTTTTGTGTTGGGTATTTTTTGAGATAGGGTCTCACAAACTATTTGCCTGGGCTGGCTTCCAACTGTGATCCTCCTGATCTCTGCCTCCAGAGTAGCTAGGATTACAAGTGTGAGCCACCGGTGCCCCGGCTTCACCATGTCATTTTATTTGGCATATTGGGGTGAGTGGCCAGGCCTGACATGTGGAGCTCCAGGAGTTTGGCCTTTCTTTGTCCTAGAGCTCCTGGTTACAGTGTGGGTTTTAGTATCTCTACAGCTGCCCATCATGTCCATCTGGCCTCCTGATGTCTCTTCTCTCTGTCCTGTTGTCTACACTGTCTCCTCTCTGCCATCTCCACTTACCCTCCCTCCACTCCATCTCCTGTCTAGCAGCCAGAGGGAGGTTTCTGAGACCCAAATCTGATGCTGCCTCTCTTCTTCTTAGCCATGGCTCCCCACTGCCCTTGGGTGAGTTCTTCCCTTCCCAGTTAGCCTCTGTCACATTCGTGTCCCATTTCAATGATGGCGCAGCATTCAACAGACCACCAAGCCTGAGTCTTGGGGGTCCTCCAGGATACCCCACCCTATTGTTGGTTATCATGTTCCATGGAGGATTCACTTTCAGAAACCTTCCTCCCTCCCTTCCCTTGTTACTCCCCTATAACCTTGCCCTGGTCCAGACCGGGCACTGCTGACCTGGACCCCAGCTTAGGGCCTCCTGCTTGCACAGCAGGCCTTCAACCGGTCACCCACCCAGTCAGAGTTTTTCCCAATCTCAAACCAAACCCTTCCTTCCTCCCTCCCTTCTTCTCTCCCTCCTTCCTTCCTTCCTCCCTCTCTCTCTTTCCCTCTTTTTCTCTCTTTCCTTGCTACTTTTTCTTTTCTTTCCTTCTTTTTTCTTTTTTTCTGGTGCTGGGGACCAACTCAGATCCTTTAGCATGCTGGGTATGTACTCTACCACCAAAGTACGTCCCCAAACCCCATCCTAAACCTTTTAGAAAACAAACAAAAAAAGTCTTTATCAAGGCCTACAAGGGCCCCTTATGTCTCTCTCTTTAGGCATTTTTCTCTTTCTCACCCAAAGAGACTTCTCATGGGCCCGAGACCCCTCCTGTAGCCCTTTGTCCCCAACTCCCATCTGTATCGCCCCTCTCTGTTGCATCACTTCCTCGCCCCTTCCAGTTAACCCAGCCTCCTCCCATGCCGTCCTTTTCTTTGGCAACACTTTGCATGGGTTACTATTATAAGATTTATTGGCATAATCATGTATGTCATATCTCTCTCCTCCTCCCTCTGGTGTATGGGTTCCAGGAAGGCATATCTTGGTATATCTTGGCCACTGTTGCATTCCCACTGCCCTGTAAAACACCTGCCTTCCAGGGGATAAGGAATAATTGTGACATTTTTGGGGTACAAAGTTCTGACCCTTTAAATAGATACATTGGGGGACTCTACCCACGAAAATCTCAGTGGACCCAGGAGGATGCATGGCTAACTTGAACCTGTGAAGTCATTCGTGCAAGAACTGTTTGCTAAGCACCTACAATGTATCTGCAATTTACCTTGAAGTGTATTTTTGTTTGTATCTTTTTCTTTCTTTTTTTTTTTGTGGGACTGGGATTTGAACTCAGGGCTTCACACTTATAAGGTAGGCACTCTACCACTTGAGCCACTCCTCCAGCCCATTTTGTTCTGGTTATTTTGGAGATGGGGGGGGTCTTGCAAACTATTTGCCCAGGCTGGCCTCGAACCCTGATCCTCCCAATCTCAGCCTTCCAAGTGACTGGGATTATAGGTGTGAGCCCCCAGCCCCTGGCTTTGAAATGCATTTTTACAAATGAGGACAGATGAATAGAAATGTCCCTTGTTCAAGGGCCAGGAGCTTCTACAGGGAGCAAGACCAGTCTGTGTCCTCATGGAGCTATGGGGGAGAGAAATAACAATCACAAAAATATTTACCAGGATGCAAGATGGGTCTTGAGGAAAAAATAAAGTAGGGGTGGGAACAGCAAGGAATAGAAGTGCTATTTCAGATAGAGTAGTTAGGGAAGTCCTCTCCAAGGTTATGATTGAGGTCTGAAGGAAATTGGCAAGTAAGCCACATGGGAGAAAACACTTCAGGCTGAGGGAACAGCTTGTGCAAAGGCCCAGAGGCAGGCATGAGCCAGGCATGAGATTTTGGGAGGCCCATTTGTGACGGGAATGAATGGAGGCAGGGTAGGGGTGGGTAGTTAGGGCCAGGCTTAGGGAAGACTATGAGCTAGTGGTAGGCCTTGAGCAGGAGAGATAGGTTTTGATCAGGTTTTATTCATTGACTGATAAATAAAAATCTTATTTTTGGTGCTGGGATTGAACCCAGAGGCTTGTGCATGCTAGGCAAGTGCTCTATTACTGAGCCCCACCCCCAAGCTGTTTGTTTTGTTTTATTTCTTTTTCTTTTCTTTCTTGGCAGTACTGTAGGTTGAACTCAGAATCCTGAGCTTGCTAGGCAGGCACTCAGCCATTTGAGCTAGCCCTATATGCTTTTGGTTATTTTTGGCATATGGTCTCCTGGTTTTCTCCAGGCTGACCTGGATCACGATCTTTCTATTTATGCTTCCTAAATAGCTGGATGACAGGTGTGCACTAACCAGCTATTGGTTGAGATGGAGTCTTGAACCTTTAGCCTCCTGATTTCTGCCTCCTGAGAAGCTGGTATTACAGGTATGAGCCATCATGCCTGGCCAGCCCTTGATTTTTTGAGACAGGATCTCACTATGTAGCCCAGTCTGGCTTTGAACTCGAGATTCCCCTGCTTCATCCTCCCAAGTGTTGGGATTACAGGCATGTACCACCATGCCCAGCTGATAAACTCATTTATCAATAAATAAATGGAACCCAGGCCTTACATATGTGAGGCAAGTGCTCCACTCTGAACTACAGCCCCAGTCCTTTGATCTGGTTTTCGGGAGACTTCCTAACAGAGGCCTCAGGATTTGGACACATGGGATATTAGTTTTTGCCATGAAAGGAGCACAGTACCTCAAGTGAGGAGCTCTTGCCAGAATGAGTCTGAATCTGGTTTAATATCCAGTTTACAGAAGATTCTAGGAGTAGGAAAATATATTGAATCTCCACAAAGATTCCATCAGTCAAACCCAGAACATGAACAATTATACAGGGCAAATGGCCCAATTTAGTTTAAAAATAAATGGCACACATAGGGAGGGGCTGGGTGCCTGTGGCTCATGCCTATCATCCTAGCTACTCAGGAGGCAGAGATCAGGAGGATTGCTATTCAAAGCCAGCCCAGGCAAATAGTTTGTGAGACCCTATCTCTATAAAACCTTTACAAAAAAGGGCTGGTGGAGTTCAAACCCCAGTAACACACACACACACACAAGGTGGGTATGGTTATAGATTTTAAAAGATGTATGTGATCTCATGTGAACAAATCTACTATGAAATACACTTACCAGACAGCCAGGGAAATATGAAGTGATGTAATCACTTGATGTGATGAATGTGCAAATGAATATTGCAATTTTGATTTTTAAAAATTTATTTTTGGCAGTATTGGGGTTAGGGCCTCATGCTTGCTAGGCAGGCACTCTACTGCTTGAGACACTCCACCATCCCTGTTTTGCAGTGGGTTTTTTTTTTTTTTTTTTCAAGATAGGATCTCTCAAACTATTTGCCCAGGGCTGGCTTCAAACTGTGATCCTCCTGATCTCTGCCTCCTGAGTAGCTAGGATTATAGGCATGCCTGATTGACTTTTTATTTTTGGCGGTACTTTGATTTGAACTCAGGGCCTTCTCAATCATTTGAGTCATGCCCCCAGCCCTTTTTGCTTTTGTTTATTTTTCAGATAGGGTCTCTTACTTTTTGCCTGGGGATGGTCTTGGACCATGATTCTACTACCTATACTTCCTGAGAAGCTGGGATTACAGATGTGCACCACTATGCCCAGCCCTTGACTTTCTAAAAGTAAACTTTCGGGCTGGGGTCTATCTCAATGGTAGAGTATGCTTAGCAGACATGAAACCCTGGGGTCCATCCCCAGCACCAAAAAAGAAAAAGAACAGGCATCAAGGCGGGAGTTATTGAGTGGGTAGATTTTTGGGGGGGGCATGATGAAAGTTTTAGGTAGACAATGGTGGTGGTCATACAACATTTTGAATGTATTTACTGCCATGCAACTGCACTTACAGCTAAAATGATGTCACTCACCACACACACAAACCTGTCCTAAAACCATACTAAGTATTTTTACTTTGGGGTTCAATAATTCTCTATTGTTGAAGCCATTTGAATATATATATATATATATATATATATATATATTTTTTTTTTTTTTTGGCTATACTGGGGTTTGAACTCAGGGCTTCACGTTTGCTTACCACTTGAGCCACTCCACCAGCCCTGAGTCCATATTTTTTACTTGCTACTGAAACCATCTTAATGTCAACTTTTACATTGATGCTGTGTATCAATACTTATTTAATTTCTTTGAGACAAGGTCTCACCATGAAGTCCAGGCTGGCCTCAAACTCAAGATCCTTTTGTCTCTCTGCCTCAGAGTGCTGGGATTACAGGTATGCACCACTATGTCTGGCTTTCTACGCCTCTTCAAATAAGTAAGTTTGCTGGTATTTCTGATTCTAGATTTCCCTGAATGTGGATTTGGAGTGAAAAGGAAAACCATTAAACAAATCTCATTCCTTTTCACCTCACTTGAAGTATAAAAATTACAATATTTTGGGTGCTGGTGGCTCACACCTGTAATCCTAGCTACTTGGGAGGCTGAGATGGGGAGGATCATGGTTTAAGACCAGCCTGGGCAAATAGTTCACGAGGTCTCATTTCCAAAATAACCAGAGCAAAATGGATTGGAGGTGTGGCTTGGGTGGTAGAGCACCTGCTTTGCAAGTGTGAAGCCCCGAGTTCAAACTCCAGTCCCAACCCTCCCACCCCTGTGCACAAAAAAATGAAATACAAAAATTTAGCATGTTTTGGCTCCCATTCCAGAGTTTTTCACTTTTTCTTTTGTGGTGCTGGGAATGGAACCCACCTCACATGGGCATAGGTGAGCTCTCTACCACTGAGTTACATCCCCAGCCCACACTTTCCTTATTTCTTTGAAATTTAGTAAGGCTTTAAGATGGTAAATCCTCAGACAAGGTGTAAGCAGTAGGAAGTGGCAGTTAGGATCTGATGTCACTCTCATCTACTCTCTAGAACTTACGCCAATAAAGTGCTATCATAGAAAAATTTAAAAAAAGAAACATTGACTGGGTATGGTAGCGAATGCCTGTAATCCCAATACTCAGAAGGCAGAGACAGGAGGATTGAGAGTCTCAGTCTAGCCTGGATTACATAGTGAGACCCTCTCTCTCTCAAAAAAGGGAAATGTTAATTAATGATACACAGATTGGAGTTTTTAGAAGATAATTTGATGCTTGCAATTTACTTGACTAAAACAAAAAAAAACTGAGCTAGGTAGAAATGTCATAGAACAATGTAGCAAAAGGTCTGTGGGAGAATCCAGGACAAGGAGTGGGCATTCCCTGAATAATTGCCCCAACTCTGCTGCCTGTGTGAAAATGGCCATAAGAAAGAGTTGGGCGCCAGTGTCTCATGCTAGTAATCAATCCTAGCTACCTGGGAGGCTGAGATCAGGATAACTGTGGTTCCAGACCAGTCTGGGCAAATAGTTCAAGAGACACCCCCCCCCGCCCCCCCACCCACACTGCCCATCTCCAAAATAACCAGAGCAAAATGAACTGGAGGTGTGGTTCAGAGCAGTAGAGCACCTGCTTTGCAAGTGCAAAGTCCTGAGTTCAAGCCCTAGTCCCACAAAAACAAAAATATAAAGATGCCTTTTCTTTCCTTGTGAAGGGAAGGCAGCAGGCAAAGGCTAGTGGAAGAGGCCAGAGTCGGGAGGAGGGTCTCTGTGTGCTCTTAGTATCTGCTTTCAGATGTGGGGAATTCCCAGGGTCCCAGTCTGTTGGCTTCAGGTTACCTCCGGGGGCCCCCCACCCAGGCCAGCCCCAGCCCTTCCCTCCCCTCTCAGCTACACATCTGGTACTGAAGTCAACAGCCAGGGTGGGTGGTAACCAACCATGTTTTTCAGCTCCCGCCTGGCCTCAGGGGAGGGGTGGACTCCCCTATCCCCACCTCTTACTCACTATGACAGACATGGTCACACAGGCACACAAGGCCGCCCTGCCCTGGGCGAGACCAGGGGCCAGGAACAAACTTTTATTGCAAAACAGGGACCTTTAAGTCACAGGAGGTCAGATCGGGTCTCTTCCCTGATACTGGAGGTTGGAACCTAGCTGCTACTTGGTCACAGCCCCTTCCACGGGGTCTAAAGGGGACTCTGATGTATGCTAAGGGCCATGGGTCAGCATGTATGTGTGTGTGTGGGGAACAGGGGCCCTATCAACATGGTTATGTAAGCAGGGATAGGTGTTCCTGTGGTCTGAGAGTCTGTGTGAAGCTGGGTGTGGTGGCACAGGAAGCTGAGGCAGAAAGGATTGCAAGTTCAAGACCAGCCTGGGCTACATAGCTAGACTGTCTCAGAACAAAACAAAACAAAACCACACACCAAGGTTTGTGTGTGCAATTGCAGGCCTGGAAGTATTATCTTTGGGAAATTCGTTTAAGAGGGTGCTTGACAGACAAAGGGACAGAGGAGGCTGGGGACTGTGCCTCTGTGGCAGTGATGTCCCTTGGTGGGAAGCTCCTTGGGGGAGCTGGCTGTGTGAATTAGTGGTCTGGGGCATTGGATGACAGTGCTTAGGTACATGGATGGTGGTGAGGTCATGCACGGGAGTAGACAAGGATGCCTCCATGTGTCATGACTTTAGTGGGAGCATGCTGTTCTCAGGCATCCAGAGATGGAGGCTGAGTGACATGGATGAACATGATGAGCTGTTTGTGTGGTTGTGAGTGGTACCTGGACTCCCGCAAATGGCTTGTGAGCACAGGGAACTGTGTGGTGTAGTTTGGCGGTGGATTATCTGGGCATACACTTGTGATTCCAGACAGAGTACATTTATACTGTAGGAAGGTTATGCAGCTGCGTGTGTGGTGTACGCCTGTAATCTCAGGGAGATTGAGTTTGGGGAGAGTGAGCTTGGGTACATACAGATACCCTGTCTCAAACAAAATAAAACAACAATAACCCAACAGCTTGTGCATCAGTTGTCTTGTGGTGGCATATGGTGTGTGGCTGTGGATGCTGACAGCTGTGCCAGTCAAATGTCTGTGTGACAAACTCTACAAAACAGCTGCAGGTACATGAATGTGGCCCTTGAGGCTGGAAGAATCATTCCAGGCTGACTGCCACCTCCCCAAGCACCCGCATTCATCAGGTCTGCACAGTGGGGTGGAGGTCAGCTGGCTGGACCTGCAGCTGGAAGGCTGGAGGGATGTTGAAAAGACCACTGACAGCTGGGTGGAGGCTCAGAGCATCTGGTGGGCACGGGCTCTCCAAGGAGAAGGCCTGCAGGATGGCAGTGAAGAAGAGGAAGAGCTCCGCTCGCACCAGGCCCTCTCCAAGGCAGACGCGCTTACCTGGCAAGAAGGAGACAGACTGAGCCAGCCACCCCAGGCCTACAGCGGGAGCCACCTGTGTGTCCTGGGGTGTGGGGAGCATGCCTGCAGCTGGCACCCACAGCCAGTGTTAGCCAGGGTCCACTAGTCACACCGGAGGCCTGGCAGATACCTAAGGAGAAGGGCAGGAACGCCTCATGTTTCCTGAGCCTTTCATCAGCATCCAGGAAGCGGTCTGGGTCGAATTCCTCTGGCTGCTTGAAGACTTCAGGGTCATGCAGGACAGAGCCCAGGAGAGGGAAGATCTCGGTGCCCTGTGGGGACATAATGATAACTGCAAATCCTTTGCTACCTCAGACTACTTGGTGCTGAGTATGGAATACAAGTCTGGAGTACCAGGGACACCAGTTTATAAAATCCAACAAAGAGTTCAGTGTTTGCTATGGGTGTTCACATATATTACCTCATCTGGAACAGGTACCTGTAGTACACATACGTGCATGCTCTCTCTCTCTCTCTTTCTCTCTCTCTCTCCTTGAATCTTTTCAACAATCCTAAGAAGCTTGGGAGACAGGTATGAAATTTAGAGTTCCCATTTTAAAGATGGGGAAGCCAGGCCCGGTGGTGCACATCTGTAATTCCAGTCCTCAGGAGTCTGAGGCAGGAGGCCAGTCTGGGCTACATAGTGAGACCCTGTCTCAAAAAAGATGGGGAAACTGAGGTCCCCAACTTAAGCAGTTGTGCACCACAACTATTCCAAGAGCTTGGCAATTTTGAACTGTTTCTGTGATTTGGCTGTGGCTGTCTTAAGCCACTTCTCTGTGGAATCTCAGAGTCCAGCTTTTTGCAGCTGTGGTCTTTGAAGTGGTGAAGGCAAGGGTGGATGGGAAGAGCTGTCTGTGAAGACACCCTTCCTGCCCAGGTTTGGGAAGAGTAGCCGTCATTTGGGACAGATTGGAGTTCCCATATTCTTGGAGTTGCGTGGTACAGGATGAGGGGTGAGACTGGCTAATAGGATCTGAGTTGGGAGGATGAGGAGGCTCCAGGAAAAGACAGGGCCAGACCGCTGCTGTTAAAATAAGAGAAAAACCAGATACTGGTGGTTGGAGCATAGGTTCTGGGTTCAAATCACGCTTGTAGGCTAGGTGGCCTTGGGAAATCTAACCTTGCAAGCTCTCAGTTTCTTCATCTGTGAAATGGGCACAATGATTGTATAGGGATGAAAAGAGATAATACACAGGGAAAAGAGAATAATGCACAGGGCAGGTCCTCCAGGATGGACATCTCTGATTTTCGTTATCGTTACATTGCTGATGTACACAGAACGCTCCCACCAAGCGCTGACTTGGTGTTTCACAAGCACTGTCTTCCAACTCCAAGTCAATTCTATTATTGTTCCCGGTTTAGAAGAGGGGTGTATTGAGTCTTGGAGGATGAAGTGTTTTGCTCAAGGTCCCAGCTAGGAAACAACAGAGCTGGACTTTAACTTCTAACAGACATGGATTTGATTGCAGAATGAAGTAGAGGAGGGCGGGGGTGTGGGGGGGTGGGGTGTGTGTGTGTGGGGGCAGGGGGAACCATCCACTTGCACTAAGCTGCTCCAGGATTTGGGATATATCGCCCCCTGGTGGTTGTGGGCCTGAATTGCTCTCCAGAGAAGTAGGGACCTAGACAGGTGGGGAGGAAAATACAGGGAGGGAGAGAGGAAAAGGGAGAGGGAGAGGGAGTCTCTGTGTCTGCAGCAGGGGGTGACAGACAGAAAGGCAGACAAACACACATTAAGATCAAGAAGAAGTCAGAGATACCAACTGGCCTAGCAAGTGACTCAGGCTTGGAGGCAGAGACAGCCTCTGGGCCCTAGTAGTACACACACCCACCTGGGGCAGGGTGTACCCTCGGAAGCAAGTGGTCCTAGTGAGGACACGGGGCATCCCCATGGGCACCAGTGCGAGCAGCCGCTGTGTCTCATGCAGAACGGCGTCGGTGTAAGGGAGGCGGGCACGGTCCCCCAGGCTTGGTGACCGGCCAGCCAGCTCCCTTGTCAGCTCCTCCTGCACACGCTCTGCAATCGAGAGGAGGGCTGGATGTCAGTCCAGAGTGGGGTGGAGCTCTGTGATTTTCCTCTCAGAAGCTCCATCTTCTTGGATAGCAGTAGTTTGGGGTGAGGCTGCTAGAGAGGAGGGGCAACCTTGCCTTTGCTGAGTCTGGGGTGCACACACCTGTGTGCTGGGTACTCTATTTATCCTCTGGCAATTCTCCTAGCAAGGCTGGGAAGTTATTTCCTTGTTGAGAAAACTGAGGCCTAAGTCACTTACCTGAAGTCACAGCTGATTCCACAAATACCACCAAATCTCAGCCTCCCTCACTGGCCTGAATGCATTTAACCCAGCGGCAGACCTGGAAACACTGGAGTTGACTGGGGCTCCATCTCAGCCCTGTCTATATGACTCACACACCCTCCCTTATCATACAGTTCTGGGCATTGGTTCTGGCCTGTGCTCTGATGACCGCCCCCCCCCCCTTTTTTTTTGAGACAGAATCTTGCTATGTAGACCAGGCTGGCTTCAAACTTGTGATCCTTTCCCTCGACCACCCAAGTGCACCACCACATCTTGGTTGATGACTTCATTTATTTATTTTTTGGTGGGACTGGGGTTTGAACTCAGGGCTTCGTACTTGCAAAGCAGGTGCTCTGCCTTTTGAGTCACACCTCCAGTCTGTTTTGCTTTGATTATTTTGGAGATGGAGACTCGAGAAGTATTTGCCCAGATTGGCCTCAAACCAAGATCCTCATGATCTCAGCCTCCCAAGTAGCTAGAATTACAGCTTGACTGATTCTAATTTTTCCTTTTTTTATTTTGCAGTATTGGGGTTTGAATTCAGGGCCTACACCTTGAGCCACTCCACCAGCTCTTTTTTGTGAAGGGTTTTTTTTGAGATAGGATCTTGGGAACTATTTGCCTGGGCTGGCTTCACACCATGATTTTCCTGATCTCTGTCTTCTGAATGCTAGGATTACAGGCATGCATCACTGGTGCCGGCACTGGTTTATGGGAAAGGGATAGCAGCTGCTTCTTTTTCTTTTCTTTCTTATTTTCACACTGTGGTGTGAACTCAGGGTCTCACGCTTGCTAGGCAGGCACTCAACTACTTGAGTCACTCTGCCAGCCCTATTTGGTGATGGGTTTTTCAAGATAGGGTCTTGAGAACTATTTGCCTGGGCTGGCTTCAAACTGTGATCTTCCTGATTGCTGTCTCCTGAGTAGGTAGGGTTATAGGCGTGAGCTACTTGCGCTCAGCTCTTTTCTGACAGAGTCTTACTATGTAGCCCAAGTTGGGTTTCAAACTTGCTTCCCTGGTTGCTGGGATTACAGGTATGAGCCACCATGCCTGGCTATAATTCACTTCTTCAGTACAGCTCAAAAACGTACATTTGAGGAACTCCAGTGGTACAATTGATTAGTGCATGGTACTTCTATAAAAATGCAGATTTGATCCTGCCCGCTCCCAATCAAGGTTGTTCCATGGCTTCCATGGCTGAGGATAAGGCACACAATATACTACCCAGGTGACAAGGCCCTGCAGACATCTCCCACCTTGCCTCTCGCTGGACCTCATATTGCAACCAGGAGCCCCTTAGCCTCTTGTGGCTGACACCGTGAGTGCTGTGCTGTCCCTAGGCTATGGCTCAGCCTGCTGGCTCCACTTGCGCATTCTGCCTGCTCAAACCCTCACTCTGTTCCCAGGGCCTGGCTGGTGGAAAAAGCTCTTACTTTGGACCTGAGGATATTTCAGCAGGAGTAGGAGGGCATAGCGGATGGTGGCGCTGATGGTCACTGTCCCAGCAAACAGCAGATAAGTGACCGTCATTAGCAGGTTCTTCTCAGTGAATTCTGTGTTTGGGTCTTGTTCCTCCTGAGAAAAACCAGGCAGAGGATTCAGAGAACACAGGCTGTGGGATGTAGAAGTCCAGGGGTACAGCACAGAAAATTAAAGGTCTGTCAAGGAGTTTAAATAAATGTTGGGGAAATGTTGCAAAGTGAGCTCCTGATGTAAGTTCACTCTAGTTGAAAAGTTTTAAAAAATGAAAGAGAATGGCTTTTATCAAAATCACAGAAAATAAGCTGAATGTGGTGGTACATTCCTATAATCCCAGCACTCTAGGAGGCAGAGGCAGGGATTATGAGTTTGAGGCCAGCCTTGGCTACATAGTGAGATCCTGTCTCAAAACAAAACACACAAAACAACACTAACACAATAAAGCACAGAAAACAGTTGGCAAAGAAGTAGAGAAACCACAACGCTTTTATACCATGGATGGAACTGTAAAATGATATAACTGCCATGGAAACAGTATGGAAGTGGTTGTGGATGTAGCACAGGGGTAGAGTGCCTGCCCTGCATGTAGAAGGTCCTGGGTTCAATTCCCCAGCACTGCAAACAGACAAACAAAACCAGTACGGCAGTTCTTCAAAAAATTAAAAATATAATTACCACATGGTTCAGCAGTTCATTCGGCACACCCAGACGAATTTAAAGCAGGAACACAAAAGATACTTTATCCTCATGTTCATTACAGAATTACTCACAGTGGCCAAGAGGTAGAAGCAACCCTTGTGTCCACTGATGGATGAATGGATACACAGAACGTGATACACACCAGGCTGGTGGAGAGGTTCAAGTGATTGAGTGCCTGCCTAGCAAGCACAAAGTCCTGAGCTCAAACCCAGTACCGCCAACAAAGGGAAGAATGTGGCATGCAAATACCACAGAATACTATTCAGGCTTCAAAAAGGAAATCCTACCACGTGCTACAACATGGATGAGCGTTGAGGACGTTATGCTAAGTGAAAGAAGCCAGTCACAAAAGCACAATATAATACTGTACATGATTCTACTTATATGAGGTACCTAGCATAGTCAATTCAAAGTGACAGAGAGGAGAAAGGTGGCTGCCAAGGGCTGGGGAGAGGTAGAAATGGGGAGTTATGTAGTGGGAACCAAGACTCAGTTTTGCAAGATAAAGAGTGCAGGTGCTAGTAGCTCCGCCTATAATCTTAGCTACTAAGGAGGCTGAGATCAGGAGGATTGCAGTTCAAGGCTAGTCTAGGCAAACAGTTCTCAAGAGCCCATCTCCAAAATAACCAGAGCAAAATGGACAGGAGGCATGGCTCAAGCAGTAGAGTGCCTGCTTTGCAAGTGTAAAGTCCTGAGTTCAAACTCCAGTCCCACCAAAAATAAATAAATAAATAAATAAAAAGTTTCGGAGACTGGTTATAGAACAGGTGAATAAGCTTAACACTACTGAGCTGTATGCTTAAAAATGGCAAAGATGGTAATTTTGTGTGTATTTAATTACAATTAAAATTTTATGGGATTGGGATTATAGCTCAGTAGTAGAGCGTGAGCTCAGCATTCATGAGGCTCTGAGTTTGATCCACAAAAAAGAAAGTTTTTAAAAAAATGGCTTTTCCTCTTTGGTGCTAGGCATTCAACCTAGGACTCCAAACATACTAGGCACTCTATCACTGGGCTGTACCCCTACCCTAAAAGATTTTTTTTTTAAAATGAAGTGAGGTCTGGAGGTGTGGCTCAAGCAGTCTAGTGAATGCCTAACAAGTGCAAAGCCCTGAGTTCGAACCCCAGTACTACAAAAAAAAAGTGAGCTGGGCATGGTGGTACACATCTGTAATCCCAGTTTTTTGGCCAGGAGTGGGAGACAGAAGGATCAAGGTTTGAGGCTAGTCTAAGCAAAAGTTATTAAAACCCTATCTCAAAACCAAGCCAGGTATGGTGGCATATGATTATAATCCCATAATCCCATCTACTCAGGATGCAGAAGATCAAGATTCGAATCCAGCAAGGGCAAAGTTAGTGGGAGATCTTATTGGAAAAATAAACTAAAAACAGAAAAGGATTGGGGACATGACTCCCAAGTGGTACAGCACTTGCCTAGTAAGCATTAGGCTCTGAGTTTAATTCCCAGTAACTTCCCTTTTCCCCGAAAGTGAAAAGAAATGGGAGCTGGGTGAGGTGATGCACACCAGTTATCCAGTGTCCAGGAAGCTGAGGCAAGAGGACCTTGAGTTCAAGGAGAGCCTAGGCTACATAGTAAGAGGAAGAAAGGAAGGAAGGAGACAGGCCACAGGGTGGATGTGGCCCTGAATATCCCTTATAATTATCCTTTATAATTTCAAAGTTTGTACAATTCAAAACTAGTGTTGTCCTAGGAGTCACATTAATTCTATTTTTTACTTTTTGGTGGTCCTGGAATTTGAACTCAGGGCCTTGAGCTTGCCTGGTGTTTGCTTATCACTTAAGCCACACCCCAGCCTGTTTTTCCAGGCTTAGGCTGACCTGGAACTCACTATGTACTTAGCCCAGGTTGGTCTCAATCCTCCTGAGTGCTGGGATTACAGATGTGGGTACCACACCTGACTCTAATTTTCTCATGAAATAATAAATCATTCTCATATAATTCATAAAATAGACTCAGTAATAAAAATTTAAATTACAAGGTTTCATAATTAAACGATTGTAATTCACATACTGTGTGGATGGGTGAGCATGCAGTGGAGTGAAGCAATCATGAGAACTGTTGGTATAGGACACTGGGCCCAGACTGAATACAGGGCTGAGGGAGGAGAGGAGGAGACATGCAAGGAAGAAAGTGTGTACTCAAAAGCACTCCTTGAGGGGAGTAGGGGAAAGCTGTGAGAACAATGCACTGAAAGAGACAGACAGACAGGAGGGCAGATAGAGAGAAGCTGTGCACACAGATGTACAGACATACACATGCAGACATGCAGATACAAAAAGAGACCCAGTTGAGATTCCCAGGAGGTGACAGCCAGGCCACCAGCCCCATTCAAGAGGGACCCCTGCACTCTTCCCTGCCCTTCCCCAACTCTCCCCACCTGTGCCATCTTCAGCAGGAAGGCGTCAACAACATCACGTGCAGGACCTGAGGTGTCCAGGCCTTCCCGGTGCCGCTGGACCTGCTGGATGGCGAAGGTAGCCAGGGTGCCCAGGTGGCGTTGGAGCTGGGTGTGGGGCCCCGGGAGGGGCTGCAGGAGTCGGGAGAACATCTCGTAGGTCTGTGCAGGAGGACAGCTGGTTCTCAGGGGGTTTGGTGGGAACCTTTAGGGAAGGTGGTTGGAGAGGGGTCCCAACCACTTACCTGGCCCCACGGGGAGCTGATCCCTAGCAGGGTACCACTTGCTGCTTGGACCACAGCCTGGAACTCCTTATCCTCATAGGGGAAGCGGAGGCCAAAGATGAGGGAACAGACGACATTGGAGGTAGCCTGGGCCAGCAGCAGGGAGGGGTCAAATGGACGTCCTGAGGGGCATGGAGAACAGGGAGGAGGGCTTGCTCATGGTAGGCTGACCCATAGATGTAGAGTGAACAACGGATCCCACCAGAGACAGAAAGGCATGAAGAGACACATAGACTGACAGATGGTGCAGGTGAACAGACAAGAATATAGGGAGAGGAAGGTAGACAGGGAGAAAGATGGAAAACAGACACAGACAGGGAGAGACAGACTGACAGGGTCAGACAAACAAAGAAAAGGAGAAAAAGGAAAGCAGGAGAAAGAGAAAGAGAGATGGAGACCCAGAAAGAATGAGGTCACAGAACCAGGGACACAAGAGAGAACAGTTGTAACATACTCAGGGGACAGCAGGACAGAGACAGAGGGTGGAGGTAAATAGAGTCCCCAATCCCATCCTACAGCCCAAGGCTCCCTTCTTGCATATGGGATGCTCTTCTCCTGCTGACCTTCTGTCTTCTGGAACGCCTCCACCACACACTGGACCTCCGCCTGGATCAGCTCCTCGCCTTCTCGCTTCCCCATACCCCCGTCCCGCAGAGCAAGCATGGTGAATTTCCTCAGCTGCCTCCATCGCTCCCCATTGGCAAAGAAGACCCCTGTGTGGAAGGCTAGACTCAAGAAGGGACTGGTCCCTGCCTTTCAGTGAGCCACCCCCAAGGACCCTGTCCTGAGTCCACACCACCACCGTGGAATGAGGACTCAGTAGGTGCTCAATAAGTGCATAATTAAGCTGGACACTGATGGCTCACGCCTGTAATCCTATCTACTCGGGAAGCAAAGATCAAGAGGATGGAAGTTCCAGGCCAGCCCAGGCAAATAGTTTAAGAGACCCTATCTTGAAAATACTCAACACAAAAAATGGCTGGTGGAGTGTCTTGCAGAGCACCTGCCTAACAAGCGTGAGGCTCTGAGTTCAAACCCCAGTGTGGGGGTGATCCAGGTTTCTTCTGTCCTGTGATTAACCACCCACCCACCTTTGTATTCCCAGCTCTTTTTCCTAACATCTGCCCATCCAAGCATTTATGGAGCACCACAGGGTCCCCCGGCCCACAGTTGGGAGGCTGAACAGAGAGTGAGGAAGATGGAACTTCACTGTCTTCTTCCTGTACCCGAAGATACTGCCTCTGGTTCTCCACAGATTGCCCCCTCTGAGTTCAATGTGCCCACCTGTAGTGGCCTCCAACTTGGTGTCTCTCCTCTTCCCGTCTCAGCCCACCATCCATCCCAGGCCTATGGCCAGAGCCTGGGCCTCCCCTTCTTGTCTCTCCCAACTATCCCTTCCTCCCCATCCCATGGTCTGACCCTGTGGAGCTGGTCCCCTCCCTGAGTCACCAGCCTTCAATTCTGCCCCCTCCACAGCAACTTTCTAACTCTGCCACAGCTCATCCCGCTTAGAATCCACAGCTTCCAGGAAAACCAGAAGTCTGTCTGCTCTGGTGTGACTCATAGGCCCTGCCTGATCAGGGTCCCACTGACTTTTAGTTTTATTAATCATCCACTAGGACTTTTCTCACTTCCTCAAAAAGGGTCAAGACCATGGCTGGTGGAGTTGCTCAAGCGGTAGAGTGCCTGCCTAGCAAGTGTGAAGCTGAGTTGAAACCCCAGGGCCATCAAAGAAAAAGGGTCAAGACCTAAGACCTCACCCCTTTCTACTACCTTGGCCTCTGCTGGTCCCTCTGCCTCCATCACCCTCATACCCCCCTGCCCTGGGCTATGATGAATTAATTCCATTCATCCCTCCTGTCTCAGCTCAGATGTCACCTCCTCTAAGAAGCCTTCCATGAAGCCCTCTACCTTGTCCCCATTACAGGTCTCCTGTGTCTTGCTCTCAAAGCTGTATCTCTCACTCTAGCATTCTATTTCCTCTTTCATCCCCCACAGCAAGCAGACAGTACATGTGTGTCTGTCACCCCTGTGTCTCCAGTACCCAGTTACAGGGCGAGGCGTAGTGAGGTTGTGAGTTGAATGGATGAATACTTCTCCCACTTCCATGCTTTTATACATGCAGGTATTTCTACCTGGAACACCCTCTCTCTCTCTCTCTCTGGAAGACATCCTCTCTTCAAAGCAAACTTTCTGGATGTCTCCCAGCAAACAAGCTTGTCTGGCATCTTCTCTGGATTCCTATAGTCCCAGGACATGGGATGGAGAGGGGGCAGCCTGTGCCTTCCATCTGGCCAACCCCTCTGAGCTGTCACTGTCTGGTTTCCCCATTAGCCTGGGTACTCTAGGGGAACCAGACAGCAGCTGTCTTAGTCACTTGCCAGAGAGCAAGCAAAGAATGTACCATCTGCTTTCTGGGTTTGGTTTGTTTGTTTGTTTGTTTGTGTGGTGTTGGGTATTAGACTCAAAGGTTCCTGCACACCAGGCATGGTTTCTGTTATAACACAGAGAATGGTTTCTATGTTCTTTTTCTTTTCCTTTTTTGGTGGTTGATACTGGGGTTTGAACTCAGGGCTTCTGGCTTACTAGGCAGGCACTCTACTCCTTAAGTCACTCCACCAGCATGGTTTCTGTGTTTTAGTGCTTGCCTGTCAATTCCCAGAGCTGGAATCTGGATCAGTGATTGTTATCACTATTACAACTTAGTGAGTGCTTTCTTTGCACAAGGCCCAGTCCCCACTCAATCCTGAGTAAAACCCTACCTGACAGGCACAATTCTCACTTCATTTTATAGATAAGAAAACAAAGGCATTAAGCCACTTGCAAAAATCATATACATACCTGGAAGGAGGGGCAGGCCCAGCAGCCCCCCACCTGCACTTGGGACTCACCGTGGCCATCAAAAGTCTGGTCCAGCGTGGCCAACTTTCCCCGCCCGCTGAATTCCTCTGCATGACCTCCCAAGGCCTCCTGTACAGCCTCATGTCCAACCAGGACCACCACACGCCGCCAGGGACCCAGGTGCACGGTGAACACAGGCCCGTACTTCTTACTCAGCTAGGGGCAGGGAGTGGGCCAGTGATGGGACACCGGGCACTTGCTGCCAGCCAAGCTCTCTCCGCACCATCTGGTCTGGCTTTCGCTCCCTGTAACAGGAACCCGTCCCCCCCCCCACACCCCATCCCCAACAGGAGAAATTGGCCCTTTGGGAGGTTCAGTTCTCTTTTTGTACCAGGCTTCCAGTCCCCCATTCCCATACTTCTGCCAGGCCCTAACCTCTGTCTCTGGGACAATCCAAAACCAGCTTTGGTCTGGAATAATTCCTCACTCCTGCCCCAATGCCAAACACCCCTTTCATCCTTGGCTAAACCCTCAGATCCTGCAGCTGAACATCTGCCTCTTCTTTTCCCAGATGCCCCAACTCTTTTTTTTTTTTTTTTTCAGTACTGAGGAATGAACCTAGGGCCTCGCACTTGCTGTACCACTTGCTCTACAGCCCCCAGTCCCACCCATCCCTTTTCTATGTCCTTAAGGCCCCACATGATCTTTTTGAATGGGGAACCTGTTTCTACCCCTGCCTGGCAGTTTCAGACTTACTCCCCCCCTCTGCAGCTAGCCAGGTCCCAGGAACTCCCAGATCATTTCAAGCTGAGTTACGCCCATCCTCCTACTCTGGGAGACTCAGAAGGCAGATTCCTTCAGCCCAGAGCCCCCCTCCTCCCAGGTGTAACCCTTTCACCCCTCTCAGCCTCCTCATCTCCTTCCTCTCCTCCTGGGCCAAGATCTGGAGGCTACACTGCTACCACCAGCTCCTCTTTGCCTTGGGGGCTACAGTCTCTTAGTTTTGGTGCCTATTCACCACCTTCCCAGCTTTCTGTGGGCCCCTCTCCCTGGGACCCCTAGCCCTCTGGGTCCTGCTTCCCGATTCTCACCTGCTCTTCAGGACGCCGTGGGCTCCGCCTCTCCCAACTCCGGTCCTTAGCTCTGGATACCTTGTCCAGGGCACCCCTCCCTTTGTTAGCCCTGCACGACCTGCTCCTGTCCCCCAGCCCAGGGCACCTGTAGTGTTTTTGCCCTGGGACCCCTGCACCTGCCTTTTTCCTAGGATACCCTAGGGCCCCTCTGCCCTGGTACTCAGGGGGTCCCCCGCCTGTAGCTAGGGCGCCCCCGATGGCTACTCACCCGCATGAGTCCGGCGTACAGAGCCCCAGGACGGAGCTGCAGCAAGTTCCCCAGCAGCGGCAGTGGCAGGGGCCCCGGGGGCAGGTGGCCATGGACCCGGGTCCCGGGCAGCGCCAGCGTCAGCAGCAGTAGCAGCAGCAGCAGCAGCAGCAGAGCCCAGGTGCCGGCCGCCTCCATCTCGGCAGGTCGACTCCTTCCCCTCCTCCCAGACGCTCCAGGGGGGCGGGGGGGGCTGGGCCAGTTAGGGGCGGGCACCCGGTGGCTCCCTTCCAAGGAAATCAGGAGGAGGGGGGCGGGGCGGCTAGCCTATCCCCAACCCCCAGTCCCCCACCACCCCGCCTATGGCAGGCTTTCTCACCGCTGCGGGATTTCTCCCTGGCCAATACCTGCCTGATGTTGGGGACACACGCACGAGCAGATCTCCCAGGTCACCCAGGTTTTCCCGGGGTTCTGGGTTCTGGGTTCGGGGGGCGGGGGGGGGGGCGGAGACAGCGCCTTGGGCCCCAGGTAGGGAGTAATAGGCAAACAAGAAGCTAGGAGTCAGAGACTTTGTCAGCCTGCAGCGGCCACACCTCGCGCTGGGCGGTGACCCCGCGCTGCCCTCCTCCTTTGCTATCTCCCTGGTTTGTTATTGGGGTGTGCGTGCGTGCTTGCGTGCGTGTGTGCATGAGCGGTGTCTTTGAGCCTCTGTCCTCCCGCGTCTTATCTCCATGAACCTGGGGGAGGAACTTCACCTTTAACCACAAAGAATGTGAGATCGAGAGGTAAATGGCTTGGCTCTAGGTCACAAGGATAAGTGGTAGACCTAGGATCTAGACCCAGGCCAGACTGATCGCGTGAATGATTGGTTAATTGATTCATTGATGGATCGATCCACTTTCACTTAGAGGTTAAGAACTTGGTGGCTGGAGCCAGACTTCTTGAATTCACAGCCTGGCTTCTCTGTCCCTGTTAACCCTTTTGTGCAATGAAAGGGAAATTTTCAGTATTTAATGGGAACCCATTTGCATGCAATTTAAAACAGGATCAGGTGCATGCATAACAAGTATTAAATAAATGTTAGCTAATCTTTCTCTAATCAATTGTTATTGAAGTCTAACTGTAAGGAAGACTTTGGTCTACACTTGAGAGAACTCTTGTTTTTTTGGTGGTATCAGGGTTTGAACTCAGGGCTTTGTGCTTGCTAGGCAGGCACTCTACGGCTTGACCCACTCCACCAGCCGCTGATGCAGTTCTGAGCAATGGGGAGAAGGGCTGTGCTCTTCCTCAACTCATATTCATAGGCAAATGAAATTGAAATTAGATAACCAGTAAGTGCAAAGGCTTCCTGGGAAGGGGATGGCTTGAGGAAGAAGACAGCAGGTCCAAACAGGAATTATGGTTGGTTTGGTTCACTGCTGTATCCCTAGCATCTGTGCAGTGCTCAGCACATAGTGCATGCTCAATAAATATGTGTTGCCTCAAAGGATTAATGTAGGAGATAGGGGCTATCTTGAAGGGTAAAACGTTGCATTTTGTTATTATTCTTTTTTGGTGGCACTGGGGATTGAATTCAGAGCCTTGAACTTGCAAAGCAGGTGCTCTACCACTTGAGCCATGCCCCAAGCCCTAAGACTGCATTTTGGAAAAGCCTTTGCATTTTATTTTCAATGCAAAGGGAAGCAGTTTGGAGGGGTTCCAGCTGAGCAGTTAACCTTGATTGCTTGGCATTTTCATTTAAGATTTTAACGTGAAATCTTTCAAACATACAGTGAACACCTGTATAGTATAGGGGAGAGAAAACTTTCTGCCCTCCGAAGGTTGCATCATGGAGTCTGAGATTAACAGACTGAGATTATCTGAGAGTAGATAGATAAATGGAGAAAGTTACATGCATATTATAAACAAAGGAAGGGCAGGGCTGGGGTCAGGGCTCAAGTAGCAAAAAAATTGCTTAGCATGCTGGAGGCCCTGGGTTCAATCCCCAGTAGAGAAGGCGGGGTGGGGGGTAGGGGTGGGTGTTGGAGATCGGGACAGAGAGACCAAGAGAGAAGGACTGGGTGACTGAAGTTCACTTAGCATCCTGAACTATGGTAAGGAATAGGGGACCTGGGGCTTGGGTAGGGGACAAGCTACAGGAGGGTGAGAGTTGTAAATGCAGGGTCAATGAAGGCTGCAGATAAAATCTCTCAGGTAATAGAATTGATTTCTGAAAAGGACCCTGGTGGCTCATGCTTATAATCTTAGCTATTTGGGAGGCTGAGGTCAGGAGGATTGCTGTTCAATGCCAGCCTGGGCAAATAGTTCTGGTAAATAGTTTGTAAGACCCCATCTCCAAAATAACCAGAGAAAAATGGACTGGAGTGTGCCTCAAGTGATAGAACACCTGCTTTGTAAATGTGAAGCCCTGAGTTCAAACCCCAGTCTCACCAAAAAAAAAAAGAAAAAAGTGATCTCAGGCTTGGAAGTAGCTCAGTGGTAGAGAGCTGTCCTCCTATGTACCCTGGGTACCACAAGAATCATAACAGAAGTAATCTCAAAATAATCCTCTTCCTGATTCAGATACTTAACTAGTGTAGATTTCCTTTGTTTTATTTTTATCTATTTTTTTTTGGTAGTACGGGGGTTTGAACTCAGGGCCCTGTGCTTGCCAGGCAGGTGCTGTCTACCACTTGAGCCCTCTGCCAGCCCTGTTTTTAATTTATTTATCTTTAAGGTTTAGCAAGGATTTGTTTTAGTGTAACAGGAAAAAAGTGAGGGGAAATTTAAAAAGAGAGGAAAAAGTACCCCCCATTAGAAGTGCAGGAGCATGAGACAAGCTCCTTGTTTTATTTTTTGAGCAACAGTCTCTCTATGTAGCCCAGGCTGGCCTTGAACTCATGATCCTCCTGCCTCAGCCTCCCAAGTGCTGGGATTACAAAAGTGGGCCACTAGACTTCTGCAAGATTTCCTTTAGAAATATAAATTTCTTTTACAAAAGGACAGCTTTCCCTGTGTCTGCAGTTTCTCAAGATAACCAGCTCAAAATATGTCAAAGAAAGCCAGACTCCACAGGTGGCTCACACCTGTAATCCTGTTTACTGAGGAGGCAGAGATCAGGAGGATCTCGGTTCAAAGCCAGTCCAGGCAAATAGTTTGAGAGACTCTATCTTGAAAAACCCATCATAGAAAAGGGCTGGTGGAATGGCTGAAAGGTATAGGCCCTGAGTTCAAACCCAGTACTGAAAAAAAAAACAACAAAAAACCCCAAAAAACAAACAAAAAAAGAAATATACTTAGGGTGGCACATTTTGGTCTCTTATGGACATGTTCTAGGGTGGTGTGTCCTGAGCACCAATGATATTCGTCATCTAGAGTCCACTCGTAGTATTCTGTAAAACTTTCTTTGTTGTTTATGAATTCATCTTGCCCCATGAATTCATCTTATTTGTTCTTTTGGATGTGTTTTAAAGTCACTTGCAGATACCAGTATACTTTATTCACAAATACATCAGAATGGATATCATTAGCTGAAATTCAATACTGGTTTATAGGTAATTCCCCCTCCCCCCCCCCAGTAAACTTACTTATGTACAATAAAATGCACACATCTTAAGTGTATCGTTTGATGAGTTTTGACAGGTTCACGGTTAGATGCAAGACCTCCTTACAACTTCTAAATCTAAGAACTGGCATTTGCTTCATGACAATGGAGTCAGGCCAGCCTCCCCGCCCTCCTTCTCTGGTTTTAGGGCACACCCTGGGATGCTAGAGGCAAGGATCAAAAATAGACAATACTGTAGTCAAAGATTCCCAGACTCCAGGAAGCTTTCTGGGCATGTTCTGGGATCCGGCCTAGAATAAAAGTAGCAAGATTATAGAGTCTAAAAGTCAACTTTTTTCTTTTGTGTTTTCAGTACCAGGGATGGATTCCAGAGTCTTGTGCAAGCTAGTCAAGCTCTCTACCACTGAGCCATATCTCTGGCCCTAAAAGTTAAACATTTAAAGATGATCAAGATTGAAAAATACTATAGATAGAAAACTTAAGCGCTTAAAAGTCTAAGCATTCCAGAACAGATATTCCACTACTAATAAAACTGAAGCCCTCAGCCAGGTGCCAGTGGTGCACACCTGTAATCCTAGCTACTTGGGAGGCTGTGATCTGGAGGATCTCAGTCCCAAGTCAGCCCCAGGAAATACTTCAAGAGAGCCCATCTCCAAAATAACCAGAAAATTAACTGGAGGTGTGGCTGAAGTAAAGTGCCTGCTTTGCATGTGAGAAGTTCTTAGTTCAAACCCTAGTCCCACCAAAAAACAAAAAATGAAACCCTCACAATGGGCCTTATAAGGCCTTTCAGGATCTGTCTACTGGCTGCCGAATTTGATGTCATCTTGGCCCATCTGTTCTCTGCGCCTGGCCCACTCATGCTGGCCTTTTAGTAACTCCAGTGCCTTTCTTCTGCCTGAAGTCTTGGCCTGGAGATTGGCATTGACTCATTCTCTGTTCTCTGCCCAAAGACCAGGCCCCATGGGAAGAGAACCTCCCAGACCACACACACTGAATTAGTTCCCTCCACCCCAGATCTTGCTTTAATTATTACATAAGATACTATATAAGTATTAAATGAGTAAATATTTAAAAAACTTATAATAGTGCCTGGTATATAATGAGCTTGCACTAGGTTTATTTTATTTTTTTGGAGATAGTGGGGTTTGAACTCAGGGCCTTGTGCTTGCTGGGCAGCACACCTCCAGCCAATATAATGAGATTTGAATGTATTTGTTGAATTTTTTTAATCTATTTTTTTTAAGCCAGTGTGGTGGCTCAAGCCTGTAATCCTAGCTAGTTGGGAGGCTGAGATTGGGAGGATCTCAGTTCCAGGCCAAACTGGGAAAAACTCTCCAAACCCCATCTCAACAGCAAAAAGCTGAGCATGGTGGTGAACACCTATCATCCAAACTATGGTGAGAGGCTTAAAATAAGAGGCTCATGGTCCAGGTCAACACAGGCAAAACGTGAGACCCTATCTCAAAGATAGCCAGAGCAAAATGGGCTGCAGGGATGGCTCAAGATAGAGGCCCTAAGTTCAAATCCTAGTACTGCCAAAAATGACAACAACAAAAATCCTTTTTGAGTTGGGGGTATAGCTCAAGTGATAGAACACTTGACTAGCAAGTACTGGGCTCTGATTTCCCTAGTACTGAAAGAAAAAATTGTT